ATGTCTGAATACAGACAGAGGAGGTCAAAAATACACGGCCAACACAACAGCAAACAATGTAAACTCACCACCACATGTCTGAATACAGACAGAGGAGGTCAAAAATACACGGCCAACACAACAACAAACAATGTAAACTCACCACCACATGTCTGAATACAGACAGAGGAGGCCAAAAATACACGGCCAACACAACAACAAACAATGTAACTCACCACCACATGTCTGAATACAGACAGAGGAGGTCAAAAACACACGGCCAACACAACAACAAACAATGTAAACTCACCACCACATGTCTGAATACAGACAGAGGAGGCCAAAAATACACGGCCAACACAACAACAAACAATGTAAACTCACCACCACATGTCTGAATACAGACAGAGGAGGCCAAAAACACACGGCCAACACAACAACAAACAATGTAACTCACCACCACATGTCTGAATACAGACAGAGGAGGCCAAAAATACACGGCCAACACAACAACAAACAATGTAAACTCACCACCACATGTCTGAATACAGACAGAGGAAACAGGTCCAAAAACACACGGCCAACACAACAACAAACAATGTAAACTCACCACCACATGTCTGAATACAGACAGAGGAGGCCAAAAATACACAGCCAACACAACAACAAACAATATAAACTCACCACCACATGTCTGAATACAGACAGAGGAAACAGGTCCAAAAACACACGGCCAACACAACAACAAACAATATAAACTCACCAACACATGTCTGAATACAGACAGAGGAAACAGGTCCAAAAACACACGGCCAACACAACAACAAACAATATAAACTCACCACCACATGTCTGAATACAGACAGAGGAAACAGGTCCAAAAACACACGGCCAACACAACAACAAACAATGTAAACTCACCACCACATGTCTGAATACAGACAGAGGAAACAGGTCCAAAAACACACGGCCAACACAACAACAAACAATGTAACTCACCACCACATGTCTGAATACAGACAGAGGAAACAGGTCCAAAAACACACGACCAACACAACAACAAACAATGTAAACTCACCACCACATGTCTGAATAAAGACAGAGGAGGTCAAAAATACACGGCCAACACAACAACAAACAAATAGAAATAAAAACGGTAAACACTATGAACATGAACCAAAATCACAGAACCAAATGGGGAATACCGTCCTGTATGTGTGGAATGTCACCAAGACAAGTTGAAAACATTCACCCAGCTCAGCATCATAAGGAAGGGCATATTTCAGGTTGTGAGTAGGTATAACAGGCAGGTAGAGGGGCCCCCTATGGGGGTTTATTGGGTTCTTTTTTTGTGCACATTATACATGAAATTCACTGTCACTGTCTGTAAACAACAGAATTTAAGTCATCTACCAGGTACAGTCAACCAAAACCTTCAGTCAGTATTGATTACATAAATAGGACTTCATTTGGCACCAAACAATAAGAATAAGGATGCAATTTTTAATTGAAAACTTGCTATCAAATTTTTCTAGGTACAGCCATTTTGTATCGCTTTGGTACAGCACCAGCCATAATTTTTGTGAACATAAAATGTTTTTGAAAAAATTCATGGTTGTGAAGTTTAAAACAGTCTCCTATTGACCATTTTAGTGTTATGTTATAAATAATGATACAATGCCTGTTCTCTCTTAGAGGTCTGGTTTGATATCTTGTATTATAGCAGGAAGAGCATGATGCTTGAAATAGGTCAATCACCAATGTCATAATTACATCTTGTATAGTGATTCATTTGCATTATACAGCATTTTCATTCTTTTCAATACTCTTTCAAAGGAAGTAGTTAAAAGATTTATCAAATCAACTGAAGTCATTTTATTTGTAAAATAAAAACTGCTAAAAAGCACGACCTACGAGACATATGATTGTCACATGATCATGGTTACTTTTTCACGCTGCAAAATGGTATTGATGTTTACTGAAGCCAGGTAAATATTTTCTTGGAAAACTAACAGATCATGATGATTGATAGAGTCGAGACAAATATTGCATCACAGTAATCTATTCTACTTCAGTTCAGCCACGGACTTGGATATATCTATGAGTCTGTGGTTCAGCTCAGTTCTTAGAAATGAACCAAAAGTGAAAGTAGAAATTATCTTGTGTCCGATTTGAATATATTAGCATTGATTTCAATGTTTATGAAATGCAATTATCCAATCAATTTATGTTGTTATTCATCTCTGTTCTGTTTAGTAAAAGGTTTAATGATTATGGTACTCTAACTTCAGGTTCTTGTGACCTAAACAGCCTGCTGAGTTATTATAATATACCAGTTATTATAATACTTTTATTTGGAAAATAGCATATTATACATAATAAGCGGATTTGACAGTAACATGTTCAATAGTATCATATTAGATAGACACAGGGTATGTTTGAATAGATTCAGTGTGTCCTGGATTTGATAATGATAGCAGTATTGCTGAGCTGCATCAAGTTACAACTGTGTAGTTATAAATAGCACATCATTGTTTTTGTTTGTTTTGCAGGTGCTCTTAATCAACCAATTCATTGGTCCACAAACTATCAAAATTGTGATCAGTATACTTTTTGTGACATATTTATCAATAAAAAGAATTGTCCGCACAAACTCTGAAAATTGAGCCCAACAAAAATACCTGATTAAGTCCTTTTGATCTTGTCCTATGATTGAAATGTCAGTATTCAGAGATATGTTAAATGTTAGGCTTGATCTAGACATTGGTTTATATATATTATAAATATTTGTTTATAAGTTGCTTATAAATGTAAAACATTTTGATGTCTTAACAAGAAAAACGATATTCAGTGAAGTTACTATTTATTTTTGCTGTAAAGGGCAAAGTCATATATATTTTTAGAATCTCTTCATTATATAAAGGAATTCATCAGAAATATAAGATAGAACTGCATTAGCAGATTAAAAATTGCTTTCATTGTTTTCTCTGGGGATTTCTTGTGTAAATGTGTGTGGTGTCATGGCCGACACCAATGGGCCATATATTTTAACACACCTTGTTAGAGAATGAATAATTTATTCACCGAAGTCTGTGACTTTGAAAAGCATATTTGCCCTTGAATAAGCCTTAGGCTATGTACTGCTGGAACTATGTAGAAAATAGTGACTTTTGTGTAAATTGTTTGTGCAACCAAAGAAATATTTCATTTGTTTCTGTATTCCCTTTGGGATCATGATAAACTGTTATATTCTAGCTATTCAAGCCTAGAGAACTGGAGTATTTAACTCATTGTTGTGTGTCTAGGAACCTTAAAAGTGCTGAATTCTTTATCAGACTAGTTCTTCACCACTTTTCTGTGTCTTTTATCATGAATGTAGTTTATCTCTGATTCAGTGCACATAATCCATTCATCCATGTTAAATTCTGTTGTTCAGGATGCATGCACTTGTAAGAATGGTTTGACAGGTCAAGGTTAAAGGATTATTCATGAGCACTTTGTAGTAAAGGGTGTGTGTTAAATATAACACTGAATCATGTGACACTCTCTTTCCTTATTCACAAATTCTTCACTTCAAATCTATCTCTTCTTCATTACATCAACCCTTTTAAAAACACTAGCACAATGGTAGTCCTACCTCCAACCTTAATTCTTCAATTTTCCCATCTTCTGTTTTAACTACTCACAGCCATAGCTTTGCTGAAAACATCAAAGAAATGGTAACCAGACTGCTGTAGGGTAGATTGCCAATTACACAACATCAATAATACACAGATTGATCGTAGTTGTTTAACTAGGTGATATGGATTGGATACAGGCTTAACCATATGTCACCCAACATGTGTGACATTGAGGACTTCAGAAACAGCACAGATAAGCCATTTAGACTGAGGCATTTTCATTCAAGGATCCTTTTTAATAAAACTTTCATATAATTCACTCTTCTTTGAAAAAGAAGTCTGCACTCCCAAAAATTACTGATCTGGATCAGACATTATAATCAGTAGTCATTTTGTATATAAATGTTTTCACATGGAAGATACTTTATCACAAATTACAGGTGTAAATAGATCAGCTTTAATTATATCGGTAACATGGTAATTGCCAGGGACATTCTCTTGAAATTGGGCCACATCAGTCTGTCCTGTCCTCCGGGCAGAATCAATGTCATCACGCAAGCAGTTTCAGTTCTTTTGAGATCTCTATAAAATATATACAAAGTTCAACTGATAATAACAATAAACTTGGATAAGTTCATGGTTGAAAGTTCAGAGTCATGGTTATTAGAATTTGTAGAATTGTTCAAATATTGGGTCTGGGAATTCATGTCTTACAGACAGCCTTTCAACATTTGATATTTTTAGGGGGAAATGGAAGAAAAAGAAAATTTAATGAAAAATTTGATCAAAACTTTTGAAGTGTTATGTAGTCTTATGCAATAAATGCCAAAGTGAATAGTTGACCATGATTAGGGAAAAAAGATTGTCTGCTTCTTTTCAAATAAAGACTTTGTCCTCTCTTCTGATTATAGAACCATATCCAAAACTTTAAAGTTTAGCAAATTGTAATTTTATAAAGAACATCTTATATGATTATATAGATAGAGATTGTACTGTTTTATCTCAACTAGAAATATCCACTCCAATGAAACTGGTTTGCTGTATATCACGTTGTAACCAGCAGTGAATTAGAGGATTGTTGGGGATCAGATTTTGTTGAATAAGAAGATAATTAGGCAGTATATCTGGATATTTAAGGTAAACACCTGAAGAGATAGATGGTCCCATAACCAGGTATGGGCCAACTGTTAGATAAATAAAAACAATTTTCTCATCATTTGTTCTCTGAGATGCATCAAAGTGCTGCCCATTATCTTAGTAAAATTTGGCCTGTTGCAACTATTTGATGGAGAAATGGTGACACAATTCTGACAAGGAAGTCAGTCGGTGGATAAAGCATTTATTATAGAACTGGTCACAATACAGTCTCTTCAATTAATCTCTCCATATTGTTTCTTACAGGCCTCCCGAACACAACCCATTCTATACAAGTATAGACAGCATGCCAGAAATTAGAGCACCTCGTAGAAAGTCTGTCTCATTGGTCAGCGACTTGGTAAGTCTACTCTCTTGTCCAATTAGAAAAGATCATTCAAACATGCTCTTAGTATAGCAAAATAACCAAGATTCACATTCAAATATTAAAATCTCAAACTTGATAAAAAAGATATTGATTTGAAGATTTGATCTAAATATTGGTTGAAAGGAAACATTATTAAGACATGTATGATTAAGTGGATTTTAACACCGTGATCTCTTTCTATTATTAATTGTTGATTCGTCTTCACAAACAGGTGATTAAGGTAACTAATTGTGTTGTATTGTTGCTTAGGAACTGTATTGACAGTTTCTTTTTTTCTTTTGGTTTTTTTAATTTTGTTTTTGTTTTTAATTATATATCATTCAACTTTTCAATATCTTCCATAACAAGTGTTTCATTAGAGTAGTGTAAATTCATTTTTAGAAATGTTTGTGCTATCAGAATTTTACTTAGGAAAACATCTTGCTGTTGTAGTTAGAGATGAAAATTTCCAACCTTTTTAATACAGTTCATTAGTTTAAGACCCCATAAGAATCATTTCTCGCTAGTTATGCTATGTGGATGAATTGCCACCAAACAAATACATAAGTGAATGGACATATGTTCATATTGTAAGATTTATTTGCAGTATTTTCTAAAAAATATCCACATCCTCAAATTCGCTCACTTGAAATGGCTGACACATTTATCAGACCTGTGATATCTTTTGATCTGTAATAGAACTGCTTACAGTATATGAACGATGGTGTAGGCAACTGAAGGTGTCAAAACTACCGTCTTAAGTAGGTCAAAACAGCTGCCATGACATCATAGGTCAAAAACTTTTAACAGCCTTATCTTGAAAACTGTTGTTTGGTAAAATTAAACTGATTTTAGACCTAAATCAATACTTATATTTTGTTATGTCGTTGGAAAGGTTTCCACAGATGTCCGCTACCATTTAGTGACATTTTCAACATCATCAGAAAAACAAAATGGTCGCCATGATGTCGTGTTTGATTTTACTTCTAATTGGAATATGTCATCAACCGCTGAATATATTGAATTCATCTTTGTATATGTTTTGCATTATCACAAATAAATAGCATTTCTCGAGAAATTTGTTTTTCTTAAAATGTCAACTTTTAGTTTTCAGTAGGGGTCAAGGTTCAAATAAGAAATTTTGTGGGGAAAAAAAAAACTTTAAAAAACTTCTCAATAAGAAAAAATTGTACATACAACTTTACAACTTTTCAGTTTTGTATAGGAGTGAAAATTCGGAAGTGCTATTTTTGGTAACAACCTTTAAATAAATTTGGCATGGTCTAGGCCCTAGGAAGCTTTACTCATTGACTTTGAAGTTTGTAAATATAAATGACCTTGGTCCATGTTCATTTGAGGTCACTGGGGTCAATTTTGTTGGGAAAAAAATCTTAAAATGTCCTAGAGATACATATTGAATATGTTTTATTAAGATTGCAAGAATCATGTGAAAGTGTGAATTTTCAGTTTTCCTGAAGTGTTAAGTTTGGAAACAAACTTTGAAAATTTGTAAAGTCCTTATTTTTCATAAGTACAACCTGACGACAGGGTAAATTGTGTTAAAATCTTAAAATGGCTTCTCTGTAATGAAGAAGAACATGGTGATGACATTTGGTCAGTTGCATTTTGCTATCAATTACTGTTGATAATAGTAGGAAAACATTGTATCAAAACTTAAGTTTTTTTTGTATAGGTCATGCATAGAAAGTTCTTTTTCTGGTACCACAAACAAATAATCTGAAGTTGTACAGTCTAGTGTCTAGATATGCCTTATATAAATCACTTGAATGGTTGGCTATCATGTTTGTAGAAATGATTGATATTTACCTAAAAGTTTAAATATCTCAATTAGAAACAGAAGAACAAAACACTGATAGTTATCTCCCCTTATGGTTTATAATTTCTTGTTTTGTCTTGAAATAATAAATATTCATTGGTCTGCAGCTATATTGTGTACATGTTTGTATTTTATGATGTTCATTCTTTTATTAAAAATTTTAGAAATAAGGGGACATAAGTATTTGTATTGAAATAACAAAAAGTGGTTTGTGTGATCAGAATGAGGTTGATTAAAGAATTGTCATGTCGTGTACAGACTCTTTAAGATGAAGTAGGGTTCTCTGTTATGTGTGACTCAGTAGACCAAAGTGTTGTAGTGACTAGATATTACTTATACTCTGACTCTATGAGAGAGTAGAAAACTCTGATAGTTTTAACAAATTGCCTGACATAAAATTTAATGAAATCATTTAATTTATCATCAGCTTATGATATAAAGCAAGCCAATTTCATAAAGTTGTAGTTAATACATCTGGATAAGCAGTTGATACATCTGGAATAAAGGCTGTGCAGAAGAATATAAAGTTTGGATTTTTTTGATAATCCCAATATAGAAACTATTTACTATTTCTCATAGTGATATTAAGTTTATAGGTCACTAGAACATGATATTAGAATTAAAAGCACTTTTAACATTTCAGTGCTGACAGGTTTATAGGTCATCTGACCCGAAGGGTCGAAATGACCTATAGCCATCATGCTTCGTCCGTCGTCGTGCGCCTTCCGCCGTGCGTCGTCCGTAAACTTTTCATTCAAAAAACTTCTTCTCAAATACTAGAAGGCATAGGGGGCTAATACTTGGTCCATAGCATGCTGGCATGGAGCCCTACAAAATTGTTCAAATGAATGACCTTGACCCACTTTCAAGGTCACAGGGGTCAAATATGTTAAAATATACAAGCGACTTCTTCTCAATAAGCAAAAGTCCATGAGTGATGATATTGGGCCTGTAGGATGCTTGGAGGAAAGGCTACCAAGTTTGTTCAAATGAATGACCTCGACCCACTTTCAAGGTCACAGGGGTCAAATATGTTGAAAGTTTTAAACAATTTCTTCTCAACAACCAAAAGGCTCAGAATGCTGATATTGTGTCTGTAGCATGCTGGGATGAAGGGCTACCAAGTTTGTTCAAATGAATGACCTTGACCCACTTTCAAGGTCACAGGGTTCAAATATATTAAAATATACAAACGACTTCTTCTCAATAAGCAAAAGTCCAAGAGTGCTGACAATAGACCTGTATGATGCATGGATGACATGCTACCAAGTTTGTTCAAATGAATGACCTCGACCCACTTTCTAGGTCACAGGGGTCAAATATGTTAAAATATACAAACAACTTCTGTTCAATAAGCAAAAAGTCCAAGAGTGCTGATAATGGACCTGTAGGATGCTGGGATGACATGCTACCAAATTTGTTCAAATGAATGACCTTGACCCACTTTCAAGGTCACAGGGGTTGAGGAAGTGTTACCAAATGTGTTCAAGTGAATGCCCTTGACCTTCTTTCAAGATCACAGGGTTCAGATATGTTAAAATCTGTAAACGACTTCTTCTCAGTAACCAAAAGGCTCAGAGTGCTGATATTGGGCCTGTAGGATGCTTGGAGGAAGGACTACCAAGTTTATTCAAATGAATAAAGCCCACTGTTTTAACAGCAGACTCACTGTTGTTAGAGTTTGGCTTGTTTTTTGTCAGATGACCGTTAAGGCCCATGGGTCTCTTGTTCTGTAGTGTTTTAAATTTGAATACTGATCAACTGACCTCGTAAGTAGACTGAAAGTTTTATTCTGTCTTAAGGACCTCTAAGTAAAATAATAGAAATTGACCTAGATAGACAGGTGGTAGTAATAGACAGGTTTCCTTAGTAAAATAATAGAAATTGACCTAGATAGACAGGTGGTAGTAATAGACAGGTTTCCTTAGTAAAATAATAGAAATTGACCTAGATAGACAGGTGGTAGTAATAGACAGGTTTTCTTAATAAAATAATAGAAATTGACCTAGATAGACAGGTGGTAGTAATAGACAGGTTTTCTTAATAAAATAATAGAAATTGACCTAGATAGACAGGTGGTAGTAATAGACAGGTTTTCTTAGTAAAATAATAGAAATTGACCTAGATAGACAGGTGGTAGTAATAGACAGGTTTTCTTAGTAAAATAATAGAAATTGACCTAGATAGACAGGTGGTAGTAATAGACAGGTTTCCTTAGTAAAATAATAGAAATTGACCTAGATAGACAGGTGGTAGTAATAGACAGGTTTTCTTAGTAAAATAATAGAAATTGACCTAGATAGACAGGTGGTAGTAATAGACAAGTTTTCTAAGTAAAATAATAGAAATTGACCTAGATAGACAGGTGGTAGTAATAGACAGGTTTTCTTAGTAAAATAATAGAAATTGACCTAGATAGACAGGTGGTAGTAATAGACAGGTTTTCTTAGTAAAATAATAGAAATTGACCTAGATAGACAGGTGGTAGTAATAGACAGGTTTTCTTAGTAAAATAATAGAAATTGACCTCGATAGACAGGTGGTAGTAATAGACAGGTTTTCTTAGTAAAATAATAGAAATTGACCTAGGTAGACAGGTGGAAGTAATAGACAGGTTTCCTTAGTAAAATGATAGAAATTGACCTAGGTAGACAGGTGGTAGTAATAGACAGGTTTCCTTAGTAAAATAATAGAAATTGACCTAGATAGACAGGTGGTAGTAATAGACAGGTTTTCTTAGTAAAATAATAGAAATTGACCTAGATAGACAGGTGGTAGTAATAGACAAGTTTTCTAAGTAAAATAATAGAAATTGACCTAGATAGACAGGTGGTAGTAATAGACAGGTTTTCTTAGTAAAATAATAGAAATTGACCTAGATAGACAGGTGGTAGTAATAGACAGGTTTTCTTAGTAAAATAATAGAAATTGACCTAGATAGACAGGTGGTAGTAATAGACAGGTTTTCTTAGTAAAATAATAGAAATTGACCTCAATAGACAGGTTTTCTTAGTAAAATAATAGAAATTGACCTAGGTAGACAGGTGGAAGTAATAGACAGGTTTCCTTAGTAAAATGATAGAAATTGACCTAGGTAGACAGGTGGAAGTAATAGACAGGTTTCCTTAGTAAAATAATAGAAATTGACCTAGGTAGACAGGTGGAAGTAATAGACAGGTTTTCTTAGTAAAATAATAGAAATTGACCTAGATAGACAGGTGGTAGTAATGGACAGGTTTTCTTAATAAAATAATAGAAATTGACCTAGGTAGACAGGTGGAAGTAATGGACAGGTTTTCTTAGTAAAATAATAGAAATTGACCTAGATAGACAGGTGGTAGTAATGGACAGGTTTTCTTAGTAAAATAATAGAAATTGACCTAGGTAGACAGGTAGTAGTAATAGACAGGTTGCTGTAATACATATTCAGGATGTAATCTATACATATTAATCAGAAATCAATTGTACAGGAAATTTCCTGAGCTGTTCTTCTCTAACAACATATAAACAAAATGTGAAATTTTCAGAATAGAAAAGGAAAAAAAGAAAATTATGATTTCTTTGTGTTTTAAAAAATATATATTTTTGTTAGTTCAATACATTTTGTTTTTTATTTGTTTGGATGTTGCTGAATTTTTGTTCTTGCTTTTCATTTCAACAGGGATGTGTTATGTTACTTGTATATTTGATGTTGTGGTTTTATAATTGAAACAGTTTCAATCCTTCAATGTTGTAGATTTTCATGCTGGTAAATTGATAATTTTGTCTTTGGTGTGTCTAACCTTGCAGGGTATCTTAATTTAAATTACGGACATGTCACAAAATATTGTTTTAATATCGCGTAACACTTTCTCTAAATATTACTGTTTTGGTGTGTATCACACTAACAATCTGTTTTTATGTTGTCTAATTCTGTGCACCAATGATCTGATGTCTAATATTTGTTTTGCCAAATTTTTTTAGGCACCAATTGTGAGATGAAAGTTTGGTAACCATTGAAAAGAATTGGTTTTTCTATCAATTTTCTTTTAATTGATTTTCTATTTATTTTAAAAATAGATAAGAAATTTATGAATGATTTTGTAATTTTACACATTTATGTGAAATTTTGATAACATTTGCTGTGTTATTTAGAACTTGTTTTTTTCCTCAATACCCAATATTTATTACTTGTTAAATTTTTATGAATGTGAAAAATGAATTAATGCTGGTATAGGTTTTATATATACCATGGTAACAAATTTCCATTTTCATGTATCATATAATTATAATTAAATGTTAAGTGATAACAATGAATGTTAACTCTTTCTAAATAAACTATACACTGATATAATTGGCTGTGGAAGTCAATATGTTGATTGATTATTATATAAGATTGTATTTGGAACATAACATTCCTTGTTAATGTGTCCCTAAGAACATCTCATAGAAGTAGGATCTTGCCAAATATTTAAGTGTAAAATTCTCTCAATTTTTACACTTTATTTTAAAGTTATAATTTGATAAATTTAACTTAATGCACTGTCTTTAATCTATTATCTACTTAGATGATGAGTCACCTCATTTTAAAAAAAGAAAACTTGATCTACATGAACCTTAAGTAAAACTAGAGTTGTCTTTTGAAGGCCTGTGATTATTTCTGTATCACTAGAAAAAAGGGATACCTTAAATATGTCTCCAGTTGTAAAATAGTAATTAAATCTAATTAAATTAATTGAATTCTATTGTATACTAAAAGCATGAAATGTTTTCATAAGGAATAACTTATATTAAATGATTACCTTGTTATACAGTGAATATACCCATGTCATATTTTGGCATATCACACATGTTCATTGTCGCAATTTCTGTTTTGTGGCACGTGATAACTATCCTTTAACCTTTATATTCAATATTGCTTATCTCAGGTGACTGTCAAGGCCACTAGGCCTCTTGTTACTTCATAAATTCCTATATCAAATGGAAATTCATCTGAGATCATGTATACATATTATGAAGGTGTAACATGTAATGATTTGCCTTAAAAAATATTCATACCATGAAATAAGTGAGAGAGAGTATCAATGAAAGTCATATAGTTATGTAAATTTTGATCGTAGATCGTAGCATTATTAATATAAAATGACCATTAAAATTTTATATATATATGTGTGTGTTTTACTGATTTTGCAGACCATGCAGGTAAAGAACAGGAATGCAGGAGTGCCATCAGCCATGGTCGCCAGACAATCACTGAAGGACGAAGAACTGGTCTGTATATCCTTTCTAATTCTTCCCTCTTCCTCCAATCTTGTGTTATCATGATTTAAAGCATTTTCTGTAGAAATGGTTTTAAATGATTCTGTACTTTCGCAATCTGTGTCAGAGTTGATGTTACAAATAGATCATTAATACTGAAAAGGCACTGCTTAAGAATGCCAAATTTAACCGAGAAAATCACCATTCGGACACAGCATATGCAAATCTTACCGTCGTTAATGCAAACGCACTTCTTAAATAATGCATCTAGTCAATGAAAAACTGGTAAATTGGATCATTTCATTTGATTTATATTATAAATTGAAGTAATCTTTCACGGTTTTTGTGGTGCTGCAGCTAGAGAAGTGAATAAGGATTCCCTTCACTGTTTTGGCTGCCAAAAACTGTCAATGTAATTTCTTTTGTGATCTTTCCCAAGACAGTTCTACTTAAACAACGTTTCTTTATGCAAATATTTTCAAAATTTTAGACTGTTTAGAGTACAATTATTACCTGTATGATATCGTGGCGTGTTGAATGATAGTACATGATTAATTCTTAATGATTTTTTTTCTCTCTCTCATTCTCAGAAAATGCATGTTTACAAAAAGACACTCCAGGCACTGATATATCCCATCTCCAGCACAACGCCACATAATTTTGTTGTGTGGACAGCAACATCTCCAACATACTGTTTCGAGTGTGAGGGAATGCTATGGGGCATGGTACGGCAAGGTGTTCGCTGTACAGAGTGTGGGGTCAAATGTCACGAAAAGTGTAAGGACCTTCTAAATGCAGACTGTTTACAAAGTAAGTATATTAAGGGTGAAGGTCAAATAAAAGTTTCATCACATTTCATCAAAGTGAGTAATGTGATATTAAGCAGATTATTATGGTATCAAAGTGATTAATCGTGACATTAAGCAGACTATTGTTTTTATCAAAATGAGTATCATGACGTTAAGCAGATTATTGTGGTCTGAAAGTGATTATTGTGATATTAAGCAGATTATTGGTTTTATCAAAGTGATTATCATGATATTAAGCAGGTTGTTTTGGTATCGAAGTGATTATCATGACATTAAGCAGGTTGTTTTGGTATCAAAGTGATTATCATGACATTAAGCAGGTTGTTTTGGTATCGAAGTGATTATCATGACATTAAGCAGGTTGTTTTGGTATCGAAGTGATTATCATGACATTAAGCAGGTTGTTTTGGTATCGAAGTGATTATCATGACATTAAGCAGGTTGTTTTGGTATCGAAGTGATTATCATGACATTAAGCAGGTTGTTTTGGTATCGAAGTGATTATCATGACATTAAGCAGGTTGTTTTGGTATCGAAGTGATTATCATGACATTAAGCAGGTTGTTTTGGTATCGAAGTGATTATCATGACATTAAGCAGGTTGTTTTGGTATCGAAGTGATTATCATGACATTAAGCAGGTTGTTTTGGTATCGAAGTGATTATCATGACATTAAGCAGGTTGTTTTGGTATCGAAGTGATTATCATGACATTAAGCAGGTTGTTTTGGTATCGAAGTGATTATCATGACATTAAGCAGGTTGTTTTGGTATCGAAGTGATTATCATGACATTAAGCAGGTTATTGTATTATTTGTATATTTTTCTTTGTGTTCTGATAAAAGCTCAGATGATATCAGAAAAGTGTATATAGAAATACTCTAGAGTATATTACTTAGTTGTTCTATTTATAGTATCAATATATTTATAGTATCAACCTATTTATAGTATCAACCTATTTACAGTATCAACATATTTACAATAAAAACATATTTACAGTATCAACCTATTTACAGTATCAACATATTTACAATAAAAACATATTTACAGTATCAACATGTTTACAATACCAACATATTTACAATAAAAACATATTTACAGTATCAACATATTTACAGTACCAATAACTACAGTGTCAACATATTTACAATAAAAACATATTTACAGTGTCAACATATTTACAGTGTCAACATAATTACAGTATCAACATATTTACAGTATCAACATATTTATCGTATCAACCTATGTATAGTATCAACATCTACATTAAAAACCTAATTTTGTAACTTTTCTACCCTCTAGGAGCCGCAGAGAAAAGCTCAAAACATGGAGCTGAAGACAAAACTCATAACATTATAATGGCCATGAAAGATAGGATGAAGATACGAGAGCGAAATAAGCCAGAAATATTTGATCTAATTAGGTAAGAAACCAACTCTGTGTAAAAAAAACTCTCAAAAAATTGTGTTTATTTCTTAATGTGTTTTTGAGAAAATGCATGATTTAGATGTTTTAAAATTGGAAAATTGTTTTAAAGTCATCATCTAGCAACCAACCAATGTCATTTTATTTGAAAACCAATGATAAATTAAAATGAAAAAGAACAATATTGTTAAAATTTTAACATTTAAATATTTATTCAGTGAACTTACACCAATAGTTTTTTTTTTCGCTTGAAATTTCAAACAAGAAATTAAGTTTTTGGGAAAAGAACTGTTCAAATAATTTTTGAGTTTTGACTAGAGTTATATGATACAAATCAAAAGTATTTTATCTCCTGATGAAACAGTTCTGTGAAATATTATGAATGGTAATTTTTACTTCATTGGCAGTATGTTCAAAAAGAAAACAAGACATATATACTCACATTAACTGAATGTTTCTAAATCAATAGATAAACATAATTTAAGGGAAATAATTCTATTAAAAAAATGTAGCATGTACTGGTAGTCTTAAAATTGATATGGACTTTAATGTTTCGATTGCATTTTCTAATGTAACACTGTGTATGCAGAATCTTTTTCCATAACAAAACAAAAATACAAAAATTCTGACTTGATGGTTAAAACAAATAATAAATAAAAAATTTTATGAAGGACTTCACTAAGTTGTTACAATTTGTGCCCGATTGATTTGTTATATGTAATGAAATATATTTTTTTTAAAAAGGTGGAGGGGGAGGGGGTCAAAACTCCGTATTCCATCATAGTTGTTTCATGAATTTGACTGTGATTATAAACAATAACAATCAATGAGAAATCTGAAGATATTTGTAAACCACATGTCAAGAAGTTTTACTTCATTTAATTCTAGGTTTATAACATTTTCTTAATTGCTGCTTTTTTAAGGAACATTTATGCTGGGCTTCACAAATGGAATTGCATATGTAGTTTTACAGTTTTTAAGCACAATTTACCTGTGATAAGCCCAACCTAAACAATAATCCCACATTTTTTGTTACAGGTTTTAGAAGTAAACATTGCTCTGATATTATCTTTCATGGAAGTAGTGAATAGTTTTACCTCTAGTGTACAACACAAAATTCCCCACATGATACCACAGGACTAGAGGAGTCTTACAGGGCTTATCACAGGTGGAACAATCTAGTTGTTTGATTGCACTAATCATATATATGTATATGGCTTCATTAATTTCTGCACTGTTTATCAAGGGAAGTGTTCGGGGTAGACAAAAAATCTCATAGCGGACACATGAAGGCAGTCAAACAAAGTGTTTTAGATGGAACGTCCAAGTGGTCAGCAAAAATAGCTATAACTGGTAAGTTGTCAGTGATCCGTCACTGACTGCATGTCCAGCATCATGTGTGTCCACTTAAACATGTTTGTGATTTGTTCACCTGTTCATTTTGGGCAAATAATAAAGTGGTGAAGACTCTTTGATTTTTGAGAGAATTGGATTTTTTGTGATGAAAAAAGTAATAATGAAGAAGGATTGTTTATTTTTACAAATAATTTTGTTTAGAATATGAACAAAAAAGTAACATAAATTGATAACTCTAACTCACAAACTGTTTCAATACATTCTTCACCTAATTATTGATTTGCTTGAAATGATATATGTTGTTCAGGATACAAATCATCACCTGATATTAGCTTTGGCACTTTGATTTCTCAAAATGTCATAATTTCAATATATTTATTTAAAATATTCAAATTAAAAAACAAAAATCACAAAATGCCTTTTTACTTTTTTATTGAATTTGAAACCTTTTGACAAATGTAATTTTGGATTTTTTAACAAAAAGGACCATAAGCTAATTTTATGTGAACCTATTTGCATCCTGATTTGTGTTGAGTGTGATATATAGTTGATATGGATAGAAATGTTGTAGATATTGATATATTGTGTTAATATGATTTGTGTTATTTCAGAGACATTTTCAAAGTTCCTAGGGGTTTACATTCCGGCCATTTAAGGCAATCCCAACATCATGTATTACAAGGCACACATGAGTGGTCAGCCAAAGTTTCCATCACAGGTAGTTTTGACCACTTGACCACTAGTTGTTTTTAGTCAAAGGTCAACTGATTTTTATACCTATATATATACATAGTGTGCTTACCAGAACCACTCAACCGATTCCATCTCACCAGCTTGGTAATGGCATTTTTGGTCAAAAAGAACAATTTTGCACCCAGTATTCTGGACTAACAGTGGCTGTAGTTTAATGCAAACATCTTGAATTTAAAAGATTTTTCATTTATCCTTATTTTTCCATCTGACCCTTCTACATCTATAACAAAATTCTTCCTAAATGATGGATACCTACTACTGATGCCATCACAGAGGTAAAATATTGTGAAACAGTTGTAGTTTTCTTGTAATTTTCCATGTCCATTTTGTCATCAGGTCACTTACAGACTTGCATCTGTGTAGTAAATATATTGCTTAAAGGTTGTAGGTTTTTTTTTTGTGTCTAATTTCCGAAAAGTTGATAATTAGAAATGTTGATAATTAGAAAGGTTGATAATTAGAAATGTTGATAATTAGAAAGGTTGATAATTAGAAAGGTTGATAATTAGAAATGTTGATGAAAAATAATCTTGCAGAGATTCTTTTATTTGGATCTTAGATATTGACTATACAAATTTCCATATCTAGATTTTTTTTAATTCTTATTTTCTACATGTTGAAAAATGGTGATTTTACAGGTTTTTTTTGCTTGAGTGTAAGAGATTAACTTCACACAATATTATCACTCTATCATCAGAGGTACTGAATGGATCTTTCCCATATTTAATACTGAGGTTCCCCTTGGTCCCTAGTTGTGCTCAATTGATTTTCAAACTGATAAAAAAAAAAAAAAAATGACTGAGAGGTGATGACTGAGAGGTGACTATCTTGGATTTTGACTATGAAAGTTTGTAATCTTTACTTCTTGAGAAATACTAGACATATTCATCAAAATTCATGTGGATAGGTGCCAGATGGTGTGCTTATTTAATTTTGGGACTGATCAGGATAGAAAAAATGCTTACAGATGGCCTTGTATGATTTTAAAGTTCAAGATTATTATTGCTATTTCTTCAGAGGAGTTCTCAAATGTCATATGATTGAAAGAAAATTATAAGAAAGACGAAAAATACCAGGACAAGACCTAAACTTCAAAGTACAAATTAGATCAAACAATAATGGGTGTCACAATCCCACTAGGATCTTTGGTCAGTTCCAGAAGTTATAAAGAGTTTCTTATTGGAATATTAAGGGACTGACTTCATTAACTTTCCACTTTCTTATCAACCTAACCTTGTGGGATTTTTTTTCTGATTTTGAATAAGTTAATATTAAAATTTAGAATCTGCTGTTAACAAACTTTAGTTTTAGGCTTACTAATCTAAATATTGATGAAGAAACGGTAATGTATAGTGCCATGCTTGGCATCTCATATAATTGCTTCATTTTTGCTGGAGTAGAGACATATTGCATCAGTGTTTGATACAACATTTATACTTACATGTCACAAGATGTTCCTAGTTGCTTTCAGTGCACGAAAGTTGATGGTCACTTCACATTACAGGACTTCATTGTTATAATTCACATTTACAAAAGGCAGCATTTGATGAAATAAAGTCTGTAGTTACATAACATCAAACAACATTCACACATTGTAGTTTTAGCTTTTCAGGACACTATATGCTACATTGTTAATGGACAAAAATGTCATAAGTCTCTGTCACAAGAGTTCTTTAAAAGGTCAATATTTTAGAATTATTGTTAAGCCTTAAAATATACTGTATATCTGAATAATGACAACGTGAAGTAAATACTAATTTTTCACTTTCCAACAATTATTATTCTGAAGGAAGACAAATGTTACTCAATAGAAAAAGCCTGCAATTCCAGGAAGGATTCCTCTGGTCTTCATTTTCAATGAAGATCCTCTGTAAATACTTTTCAATACTCCTAAATTAATTCTTGGCTTTCAATGACCATTTGTCATAGTTTACACTTAGTGTAGGCACGGCTGCTTAGTCTGGGCTGATCTGAATTCATTCAGTGGTCTCCATAGTTTTCTGTACATGATTCTGGACACTGCTGTTGAAATTTGATGCTTCATTTTAGACATGCTGGTTTTCCAGTGATTATATAATAACATCTCAATTGTTATGATCTACAATATTCCTGTTAAGACAAAAATAATTGAAGTAAAACATATTGGTTCATTTTTCTCTTTTCTCTATAATTCTGCACTTATGGTACTTTTAAAGTAAACAAAGATTAGTAGCCAATTATTTTAGGCTTTTTCTTTATACCTGTAACTGTTTCATATTAACTGGTTTAATGTAATTTTAGGTTGATATGCCAAAGGGAGATAATTCACTTTGCTCCATGTCAATTGTGTTTGTGACATTGAGTTCTAAATTTCCAAAATATTTGAAATATTAACTGTGGATTGGAGTGTAATAACATTCTATATACTAAGTTTGTTTATTCTGATTTTGTCATGTGTTGTATGTAATGTTACATTACATGTATGATATTGTGATGTTGCTTTATGTACAATAACTAATGTGCTTTGTGTCTATATGTTTTCAAATACATGTATCCTTCACTTGTATGTTTTTATATTTTATTGTATGTTCAATGATTCTGTGTTAAAATACAGGACAGTGTTTAATATACATATCTATTGAAATGATTAAAATTTCGTGCTTTAAGACAAAAATGGTAGAGCAATTTTACAGACATCTGTTTTTGAAATATATTTGAATTTTCTGTTAATTTCAGCAATGTTTTTATTTATATGGAAATAATCGATGTTCTGTAAGTGTAACACATCCATTGTAAGAAGTTGTTTTCCAGGCATGAAAATGAAGCAATAGCCACTTCATTCATACTTCATTCATATCACCATCAACTTTATCTTTAAGAATCTTGAAAAGATTTACACTGCAACTCCCTATACAGATCCTTCTAAAAACTTCTGAAAATTACCTCTTAAAATCAAACACAATGGCAATTTACACGATGATGTCACCTTTATGTTTTTCTACCAAATGTTTGACCAGCCAATCCTCTGTTTCCTGTCTCCCTTCCAAATGTTTGACCAGTCAATCCCCTGTTTCCTGTCTCCTTACCAAATGTTTGACCAGCCAATCCTCTGTTTCCTGTCTCCCTACCAAATGTTTGACCAGCCAATCCTCTGTTTCCTGTCTCCCTACCAAATGTTTGACCAGCCAATCCTCTGTTTCCTGTCTCCCTACCAAATGTTTGACCAGCCAATCCTCTGTTTCCTGTCTCCCTACCGAATGTTTGACCAGCCAATCCTCTGTTTCCTGTCTCCCTACCGAATGTTTGACCAGCCAATCCTCTGTTTCCTGTCTCCCTACCAAATGTTTGACCAGCCAATCCTCTGTTTCCTGTCTCCTTACCGAATGTTTGACCAGCCAATCCTCTGTTTCCTGTCTCCCTACCAAATGTTTGACCAGCCAATCCTCTGTTTCCTGTCTCCCTACCGAATGTTTGACCAGCCAATCCTCTGTTTCCTGTCTCCCTACCAAATGTTTGACCAGCCAATCCTCTGTTTCCTGTCTCTCTACCAAATGTTTGACCAGCCAATCCTCTGTTTCCTGTCTCCCTACCAAATGTTTGACCAGCCAATCCTCTGTTTCCTGTCTCCCTACCGAATGTTTGACCAGCCAATTCTCTGTTTCCTGTCTCCCTACCGAATGTTTGACCAGCCAATCCTCTGTTTCCTGTCTCCCTACCAAATGTTTGACCAGCCAATCCTCTGTTTCCTGTCTCTCCTTACCGAATGTTTGACCAGCCAATCCTCTGTTTCCTGTCTCTCCTTGACCAGCCAATCCTCTGTTTCCTGACTCCCTACCAAATGTTTGACCAGCCAATCCTCTGTTTCCTGTCTCTCTACCAAATGTTTGACCAGCCAATCCTCTGTTTCCTGTCTCCCTACCAAATGTTTGACCAGCCAATCCTCTGTTTCCTGTCTCCCTACCAAATGTTTGACCAGCTACAAGTAAAGATTCATTGACCTTTGCAGCCCGTACCAGTAAGTAAGTTATCAAAGCTCATTGTGTCTTAACAGAAAATAATCATTATTTACCTCGCAATTTTTTTTTCATCACGTTACAAATTCAAATCAAGGAGTTCAGTCAAACAAAGAACATGGAGATTGTAATATTGTCAGGAATGAAGAGATAGATACACACTATGCTAGCAATGTTGGCTAAATACTCGACTGTGCCTTAGGTAGATGTACTCCATTTGTCATCTCAATGGCAGACATAAAGACACTTTTGTGACTTTATACCATAAATCATCACATCTCTCCCTGTAAGAAGAAATAAGCACATTCATGCTACATATTAAATCTGAATAATGCAGGTACGGTTGGCATCATTATAATATTTGACAGTTCCTTAAAACAAAAAAGGTTTTGAATCAGATTCCTCAGATGACTAAAACTAATTGTTGTAAGTCAATGATTCTGTCTGTGTTGGTGATTCATACACAAAAAATAGCAAAAAAAAAAAATGAATTTTTTGTTTTGGTTAATTGAAACATTGACTTTGAAACTGCATGAGGTTAGCACAGATTACTAAGATAAATTATTTATCAACAACATATTCATGATTAGTTGCAAGTACTATTCAAAAGATTTACATTTATATAAACTTTAAGCATTCATTCATTCAGTCAGTCAGTCAGTCAATCAGTAGATGACACTGGAGTTTTGACTGATTATAATAAATCAGTGGTCTTTATTCCCTTCAGCACCAACCTAGAAGATTCTACCCAGATCCAGGGTGTGTCAAATGACAAAATTTCATGGTATACACTCCATCTTTCCTTCAAACTCCTCTGGTCATTTCATAAATCCATTTCATCCTTGCAGTTTCGTCCATTCTACTTCACTTCCAACATGATCTCCCAAGACTTACAGCTACATTGCTCTATTTTTAGTGCGTGACATATGGTTTGATGAACATCTCTATGATAAATATTTCCCCAGATTAATGCTTTTACTGTGTTCTATCCACAGTGATATGTGCCCAGGGACTTATCGGCAAAGATAAGACCGGCACCAGTGATCCTTATGTAACAGTCCAGGTCGGCAAGGTAAAGAAACGGACCAAAACTGTGCCACAGGACCTTAACCCAGTGTGGAATGAGAAGTTTTACTTGTGAGTTGCCTCCCTTGTTTCTTATTACTTTCCCTTACTTGTTATTTTTATGTCATATAGAAATAAAACCCATTTTAGTTACAAAAATCAGGAGAAGACCTACTTTATTCAAATAGATTTTATCCAAACCTTTGCAAAATCATGTTTATTAACATGAAAATTCCTCTATCATCCATTGGAATCTTTATTGCTTATATAATTGATTTAATGTTTGTTTCAGTGAGTGCCATAACTCCTCTGACAGAATCAAAGTACGAGTATGGTAAGTTTATTGTTTCTTCATTTCCTTTCGTTTTCTGAACAAACACTGACTCATAAAGGAAGGTGTAATTAACAATTTGGAAAAGATAATAGCATGCATTAGACTAAATGACGCAGGGACTGTAATCTCCTGTCAGATTAATCAGAGCTCTAGATAACACAGGTATCAATACCTGATGTCAGATAAGACAGGATTCCAGATAACACAGATATCAATATCTCCTGTCAGTTAAGACAGGATTCCAGATAACTCAGGTACCAATACCTGATGTCAGATAAGACAGGATTCCAGATAACGCAGGTACCAAAACCTGATGTCAGAAAAGACAGGATTCCAGATAACACAGGTATCAATACCTGATGTCAGATAAGACAGGATTCCAGATAACATGGGTACCAATATCTCCTGTCAGATAAGACAGGATTCCAGATAACACAGGTACCAATATCTCCTGTCAGATAAGACAGGATTCCAGATAACACTGGTACCAATACCTGATTTCAGATAAGACAGGATTCCAGGTAACACTGGTACCAATACCTGATGTCAGATAAGACAGGATTCTAGATAACACAGGTACCAATATCTCCTGTCAGATAAGACAGGATTCCAGATAACACTGGTACCAATACCTGATGTCAGATAAGACAGGATTCCAGATAACACAGGTACCAAAACCTGATGTCAGAAAAGACAGGATTCAGAAAAGACAGGATTCCAGATAACACAGGTACCAATACCTGATGTCAGATAAGACAGGATTCCAGATAACACAGGTATCAATACCTGATGTCAGATAAGACAGGATTCCAGATAACACAGGTACCAAAACCTGATGTCAGAAAAGACAGGATTCCAGATAACACAGGTACCAATACCTGATGTCAGATAAGACAGGATTCCAGGTAACACTGGTACCAATATCTCATGTCTGATTAGACAGGATTCCAGATAACACCAGGTCCAATACCTGATGTCAGATAAGACAGGATTCCAGATAACACCAGGTCCAATACCTGATGTCAGATAAGACAGGATTCCAGATAACACCAGGTCCAATACCTGATGTCAGATAAGACAGGTTTCCAGATAACACAGATATCAATACCTGATGTCAGGTAAGATAGGATTCCAGATAACACAGGTATCAATACCTGATGTCAGATAAGACAGGATTCCAGATAACACAGGTATCAATACCTGATGTCAGACTGGGAAGGATTCCATATAAAAGGGACCAATGCCACCTGTCAGATAAGGCTTGATAACACTGGGGCAAAAATTTCCTGTGAGATAAGTGATTATTCTTGATAACACAGGGACCAATGTCTCCTGTTGGATTCACCAAGATTCTATATATCAGGGACCAGTATCACCTATCAGATAAAGCAGAACACTTGATAACAGAGGGACCAATGACTCCTGTCAGATTGACAAAGATTCTATATATCAGGGACCAGTATCACCTATCAGATAACACTTGATAGCACTGGGGCCAATAACTCCTGTCGGATAACAGAGGATTCCAGATAACACAGGGGCCAATATCTCCTGTCAGATTAAGCAGGATTCCAGATAACACAGGGGCCAATATCTCCTGTCAGATTAAGCAGGATTCCAGATAACACAGGGGCCAATATCTCCTGTCAGATTAAGCAGGATTCCAGATAACACAGGGGCCAATATTTCCTGTCAGATTCGGCAGGATTCGAGATAACACAAGGGCCAATATTTCCTGTCAGATTAGGCAAGATTCAAGATAACACATGTCAGATTCGGCAGTATTCCATATAACACAGGAGCCAATATTTCCTGTCAGATTAAGCAGCAGTTTAGATTAGACATTGACCAATATCTCACCAATATGTCTTCTTAGACCTGACCACATTCGACATGAACAAGTACAGTAAACATTATGGACGTTACCGAACAGAAAGTCATATCAGTACTGTCCATTACCATTATAGACATTGATAGTACTGCTGCTGGTTTATATTGAAATTCCTGTCACTTGTTAAATTGGTTTGATATTCAAATCATATGAAACTAATAAATTGTGAGAGCAGGTTTACAAGAAAGGGAGACAAGACACTGTCATGTCGGTAAAATCTCTGCAGTAATTGATAAAGTGTTAATCCCTTTTTTAACCATATATATATCGCTTATATTAGAAATTTAATACTTAGTCAAAATATCTGTTCTTATTGTAAAGCTGATGACATTCTAATATTTAGAGAAAAATCAAAACAGAAAATAAAATCAATACCAAACAATAAACAATTTCTAAATGTTTTGTGGAGAAGTAAACGAGGAAGTGCCACATTCACTAAATAAAATAGAACTTAGTGATAAAGTTTTCATAAGAATCATTTGGCAAATTGTTTTATTGAAACAGAAGGATTCATTGAAATTCTGTGGAGTATTTATCTTGGTTTCAGTTTTAATATATCTTAACAGAAAAAGTTAAGTATTTAAACTATGACCGACTCATGATACTGTTATGTCTCCTTGGATGTTAACCTGCTTGAAAGTTCGACAAGGACAGGTCTATTACTAACATTACGATGTTCCTGGAGGCTACTCAAGGGGTTTCTTTTTACAACTTTTAGATTTAAAGATCATGTAATTTTCTACAACAATATTATATGACCATCGAATTCTAGGGATGAAGACAACGATTTGAAATCCAAGTTAAGACAGAAATTAACTCGGGAATCTGATGACTTTCTTGGCCAAACGATTATTGAAGTGCGAACACTGAGCGGTGAAATGGATGTATGGTACAACCTAGGTGAGTAACCATGGCAACAGTGTCGGCCATGACAGGTGTCATCAGTCTGCGTGATTTCTTTAGTGTTGATATATATATATATATATGTATTATATTTTTCCGTCCTAGTGTGTGATTCTGTTTTTAGCCGTGTGTTTTCCCGAGCTGGCAGCTGTTATGAGTGCCCAGTGGCCCGCCCTGCATCGTAGCCTACGTTTGATCATTCCGTCATCCTGACGTGATTCGTTGGTTGTTGATTGCATTGTGTTAATTTCTGGCAGTGCTTTGTGTGTGTTACAGGGATGAGGATGATGATATAAAATCTAAGCTGCGACAAACATTCACCCGAGAATCAGATGATTTTCTTGGCCAGACTATCATTGATGTGACCACTTTGAGTGGCGAAATGGACGTTTGGTATAACTTAGGTTAGTTTCTGTCAGGTATCTGCCTGGACACCACCCATCGGTCATCTGTGGTCACCTGTCATTCACTAAGCAGCCTAACAGTGTATATATACTAGTGCATTCACATAACTTCATTTTCCTTCTGTACACTTTGATGTCTATATATTTTATTATAAATTCAATCATTACTATATTTACTTGTGTTTTCTGATTTCCTTTTTTGAAATTTTTTTTTAATAATAATTTCTCACCTCTTTTAACTCTGTTTCTTGATTTTTAATGAATTGTTACAATTTTGTCTGGTGTAAACCCATAGATTAGGCAAACACTTGGTTTAACATTAGTTACCTCCCTTAGATTGTTAGAGTAACTCATTTTTATAGTGTAATAAATCCTTAACAATGCTAATCCTTGTCTCCAGAATCATTTAAATTTTTTATTTGTAAAAATTAATCGCAGTGATTTGTTTTTTGCAAGTAAATTATTGATTGAAATTAAGAAATATATTGAAATATAAACTTTCAGGATGTAAACAGGATTGTTCTTCAAGGTACTCATTGCGACCTAAAATGTTATCAAGCTATTATCTTGTTTTTTATGTTAAATCCCTTCTTCATAATAAACTTTACAAAATGTCTTTAAAATCATACTCCTCATGTAGGAATGATTGATTTTGCCCAAAGTATTTGTAGGTGAAGGAGAATAAATTTTGTATAAGCCTAAGTAGGGAAGGGCAGGGTCCAATAGGGGAAATAAAGAAAATTCATTAAAAAATCTACTCCTGTAGTTTTTGTTGGATTTTGCCCAGATTTTATGAGAAGCCTGCTCGGGTAAAGAGAAATCATAGAAATGATGGGTATCTGCCCCACGGGTGATTGTGCAGTCCAATAGCAGAAATGGAACAAATTCCTGAAAATCCCACTCCTCCTGTAAGAATGATTAGATTTTGCCCAAATTTATTCCTAAACATTCGTGGATAAATAAAAATTAATCTTATATGAACAGTGGGTCTCAGCACCCAGGTGCCAGACGAGAGAAACCCAATAGGGGAAATACAGCAAATTCTTTAAAATCCTTCTTCTGGAGGAATGACTGAATTTTGCCCAAATTTGTGCTGATGCATCCTTGAGTTGATTGAAATAAGTTTTGTGTAAATGGTGGTTCCTAGCCCCTGGGGATGGGAGGGACAGAACCAGGGTCATAAGAGAGAAAAAAATTAAAAAGTCTACAATAGGAATGGCAGGATTCTGTCCCAATCTGGCACAGAAGTGTGGTGCCCAATGGGGAAATAGATATAGTGTGAGTCGTGTGCTTGGATATGCAGAATTCTCTTTTCTTTAGTTTGGATTAAGCAATTTCAGTCAAACAAAGACTGGTCAGCAATACAGGCCCTTTGAACCTCTTTTTAAACAATTATCAGAGATTTTTTTACGAAATTACTTACAGCACAGGTTGCTTGATAAGTTAATATTGGAACATTCGAGGCATTTTTTCTATCAAGGGAGACAACTAATGTTTGAGAATGGAAAACTCTTCAGTCTGACAAGCAAAACAATTAGTTGTCACTGGATTAACATATGGTCCTTCAGGTGATATGAGCTTTTAGAAAAATTTTGAATTCAATAAAGTTTAGATAAAAGTATTTCATCAAGTTGTGATAGTTAGAGAAATATGGTATAGCTGGTATTTTTCAAGGATCAGAATTTCACAATTTTTTTTTTTTTAACAACCAAATTTTACTTTAACCAGTTATTTTGTGATATAGATGTAAAAAGACATCTAATACAAACATGTCTCATTATTTCACGTGTTAAATTTCCATGGTCATATTAATATACTGTGAAAAAGCAAAAACACCATACCAATGAAAATAACTGACTACACGGGATGTCCATTTGGAAAAATGTGGTATAAAATAAATCAACCACTTATGAAAGATGAAAGATAAAATTACAATTTCATACGTAAGGGATATACCACTCATATTCTTATATCACATTTGATGAAGATTATTAGTGTTAAGTAGGGAATGGTAAAAAACTATTTTCAAAGACAATAGCCTACTCACAGGGGCAAAAACCAAACTAAAGACTATTCAAATTTTTTTTCCAAATTAGTTGTTTAGAAGATCAGATCCCAAATTTAGCTACCTCTAATGAATCATGCAATCGGGTCAGCAGGTACATTTCCATTACCTGTTGATAATTTTTTCAAATTCCTCCTAAAAAAACCCTAATCAATAGCTTAGTATAGATTATTGATTTTTCTTGCTATTATATAGGAGAGGCACAAAGTGTCACCCAATGTCCACCTCCGCATGTTTTAAAGCCAGAACATTAAGTTCTATACTTAATCATATTAAGTTGGACATTGGTCAAGATTAAAGGGTTTAAGGACATATCTTACAACTTCTGCAAAATTAAGGTGGTGTACAAGATTTTTCATGAAATCCAGGACAGATTTTGTTCATAGCTGTAAGCAACAATATCAAGACACCAACTTTTATTCCAGATCAGATTCTAATGGTTATTGGTCTGTGTAAAAGGGACAAACATCACATTTGATAACTTCGGCAATAAAAAACTGGTGTATAAGACAGATTTGGTTCATATTTTAACATGTGATAGCACAGCATAAAGCTCTATATCTCATCATATGACAGATGTCAGTCTGGGTTTAGCATCAAAAGTCACGTTTGACAACTTCTGCAATAAAAACGCTATTGACATTTTCGTCATTTTATCTTCAGTATCTAATATAAAATTTTACACCTGATCAGGTTCGGGTGGTCATCAGTCTAGGTGAAAGATTGATCCAAAACCACAGTTGACAACTCCAGATATAAAAAAATCCTGAACATAAAATTACAAAGATACTTGTTTACATTGGAGCAGGAGCATTCATTTCTTACAAATATTTTCTAGTTTATTTGACCTGTTATCATAGGAGAAGGTTAGGACTTGCAGTAAGAAAATATGGAGAATGATTTGGTTTTGCAGTTAAAAGATATTGTTATTCAAATAAAGACTCTAATCACCTGAATTGACCTTGATGTGAATGGAAATTTGAATTCTTTTTGAAAAGTTTTGAGATAAAAAGATTTTTTTTCTACTCTATTAGCATATAAATGATTTCTCTGTCTTTACTGGGACTTTGGAGAACTTTTACTGATGAATAATACACAAAGTTATTGTATTTCCAAACAAGCATGTTCCCATATATCATTGGAGTGTTTTCAGTAGGTATTCTTTGCTAGACATGTGCTATTATAGTCCTGTAGTCTGACATTGTGGCTTTGTTGACTGGAGAAGATGAAGGTGGTCAGCTTGTTTTGTATTTAATGTAATGATCTGTTTATCCTTAGTTAGGTTTGGGTGGTATTTATCACGGGATGTTTGTTGCACAGCTGCGGAGATATTCATGCTTTATTGCGCATTTGTGTTGTTGTGACATTGTTCTGTCCTGAATGTTCATGCTCGGTGCCTGTTGGGAATGCATTTGTGGAATAATGAATTATTTATTTATTTCAGCATTTTGAAGGACTTTTGTTTATTCTGTGTTTTGTGTATTGGAATGCTGTATTTAATCTATGAAATGCCCTTTTTCACTTTCCTTCCATGAATCCACAAATTCATGCCTACAAACATTTGAAATTAATATTTTATGTTTATTAACAAGTACAAAAAGAATTTTGCTGTACAAGTTTTGGTTTGGTGTGTTTGACTGAAACAGGGCATTCACTAGAATGATTAATATATCTGATTAGAGGAATGTGTGTATTACGGTAAATGTTTATTACTGAAATGTTCTAACCTTCAACTTGTCTGGAAATATTTGGAAAAAACAGAAAAGCATTTTACCGTAATCGATTGCATGAGCTCACAGATTTGGCATGAAAATATTCATAATTATGTCAAAAGTTGAATTGCAGCTATTTTTATGACAATATTTAATAACACATAATAACAAAACTCTATCACAATTTTTGATGTTTTGATGTAGATAAAACATTACTAATCCATAAGTTTCTTCATTTGTTTCAATATGCTAAAATATTCCAACTTTTTTACATCATGTAAATATTGTCATAAAGATGTTTTGTTTGTTCCTTTGAAAAAAATGCTTTTGATTTTATTATGGAATATTTATAAACTATATTTAAGTGATTGGTTTGAATTATCGTACTAATGATTTTCTTTATTACTAGCAATTTCCCCCGAGATTCCTGTCTTATCATACTGTTACAATTTGTCTTGATTCATGTTTATCTGTTTATACATTATACTATTCCATTTTGAAAGTTTGGTGATGTTTGATTTTGAACATAGCCATACTATTAAATAGAACTGAACAAGTTGATAGATTCACTCCAATTAGAACCTTTTGTCATTGTTAAAAAAACAGGTAATGAAAACTACGTTTAAGGCTATCAACTAGGAGATTCATTATGATCAGCAGGTACAAAGTTATACCATTCTGTCTTCAATGATAGAATTTTCTGATATATGAAAATATTACATTTTACCAGTGCCTTGCTTATCCAGAAAACAAAATTTATATTCTAGGTCTTATTCACTTTACTGCCTTAATTATCAAAACAGTATGGACATTTTCTCATAATTCAATAATTCAAAACCCAAAATTGATCTGAGCTGAAAATGTTTCTTAATAGTTACTGTTATAGACTAAGAGTTGATTGGAGTGATTGTACAACTTGAGTTATGCTAGAAATACCACCTAATTGCACTCTTAACTTACCATGTATGCTGTAAATTTTAGAATTTCACTTGACTTTTAGTGTATTAATGTTAGATATAGCACTAAAACATCTCTAGTAAACATTTGGGTGTGATTGATCAATACTCTTGCCTGCCCAATTTGACATTAACCTCAGTGACATTTTCCTCTGTATAATCTCATTATTACTGTAGTCTTTATCAATTTTAACTGACTGAGGATGACAGTGACTGAATAATTTATCATATTTAACTTAATCATTTTAACAATTCATGAACCAACACAGTCATAATTACTATCTTTAAAACTCTTTCTGTATTTTACCAACTTTGAAAACAAAAACCACATGCAATTTCTGCTACAGGCAGAATGTATTATTTCATTACAAAATTCCTCTTATAAAGGAAAATGAATCCTACTTCGGAGATGATTTGATAAGTACAAGGCTAGTGTACTATGTAAGCAATGCAGGTCCATTTCAGTAGCTGCGTTAAGTAAGAGGAAGCTGTTTAGACATATAGATCCAGGACTGAATGTCCAGCTTTATACTGACCATTCAATGACCACACTAACCTGTAAAAAATTGACCCATGTTGACAATATGTCCTCACTCTCCCTGACCCTAGTTGACCCATGTCAACACCCACACTGACTGACCTTATAAATAACCAGTCTCCAGTACCCCTCACTTTGACTGACCATAGTGCCGATATTTACAGAGAAGAGGACAGACAAATCGGCAGTGTCGGGTGCCATCAGACTACACATCAGTGTGGAGATAAAGGGAGAGGAGAAAGTAGCACCTTATCATGTCCAGTATACATGTCTTCACGAGGTAAGATCAGCTGTTGGACCATAAATGGCTATAATTCAGGTCTCTATCCCCTAATATAAGTTATCAGCCAAGTCACTATCCCCTAATATCAGTAATCAGCCACATCACTATCCCCAAATATCAGTTGTCAGTCAAGTCACTATCCCTAAATATCAGTTGTCTGTCAAGTCACTATCCCCTAATATCAGTTGTCAGTCAAGTCACTATCCCTAAATATCAGTTGTCTGTCAAGTCACTATCCCCTAATATCAGTTGTCAGTCAAGTCACTATCCCTAAATATCAGTTGTCTGTCAAGTCACTATCCCTAAATATCAGTTGTCTGTCAAGTCACTATCCCCAAATATCAGTTGTCAGTCAAGTCACTATCCCTAAATATCAGTTGTCTGTCAAGTCACTATCCCCTAATATCAGTTGTCAGTCAAGTCACTATCCCTAAATATCAGTTGTCTGTCAAGTCACTATCCCTAAATATCAGTTGTCTGTCAAGTCACTATCCCCAAATATCAGTTGTCAGTCAAGTCACTATCCCTAAATATCAGTTGTCTGTCAAGTCACTATCCCCTAATATCAGTTGTCAGTCAAGTCACTATCCCCAAATATCATTTGTCTGTCAAGTCACTATCCCCTAATATCAGTTGTCAGTCAAGTCACTATCCCCAAATATCATTTGTCTGTCAAGTCACTATCCCCTAATATCAGTTGTCAGTCAAGTCACTATCCCTAAATATCAGTTGTCTGTCAAGTCACTATCCTCTAATATCAGTTGTCAGTCAAGTCACTATCCCTAAATATCAGTTGTCTGTCAAGTCACTATCCCCTGATATCAGTTGTCAGTCAAGTCACTATCCCTAAATATCAGTTGTCTGTCAAGTCACTATCCCTAAATATCAGTTGTCTGTCAAGTCACTATCCCCTAATATCAGTTGTCTGTCAAGTCACTATCCCTAAATATCAGTTGTCTGTCAAGTCACTATCCCCTAATATCAGTTGTCAGTCAAGTCACTATCCCCAAATATCAGTTGTCTGTCAAGTCACTATCCCTAAATATCAGTTGTCAGTCAAGTCACTATCCCTAAATATCAGTTGTCTGTCAAGTCACTATCCCCTAATATCAGTTGTCAGTCAAGTCACTATCCCTAAATATCAGTTGTCTGTCAAGTCACTATCCCCTAATATCAGTTGTCAGTCAAGTCACTATCCCTAAATATCAGTTGTCTGTCAAGTCACTATCCCTAAATATCAGTTGTCTGTCAAGTCACTATCCCTAAATATCAGTTGTCTGTCAAGTCACTATCCCTAAATATCAGTTGTCTGTCAAGTCACTATCCCCTAATATCAGTTGTCAGTCAAGTCACTATCCCCTAATATCAGTTGTCAGTCAAGTCACTATCCCCAAATATCAGTTGTCTGTCAAGTCACTATCCCCTACTATCAGTTGTCTGTCAAGTGACTATCCCCTAATATCAGTTGTCTGTCAAGCCACTATCCCCTAATATCAGTCATCAGTCAAGTGACTATCCCCTAATATCAGTTGTCTGTCAAGTGACTATCCCCTAATATCAGTCATCAGTCAAGTGACTATCCCCTAATATCAGTTGTCAGTCAAGTCACTATCCCCTAATATCAGTTGTCTGTCAAGTCACTATCCCCTAATATCAGTCATCAGCCAAGTCACTAATCCCAAATATCAGTTGTCAGTCAAGTGACTATCCCCTAACATCAGTTGTCAGTCAAGTCACTATCCCCTAACATCAGTTGTCAGTCAAGTCACTATCCCCAAATATCAGTTGTCTGTCAAGTCACTATCCCCTAATATCAGTTGTCTGTCAAGTGACTATCCCCTAATATCAGTTGTCTGTCAAGTGACTATCCCCTAATATCAGTTGTCTGTCAAGTCACTATCCCCTAATATCAGTCATCAGTCAAGTGACTATCCCCTAATATCAGTTGTCTGTCAAGTCACTATCCCCTAATATCAGTCATCAGTCAAGTGACTATCCCCTAATATCAGTTGTCAGTCAAGTCACTATCCCCTAATATCAGTTGTCTGTCAAGTCACTATCCCATAATATCAGTCATCAGCCAAGTCACTAATCCCAAATATCAGTTGTCAGTCAAGTGACTATCCCCTAACATCAGTTGTCAGTCAAGTCACTATCCCCAAATATCAGTTGTCTGTCAAGTCACTATCCCCTAATATCAGTTGTCAGTCAAGTCACTATCCCCAAATATCAGTCATCAGTCAAGTCACTATCCCCTAATATCAGTTGTCAGTCAAGTGACTATCCCCTAATATCAGTTGTCAGTCAAGTCACTATCCCCAAATATCAGTCATCAGTCAAGTCACTATCCCCTAACATCAGTTGTCTGTCAAGTCACTATCCCCAAATATCAGTTGTCAGTCAAGTCACTATCCCCAAATATCAGTTGTCTGTCAAGTCACTATCCCCTAATATCAGTTGTCAGTCAAGTCACTATCCCCAAATATCAGTTGTCAGTCAAGTCACTATCCCCTAATATCAGTTGTCAGTCAAGTCACTATCCCCTAATATCAGTTGTCAGTCAAGTCACTATCCCCTAATATCAGTTGTCTGTCAAGTCACTATCCCCAAATATCAGTTGTCTGTCAAGTCACTATCCCCTAATATCAGTTGTCAGTCAAGTCACTATCCCCTAATATCAGTTGTCTGTCAAGTCACTATCCCCAAATATCAGTTGTCAGTCAAGTCACTATCCCCTAATATCAGTTGTCAGTCAAGTCACTATCCCCTAATATCAGTTGTCTGTCAAGTCACTATCCCCTAATATCAGTCGTCTGTCAAGTCACTATCCCCTAATATCAGTTGTCAGTCAAGTCACTATCCCCAAATATCAGTTGTCTGTCAAGTCACTATCCCCTAATATAAGTCATGATACCCTTGAATGTATTAAGCCAAACATTACTGGCAGGATGGGGTTACTACCCATAACTCAAAACAAAGTTGATGTAAGAACTATAAACAGAGTCATAAACAAATTGTCATGTTATTGTTCATCAAAATTCAGCATTAATATGTAATATTGCGGCATGCAGTAGAGGGTTTTGTAATATAGCAGCTTTAAACAGACTTCTAAGAGCTGTTTAAATTAACTTTCTGCCAGGATATGGTTTATAACACAGAAGTACTTGAAGTGTTTTGCAAATCTCCAGATACAGTGTACTATTGTTAAAATGTACCCTTCAAATTTCTAAATTTCTTGTCAACATGACATTGTCTGAAGTTCTGATTCCACTTTCAAATGATATCATATTTTGTAATATAAGTATTTTCATTATAATAGGTAGTTGTTTCTGTTTTTTCTTAGAATCTCTTCCACTATTTATGTGAGCTGGCAGCTGGAGCAGTCAAACTGCCTGATGCCAAAGGGGTAAGTATGGTATGGTTGTTAAACAGGATATTTAATAGTTTCTCATTTAATATTATTTCTATTTATAAAACAAATCTAGGTCCGCAAAAATGACTTAGAAACATTAGCATATTCTAGTTGTATATTTATGACATCACATTTGATAAGGCAATGTCATCGTTATTTGCCACAGAACATAGAAATTGGCAAATTTCAATGCCTTGAACAGCATTTTGATTGGACATAACTGAAAATGTGATATGATCACTAAAAATATAGGTTATGAAGGGCAGGTCCAATGACAGTCAGTAACAATACAGAAGACAAAAACTTAGAAATGAAAAAAACACAATACTAAAGCAAAGCAAACAACAAAATAAATATCTTTTTATTTTCTTGTCAGGAAATGACTCAGGCGTTTTCAGTTTCTCCTGGTCATCATTCTGTCGTAATTTGATTTCCTCTCATTTACTTTTTAAGGGATTTAGATATTGTTCTGAAATTTGATATGTAAATTCTAACTGTACAATGAGGAGATGCACATCAAGTTTCAAGTTCCAACCAGCTTGTTTTATCCAGAGTTATGGCACTTGAAATAGAAGTTGCTTATTTTTCAAGATTTATGGCCCTTGAATTGAGAAAAAATTCATGAACTTTTGGTTTATGTTTATTAATCAGTACTGAATGATGATATTGAAATGAAACAAGATGATACACAGTTGTATCACAACAAGTCAGCTAGTACTTAACTTTAGTCATGAGTCAACTACTTCCTGGTTCATTCTGAAAAGTCTTATGTACCCTTCCTTAAACAGCCAATAACACTAAAAAGCTCCATACTTGTCACACAGACACATCAAGTCTGATTTAATTTGGCCTTAGAGAATAATTAATGTATTAATCATTAACATTATGTTGTCAATGAGTATGTAACTTTGACCACTAGCTAGAGGTCACAATTACTATAGATAAAAATGTTAAGACATTGTGTCTGTATGGTTTTCTCTTCTCCAATAAACAAATCTAGAGGAAAATATTTTGTGGTTCCTTGGTGTGCACATGTCTATAGAATCATACCATTTTATTGGTCATGTGTTGTTTGTAATAGGTATTATGTATTGAAAGATTGATGGTGTTTTTACAGGACGAGGCATGGAAAGTGTACTTCGTAGAGCCGTCCCAGGAAATTGTAGATGAGTTTGCCATGCGATACGGGATAGAATCCATATATCAGGCAATGACGTAAGTTTTCATGATTTAACTGAATATATTTTTTTCTACAGAAATTGCATGAAACCTCTCAGTAATTGAAGAAGGATTAAGATAGATAAAGATTTATAAATTGGTAGGAGATATGCTTTTTTTTTTATTATGTTTACCTATGATTTATTTTCACTTACATTAACAGGTGTATTTGTATTATTGTCTCTGTGTATCCTGATAGTCTCCCCTGTTTCATTCATTGTCATGTCAACATAACCAGAAGTCATGCTGTCATGTCCACTATTTCTACATGAACTTAGCCAGTCGTTGAACTCCGTCTAGAAATATCCCTGAATAAACACTGCAGTAACTTAGAAAGATATTTAGCGGTCACACGTCTGATGACATGGTCACACGTCTGATAACACGGTCACACATCTGATAACACGGTCACATGTCTGATAACACACTGTTTTACTTAAGGGACTGTGACGACTCATTCACTTAGAGTGTTGGCCTATGTAACATCAGGTGAAGGCCTATAGTGTGTGGTTCAATGCTCCTTGTCTGATGTATGTTTCTCAGGAGCTAAGAAAGAGACCAGTCTGTGCTCTGGATGGTGTGCGACAGACAGTAAGGTTTTAACAATGCTCTAAATGTTTATTTTCAGGCATTTTTCATGTTTGTCCACAAAATACATGTGTCCTGGTGTACCAGCAGTAATGAGCACACTTCTGGCAAACATTAATGCATTCTACGCACACACTACAGCCTCCACAGCCGTCTCTGCCAGTGACCGGTTTGCTGCTTCCAATTTTGGGGTAAGGATATGTCCTTTACCTGCAAACCATGGTACTATACATAGCTGAATATTGGTATAAATGCATACACATGGCTTAAGGCCATGAATAGTTCTAAAATGTATGGCTTTGGTTTTCATTTGAAATACAAAATGTAATTCATTCTCATAAATATTCATAAGAAAAATCTCCAGAGTGTTCTGATAAATATGTGAGCTAGATTTTTATAAGCATTCTCAAACCACAAAAATATATTGGTTACCACCCTTAGATATGTTAAGTGATCATTTATTTCAAAATAATGATAAAAAAAACACTGATCACTGTCTGTGAAAAGACTTGCAAATATCCTTAAAGTCTGGAATGAATAATATTATCACAGAAAAACCATTTTCCAGAAAGACAGTGTATAATTCTGTTTGTATTTTTTCTTTGTTTTCAGAAAGAAAAGTTTGTGAAGTTATTGGATCAGTTACATAATTCACTGAGAATTGATTTATCTATGTATAGGGTAAGTAGCTACAATAATGTTGATTTATGATTTTATGTTTACAGTAAGTACCTACAGTAACATTGATATATCTATGTTTACAGTAAGTAGCTACAGTAACATTGATATATCTATGTTTACAGTAAGTAGTTACAGTAACATTGATTTATCTATGTTTACAGTAAGTAGCTACAGTAACATTGATTTATCTATGTTTAAAGTAAGTAGCTACAGTAACATTGATATATCTATGTTTACAGTAAGTAGCTACAGTAACATTGACTTATCTATGTTTACAGTAAGTAGTTACAGTAACATTGATTTATCTATGTTTACAGTAAGTAGCTACAGTAACATTGATTTATCTATGTTTACAGTAAGTAGCTACAGTAACATTGATTTATCTATGTTTACAGTAACTACCTACAGTAACATTGATTTATCTATGTTTACAGTAAGTACCTACAGTAACATTGATATATCTATGTTTACAGTAAGTAGTTACAGTAACATTGACAGTAACATTGATTTATCTATGTTTACAGTAAGTAGTTACAGTAACATTGATTTATCTATGTTTACAGTAAGTAGTCTACAGTAACATTGATTTATCTATGTTTACAGTAAGTACCTACAGTAACATAGATTTATCTATGTTTACAGTAAGTAGCTACAGTAACATTGATTTATCTATGTTTACAGTAAGTACCTACAGTAACATTGATATATCTATGTTTACAGTAAGTACCTACAGTAACATTGTAACATTGATTTATCTATGTTTACAGTAAGTAGTTACAGTAACATTGATTTATCTATGTTTACAGTAAGTACCTACAGTAACATTGATTTATCTATGTTTACAATATGTAGTTACAGTATCATTGATTTATCTGTGTTTACAGTAAGTAGCTACAGTAACATTGACTTATCTATGTTTACAGTAAGTAGTTACAGTATCATTGATTTATCTATGTTTACAGTAAGTAGTTACAGTAACATTCATTTATCTATGTTTACAGTAAGTACCTACAGTAACATTCATTTATCTATGTTTACAATATGTAGTTACAGTATCATTGATTTATCTATGTTTACAGTAAGTAGCTACAGTAACATTGATTTATCTATGTGTACAGTATGTAGCTACAGTAACATTGATTTATCTATGTTTACAGTAAGTAGCTACAGTAACATTGATTTATCTATGTTTACAGTAACTACCTACAGTAACATTGATTTATCTATGTTTACAGTAAGTAGCTACAGTAACATTGATTTATCTATGTTTACAGTATGTAGTTACAGTAACATTGATTTATCTCTATTTACAATAAGTAGCTATGGTAACATTGATTTATCTATGTTTACAATACATACCTACAGTAACATTGATTTATCTATGTTTACAGTAAGTACCTACAGTATGTAATGGAATATATTGATTTTCAGATATTCATATTCATCCATGGGATGTAAGTTGCTTGGATTGTATCCAGCTCCAACTAAGTGTCATATATTGACCAATCATACTTACAGTCATGGGAGTAAGAACATTCAGGTCATACAGATATTTTCAAGTTTAGTTGATGTTTTTAAAGATGAGGAATTTGAAATAATGCTGTATAAACAATTCATGTGACGTGTTACAAATAAAGATTTTTTCTATGTTTTCTGACAGAATAATTTCCCAGCGTCAGATCGAGCTCGCTTACAGGATCTTAAGTCAACAGTAGATCTACTTACCAGTATCACATTCTTCAGGATGAAGGTAAGTCAGAGCATGATTTCTTGTTGTCAGCCTTAAAATGCCCAATTAGATATCCGATCAATTAATTAATTGGTGTCTTTGAACTTTTGATATTAAGTCATTTTCTGAACTTTGATCCAAGACTTTTTGTTTTTGTGTTACAGACTTGGCATTATTAGTTCATTCTGACTCCAAGTAACTATGTGCTGATGATATTGGAAAACCATATTCAGTTGTTAAATCGACATCGGGATATAAATTCTGGCTATCTGCCCTAAATATGTATTATTAAATTATTTTAACTCGAAACTAAACCAAAATTTAAGAAGTTATCTTTTTCTTGTTTTGTCAAAATTTCAAAAGACAAGCAATTCATTTGGTATATCTTAATACATTTTTATTTAAGCACAACATTATTAGAATTAGAAAAGAGTTTTATTTATAGAAAAAGATTCAGTTAGACATTTGATAAACAATTTTTATTTTATTATTAATTGAAGTTATACATTCCTTCCTTCTCCACCTCGTTTTCCCAACACTCAGCTTTATCATGTACTGGCTCTAACTCTTTTTGGACTCTTAACTGTGAAATTTAATATACATGTATTAATTTTCCAATTTTCCCCCAGTGTATGAGCAAAGAATTTTTTCAAGATAGTTGTTTTTTATACATAAATATTAATACTTTTTTACAACAAAATCATTTGCCTCATGGGACTTGATAAAGCTGAGTCCATGTCAAGTTGTTCAAAAATTGTAATTTTGTAATTTATGGAAGTAAAATTTATAACAGTTTTACACATGTATGTATCACCAGTATTGCTGTTGTGTTTCATGTTAAAAAAGAGGCTTGTCTCACAAATCTGTAACTAATTTGATGAAAACCTTTGGATTTTTATGTTGGTTATTCATTAATATTTCATTGATGTATTATAATATTTGTTAAAGAATTTTGAACAGCTTGGCATGATTTTGTAATTCTTTTGTTTTTTCATTGTTAAGTTAGTTGGATGTTAATTTTTATTTTGCTTATGTGAAATTAGTAGTGTCAGTTTGATTCAAGTCACCTAAATGTTCATAGTTAATGCTGCTGTGTTCAAAGTTTGGAATATTTATCTGTTACAAACAAGAAAAACAAAAATGTCTGTTTGTTTTTGATAATAACATCATAAAAAGATATTTGACTTATACAATATATATACTGTAGATATATATACATTATGCTATAGATATATGGATTTGTACTTGTTTTTAGAGTTATGTCCCTTCCCTGATTATTCTATATGTAGAAATGAGGGATCGTGCTTAAATGCAGTTACTATTTGAATATTTTTATGTTACTTATCTGAAAATTAGAAAAAATTGTTACAAATATTTCAATCACTGTTCCCCCATTTGAGAACGTTAGATTTAACAGATGATATTGTTTAAATTATTGATCAGGCACCTAAACTCAAGGAAGCACAGGTGACTTATACTATTTGCCAAATACATCCAAATAACTGTTTGTAACAGAAAATATTTCTGAATGACTTACATGTATTGCTGAAGTTTTCAGGTCTTTGTTGTAGATGTTAGTGTTATTCATCACAGGTAATTTGAATGACACCAGTTTGTGGGGATTTGAGGATTTTTTGTCATTGAAGAATCAGTCAAGTGCAGTGAATGGTTTATTTACTTCAAGCATGGATTTTGAAAATTTAACTTGTTTTATTAATCTTTAATTTTTCACTTTAATCATTGCGTTTCTAAAAGGTTTTCTACTAGGCCATATACCTATTAGCTTATGACATTGATTTCATTAAAAGTTGTTACATTTTGATGATTTGAACTTTAATTAATTTCATGTCATTTAATCAAATCAATGAAATAATGGGTCAGTATTTGTATTATTTTCTTTACAGGAAATTATATAACAATTCAATGAACCTACATTTACTCTGTTACATTACTCAAATATTTTCATTCTCTTTTTTCACAATCATTTATTTCCTTCTGATACAATCAATGCAAGATATTTGAATTCAAAGATTGAAAAGAATTAGGTTTTTAAGCTGAGATCATTTAAAAAAGTTGATTTGGTAAAAATGCTAGTTGATTTGCAGGAGGGGATACTTGAAAGAGTTTTATTTCAATTCAATACTTTTTAAAGATAAATATATATGTATAGTTAATAGTTGTGAGGGTTACAGTGTATATTTGTAGTAAAGATTGTTGAAAAAAGAATTGCTATTGAAAACAGCACAATTTAAGAAAAGGATCTAAATATAGACAAATGTAGATTACAACAGTTAATGTAGAAATAGGTCAATCAGAATTTGATAAAAAAATCAAAGACTTTTCTGAGGGTGTTAATTGATAAAATTGTAAATATGGTAGTTTGAAGTGGATAAGGGTTTCAAAGAAATGATGCTGGAGATAACAAAATGTAAGAAGATTGTGGTGAGTAAGAGGGTTTGTGTGAGGACGCTGTGTAACTGATGTGATTGTTATCCTCTCCAGATTGTGTCTAATCCAGATGTGAGTAGCACAGTGTTGTCCTTGGATTGCTGTCTACCTCTTTAGCTGTTCTCTATCTCTGATCCTAACTCCAATAGAACACGAGCCACTGGCTCAATATCTTGTTCATTTTACACTCTCAGAACATGTTTCAATATTTATTTTATAATTTTACTTTAGAACTTTGGTAGTATGGACACTTATTTTCTTATCAACAATATCATTATACTTTATTTTTATATATATATTTTGGAGAACAAATAATCTTCTAGATACACATTAATTCTGGACTTTCAGTTTTCCAAGACTTATGTATCTAGGAGCAAATATTTGATAAACATAAAAATGATCAATTTAAAGATACAGAATTACAAATAAGATATTCTGACAAGACTTAAGCTTCAGAAATAAAACTGGAGTGTCCAGACTAACAAGGTTCTTGGGTACATAAAAATCTAACAAGAGGTTTGACTATATAGCTCTGCACATAATAAGACTAATAGCAGGTATAGCTCAAGGCCTTGCCCAATAAATACCAGGTATCCATAGTTTACCGAGTATATGAGTATGAATGCTCAGGAAAACAGGACAGTGTGATGTACATCTGAAGTCAGAGGGTACAGAAATGTTTGTGGTTATGGAGCACTCTATATCAACGGTACAACTTGAGTTACTGGTCATTAAACACCATTCTAGATGCACCCAAACGAATGGACAGTGGATATTGAAATGGTTAACATTATGATGACCTTTGGATGGCATTAACCTTGATGACAATGACTGAGTGTTTGGAGTTCTCACAGACTCTGGTTCTACAGTTGTTATTGAAGACATATTTTAAGTCATGGTACCTGGTCTCTATAAGCAATTTAGTAATTCTGATTTCAGGAAAAAGTCACTGAAACATGAATGAATTTCTTGCAAACTTTATGATAATGAAAGCATATTTTATTTTATTACAAAATTTCAACAGGATTTGAATATATCAGAATCTCATTACATCAATTTTTTTAGGAATTGAAAACAAGTTGAATTTAGCTGTCTTAGCTCTATCTAATGTAGCGTGATGTTTGAACTAATTTTGTATTAACTCCTGAGTTTTCTGGCAGGAAGACTGATATTTACTTTGTTCATACTTCTGTCAAATTTTGAATATTTTTCCATTTAAATCTTGAGTTAAATTGTTTGTTTTTTTTTTATTCTTCTTCATTTGTGCATTTAGATCTCTCTGTGTTTTTCAGTGGAGTTGTTTGATTCATTTAGTATATTGTTGAAAAGGGAAAAAATAAATGATTGGCATATTTTTTCGTAAGTTGACTAAAATTACTGTAGATCATCAAGCATGAGATCTGCATGGCTGGAGATTTGATGAATGATTCTGTTTTATTTCAGTGAGGGTTTGTTCAGAAAAACTTCAGTTTACAAAATCCTGCTATAAATTAGTATAGACTAAAAATGCTGGTCCTTCTTACTAGAACATATGTTGACCGACTAGTACAAGAATGATTCATATTGTTTACATATAGAGATAACCTTGAAAAATGAAGTTGTGCGAAAAAATTGCAATAGAGTTTTTGAAATTTGTTAATTAAAGGAGTTCATATTTCATATGGGAAAGTTTGAAATATATTCAGATTTTCAATGTAATGACAGATCTAATTGTCATTTTATATCAGTATTATTAAATTTTATACATTGATAAATTTTTTATTTATTGTCATTGGTCAGTTAAACTGTTTGAAATTTATTTGGAGAAAGACTCCATAGTTGCATTGACCGTACCAGGTTAGTGATGCTTCAGTTGAAATACTCATTCTTTACACAATGTAAATGTAACGATCCTAGAATTTTGTGACTTATAGCTGATAGGAATACAATCTGATGTTTGAGCAATTGCTTTAGAAAAATCACATAAAAAATTGGTGGCACAATTTCTAGCTTCTGACAAAGTCAGTCACAGCTTTTTAATCCTGCGATTTTAAGCTGTTATGTGTCATTCCTAACAAAAAAAGGGCTTTTTGTTTTAAGTTCTGCTAATGAAAACTTATATACAATCAATATGCTAACCTACTAATTCTTAGCAGAATATAACTTCATCGCTAACATTTGTTTACCACATACTAGAGAATTTCTAATTTATAAAGATATCAAAATTATGAAAAGCACCACCACCAAATTTAATTTAGTTAAATTGGTAGTATTAATCAATATGATAAAGCTTTTTCTTTTGTTCTTGAAAAGCATTTCATTTTTGACTTAATTATAATTATTTTGGCAGTGGTTAAAGCTACTTAGTGTCAATCCAAAGTTTCTCATCAATATTTGGTGTATCTGTAGATTTCATCTCTTTGGCCTGAGTGCTATATGTCTAATAACTGTTTGGGGATTTACATTTTATGTCCAGTTATTAGCATTGAGCAATGATCAATGCACCTATAGTTCATATCTTATTATCCAATGGTGCCCTGTATTGATTTGCATTGCTTAGAAATGTCATAGCTTTTAACTAATATATATCACAGGTAAATATTGATGGGACTTCATCAACATAATATTACTAAATAATTCTTATTCATTGTTTGATAAAGTCTTTCATAAGGGTTTAATTGTAATCCTTTGAGATCATTATTCTGACTTATTGAGGGAGATTTTTTGGAACTAATGATTGACACTATCCCACAAACGTAGATACTAAAGTTATTTTATTTGATTATTAAAGTGACAAGTTCTTGTAAAGATAATATGGAAATTGTATTACACAGGTACAAGAGTTGCCGAGTCCACCCCGAGCCAGCACTGTCGTGAAAGACTGTGTGATAGCCTGCATGAAATCAACATACCAGTTCCTGCTAGATAATTGTTACGAGCTGTATCAGCGCGAGTTTCAGACAGATCCTGCAGAAGCTGATGCAGAACAACAGGGTGGAAATGCAAACAGCCTTGACCTTCTCCACAAACTGATAACTCTGATTGTGTCTGTGATTGAGGAAGATCGTAACAGCTACACGCCAGTCCTCAACCAGTTAGTATAGTTAACGATTGTCTCCCTTGTTGCTCATAACATTTCATGTTCAGTGTTATCTCCCATGTAAATTTTTGCATTCCTTGTTCACACATTTTCTATATAAAGTTGTAGTTATACTCCTATACAGATACCCTCCAGAATTATCCTTGTGTCAGGTATTGACTTTCTAAATATCTTGACATTGTACAGTATCCACTATAGCAATTGTGTCTATTATTTTTCAGGTTTCCACAAGAGCTTAATGTTGGTCAAGTTAGTGCTGCCAACATGTGGGCATTATTCTCTCAGGACTCTTGTTATGCTTTACAAGGTAAGTCAGCTCATCAAGTAGGTCCAAAGGTTATATAAGTATATATATATATATATATAACTTCAAAAAAATCACAAATGGTATGCATGTAAAAAAGAAAAACAAAAAAACCATGTTATCCATCCTTATACATTTTGTTGTGTGGAAGCCATATTGTTTCACTGTTAAATATGATTGGTTTTGATACTTAATCATAATTAACTTGTCCGAGGTAAGTAGATTAACCAGAATAAAGCTTTCACCAGAAGGCCTCATCATAGACATATGTTCCAGTGTAACATCAAGTGACGACACTGTCCTAGCCACCTGGATGGAAACTTAAGGCACACATCTCTTACACCCAAATCACACTACCTTGGCTCACATTCTACACAGCACAAACCCAGCTGTTCATTTATGTTGTAATCGAATAACATAACATTATAAGCCAGGTATACGGTGATCTGAACCTTTGTTACCTTGTATTAAGATATGTAAACTATTTGATTTTATTTATCTAGAGCATGAAGTGGAACGGTCCTGTAAGAGCTCAGAGTATATGAATCTACACTTCAAGTTAAAGTGGCTATATACCAAGTATATTGCTGATGTGCCTCAATACAAGGGGACAGTGCCCGAGTACCCACAGTAAGGAATTTCAGTATTTTTCACCACCTTGTGATGGAAATTCTTTTACGTGTATATTTTCACAAAGACAGGAATAATTATTTTCAGAAAAAAATCTTCAATTTCTCAGAGTTACTCACTTACTAATGTAATTGGAATCAAGCCAGTCAAATTTGCAAACAAAGGGATTAGTTTTGTAAAACTTTTAATTTGTCAAGTTTTCAAATGTATTTTGTGTGTTGAGAGTTCCTTGGTTATATTTGTAAATGAAGCAATTAGGCTATTGTAATTCTGCCTTAAAGTGAACGTTGAGTGTTTTGCTATATTTAGCTATAGAATACTTCACATTATGCTATAAAAGGCCAAGAAATATCATAATTAATTCCTTTTCTCAGATATTGTGATTTATCTGAAATGCACACCCAAGGGATCACCTTGATATACTGTGGATTCATTTTATTTCGTGGGGGTCCAATTTTCGTTGTTTTCGTGGATGAGCAAATCCACGAATTTAAAAACACAACGAAATATGAACTTTTACTAAAGTAATTTTGAAATTTGTAATCTTTGCCGACACCGGAAACGTCCACCGGTAATGACAGAAGCCCCATAATTAGTCGGGAGTCGGGTAGTCTGAGGCTCGACATGGATACGCTAAATTGGTGTCAACGATATATAATTATATATTATTAAACATAACAAAGGGTAAGTACCCATTGTGATGCTAAGTATGATGGGATCGCAGTCGTTAGCGACACTGTGGACACTAGGCTTGATCGGACCATCCTGTCGATTGAAGATTGGATCCGTATTTCTATCCGACTACAGGTTCACAATAATTATTAATAATGCAGATCTTGTTTACACACCTGTTTACACACAATCGATACGCGTGGTGTTTTCATATGACTGCGGTACACCGACTGATCAGCACACAATGTTTATCCACTGAAAACAATTGTTTCTGATAATTACCGATTGATTACACGCCAGGATATATACTGATTTGTGGTTTGATATTAATGCGAGACTGTTGTAAACAGCGTTATAAAAACACAGGACGCCACTTGAAAAAAACGTTCTTTTATTCTTGTCATTAGTGTTAATTCCTGTGAACATAGCCTTAATACAAACAGAAAAAAATTCGACTGGAAGCAAAAAGAGAAAATTCTAACGTTTTTATTTTTTTCCCACAGAATCAAAAATCCACGAATTTATGAGTCCACGAAACTGTCTAATTTGTAGAAACAACGAAAATTGAACCCAACGAAAATAAATGAATCCACAGTAGGTAGCCCACATCTGTGACGTCACAATTTCAATGCTGTCAAAACCACCATATAGAAATATACCAGGAGACTTGAATCATGTATTTTTTTAGCTACTCTTGTGATGTATTCTGTTGACACTTAACTTGTGTAGGTCTTTCCACCCTCATCAAGGATGGTCTAGATTTTGGTCCCCCTTTCAAAGTACATGTTTAGGCAGATTACTGATTGAGCTATACACATGAAAACTGCTCTTCCACTAGATTGAATGATAAAATAAGAATCTTCAAAATAAGATTTTAACATATATATCTCTGATTGTTGTAAATAACAAAATTGTGAGCCCACACATAATCAGGTTGGTTGACTGCCATGTTTAAAAAATTTTAGACAGTTTTCATATCAATAAAACTGCATTATCGAAAGCCATTGATCGATGCAAGCTGTGTTTATTAGGTTTCAATATTTTTTGAAGAACAATAGTTTTTTAAGTTATTATATCATAGGGTTAAGTAGTTTTTCAGTTTAATCATTGACAGAACATTGTTAGTGAGAGGGTGGCCATCATTTACTTTTTACAATGACAGATTTAGGTCAATTTTCAAGGGGTGAAATATCCACTAAAGGGACCAAATTCCTCCCAAATCTTATCATTAACATCAGATTAAATATTTGCTTCTAATTCTCAAATTATATATCTGATTATTGATAGATAAAAAATTTGTAAATCCTCACACAATCGGCCAGGCCTACTGCAATATTGGAGAAATGGATGATTTTCATATCAATAAAACTGCATTATAACAAGCTGTGGACTGAGGCAGGATATTATTATTGAGTGAAATAATAGTTTCAAGTTAATAATCATTATGGTTCATTAGTTTCTCAAATAAATTGTCAACAAAATGATGTTATCAGTGAGAGGGTGGTCCTAATTATTGCTTGCAATGATAATGTATATGATATAATTATTGTAGCTATATGCAATTTTCCTTGATAATACTTGTTTTCGATATGTAAAGGTGTGTGATAACTTTTGCCTTGTTCTAAAGTTGACAATAAATTCTAAGGTTGACCATCAATATGTTTAAATTGATCATAGTTCTGGCAAATTTCATGTGACTTTATACTTTATACATAATGCTATTGTAAGAATTATCTATTTCTGTATTTATCTATTATCTATATTAATTATCTATGAAATATTTATTTGCAATTTGAGGTTGTATAGCATGGCTGTTGTCGATCTTTCATTTTACTTCCGTGTTAGTCACTACCAGTCATTGAACTAATGACGTCACAGACAATAGGGTCCCATTCAGTGCGAGTTATGCAAGTCACAATCTATATACATCAATACCTTGGTATTGTGCCGACCATTTTTGATGCCGTGTTCAACCTATTTGATTTTGGATCATAACAAATACACTATATGTACTTTTATTTTCACTCGGGGTACATCCCATGTATTTATTGTTTGCATAGATGACATTGTTATAACCTGACTTACCTATGTGTGGTTTTTTTTCTGTATAGATGGTTTGAACCGTTTGTGATGCAATGGTTGAACGAGAATGACGATGTTTCCATGGAATATCTCCACAGTGCCTATGAACGCGACAAAAAAGACGGGGTGAGAAAACGTCACAAAAATTTATTTTCACGTTACGTATACTCAATCTAGAAAATAGTATCATGATACACTGTTTAATATAGATGTGCAGTAGAGGTTTTATTTTTTCTAAACATGAATGTCAAGGTCACTGCCTTACTGCCTTAAGAACTGAAGTACATAAGACATTAATACATGTATACATGATACAGAAGAGTATGAGAAGTTACAGTGTGTATCTAACTGGATAGATTTCTCTATAAAATTTGTATATGATGTTTCAGTTCCAAAAGAGTTCCGAGCACTCTCTGTTTTCTACGTCGGTGGTGGATGTGTTCACGCAGCTCAATCAGTGTTTTGATGTCATCAAAAAGCTGGAGTGTCCTGACCCTGAAGTAGTCAAACGCTACATGAGGCGGTTTGCAAAAGTAAGCATTCATATCTTATTCACGCTACATGAGGCGGTTTGCAAAAGTAAGCATTCATATCTTATTCACTCAATTCATACAAAAGATATGGCACAAATATCTGTTTATCCATATTATCATTTTTAATCTAATTTTAAATTTTACTGACATGGCAGTAATGTAAGCAAATGGCTTGTATATTTTGATATTAAGAGTATAGATAAGCAAATGGTATGTTTAAAACAATGTTTAATGTGTACCACCCCTATGTAGGTCAAAGGTCAGCCCAGTGTTCCTTCTTAGCCAGGTGAAATATAACTTGTATTTACAGTAATACTGCCGAGATGATGATGTGTGCTTATCAGAATGCTATTGATTGTTGTCTTCCCATTCTGTTAGGATCAATATTCTGTTTACTTAATCTGGTTTTTATTGTTTATTTTTACAGACAGTAAATAAAGTACTTCTCACCTATGCAGATACAGAGAAAAAAGATTTTGAAAAGTACACAAACAATAACCGAGTAGTAAGTATATAGTGTTTTAGTATTATATAAAGTGATATGTTACTCTAGTAAATCTTACAACAATTACAGTTCAGTCATATAGGAGACCACTTGCCTACAGTTAAATGATGACATTTACACCTGTTCTTTAAGTCTAACGGACTGTGACCACAATTTAATATTTAGGTTAACCGTTGTGATTTGAATAAAAAAAAGTTTTAATTTGATAACAGATTTTCTCCAATTTCTCTTGAGGTTTTTAGGACGTGTTTTCATTTAGCCTGTACTTTTCAGTACAGAGATTTTCAAGTCAACCAGTATTTCTCTGTACAGAGATTTTCAAGTCAGCCAGTATTTCTCTGTACAGAGATTTTCAAGTCAGCCAGTATTTCTCTGTACAGAGATTTTCAAGTCAGCCAGTATTTCTCTGTACAGAGATTTTCAAGTCAGCCAGTATTTCTCTGTACAGAGATTTTCAAGTCAGCCAGTATTTCTCTGTACAGAGATTTTCAAGTCAGCCAGTATTTCTCTGTACAGAGATTTTCAAGTCAGCCAGTATTTCTCTGTACAGAGATTTTCAAGTCAGCCAGTATTTCTCTGTACAGAGATTTTCAAGTCAACCAGTATTTCTCTGTACAGAGACTTTCAAGTTAGCCAGTATTTCTCTGTACAGAGATTTTCAAGTCAGCCAGTATTTCTCTGTACAGAGATTTTCAAGTCAGCCAGTATTTCTTAACACTGATTTCCCAGTCAGCTAGTGTCTCTCTGTATTTTTCAATTTGCCAGTATTTCTCTGTACAATTTTGATATATTCATCCTTAAATCTTTCAGGCATGTATATTAATGAACAACATCCAACAATTACGAGTGCAGTTGGAGAAAGTGTTTGAATCCATGGGAGGGGAAAAGGTATGTAGTCCAGCTCAAGTTGTTAAATATTGTTATAGAATAGAAAACTATCTCTAAGATAATAGAAATATCTTAATCAAGGATTTATATTTCTTACTGTAAAATTATTCATTTTTGTGATGTTTTATTTTCATGCTTTTTGTGGGCACTTTTAATCCACAAACTTGCATGTCCATGATAGTAAACAAATAAGAACTGCCATGAAATTTAGTACAAGTAGATACATATGTAAGATTTATCCATGATAGCAAATGGTAGCAACAATGAGAATTTTGTAATACAAAGAAATTAGAGTCGAGTCAAGTGATTTTACAGTGACCGGAGAGTTGTAGATCCAATATAAATATTTTAATTTTAGAAAATTTATACACTCTACTGCATTTAAATTGATATAAAAGGAAATTTACAAGATGATTGTTGTAATTTATGATATAGCTGGATACAGAAGCCTCGGAAATGTTGAAAGAACTGCAGCAAAAACTCAACACAGTGCTTGATGATCTCGCTATGATATTCGCCAAAAGTTTGGAACCACAGATTCAACAAAGTATGCAAGAATTAGGGACATTACTCTCCAAAGTAAAAGGTGCAGGCCAGGTCTCCTTGGCCCAACCCAGTCAGAGGAACAGTATACAGCAGGAGTCCGATATGGTGCTAGGTCCCCTTATGGACCTTCTTGATGGCAGGTATGTTTAGAGAGAGTGATATGGTGCTAGGTCCCCTTATGGACCTTCTTGATGGCAGGTATGTTTAGAGAGAGTGATATGGTGCTAGGTCCCCCCTTAAGGACCTTCTTGATGGCAGGTATGTTTAGAGAGAGTGATATGGTGCTAGGTCCCCTTATGGACCTCCTTGATGGCAGGTATGTTTAGAGAGAGTGATATGGTGCTAGGTCCCCTTATGGACCTTCTTGATGGCAGGTATGTTTAGAGAGTGATATGATGTAGATCCCCCCTTATGGACCTTCTTGATGGCAGGTATGTTTAGAGAGTGATATGGTGCTAGGTCCCCTTATGGACCTCCTTGATGGCAGGTATGTTTAGAGAGAGTGATATGGTGCTAGGTCCCCTTAAGGACCTTCTTGATGGCAGGTATGTTTAGAGAGAGTGATATGGTGCTAGGTCCCCTTATGGACCTTCTTGACAGCAGGTATGTTTAGAGAGAGTGATATGGTACTAGGTCCCTTTATGGACCTCCTTGATGGCAGGTATGTTTAGAGAGAGTGATATGGTGCTAGGTCCCCTTATGGACCTTCTTGATGGCAGGTATGTTTAGAGAGAGTGATATGGTGCTAGGTCCCCTTATGGACCTTCTTGACAGCAGGTATGTTTAGAGAGAGTGATATGGTGCTAGGTCCCCTTATGGACCTTCTTGATGGCAGGTATGTTTAGAGAGAGTGATATGGTGCTAGGTCCCCTTATGGACCTCCTTGATGGCAGGTATGTTTAGAGAGAGTGATATGGTGCTAGGTCCCCTTAAGGACCTCCTTGATGGCAGGTATGTTTAGAGAGAGTGATATGGTGCTAGGTCCCCTTATGGACCTCCTTGATGGCAGGTATGTTTAGAGAGAGTGATATGGTGCTAGGTCCCCTTATGGACCTCCTTGATGGCAGGTATGTTTAGAGAGAGTGATATGGTGCTAGGTCCCCTTATGGACCTCCTTGATGGCAGGTATGTTTAGAGAGAGTGATATGGTGCTAGGTCCCCTTATGGACCTTCTTGATGGCAGGTATGTTTAGAGAGAGTGATATGGTGCTAGGTCCCCTTATGGACCTCCTTGATGGCAGGTATGTTTAGAGAGAGTGATATGGTGCTAGGTCCCCTTATGGACCTTCTTGATGGCAGGTATGTTTAGAGAGAGTGATATGGTACTAGGTCCCTTTATGGACCTCCTTGATGGCAGGTATGTTTAGAGAAAGTGATACGGTGCTAGGTCCCCTTATGAACCTTCTTGATGGCAGGTATGTTTAGAGAAAGTGATATGGTGCTAGGTCCCCTTATGGACCTTCTTGATGGCAGGTATGTTTAGAGAGAGTGATATGATGGTGCTAGGTATGGACCTTCTTGATGGCAGGTATGTTTAGAGAGAGTGATATGGTGCTAGGTCTAAGGACCTCCCTTAAGGACCTGGCAGGTCTTGATGGCAGGTATGTTTAGAGAGAGTGATATGGTGCTAGGTCCCCTTATGGACCTTCTTGATGGCAGGTATGTTTAGAGAGAGTGATATGGTGCTAGGTCCCTTTATGGACCTTCTTGATGGCAGGTATGTTTAGAGAGAGTGATACGGTGCTAGGTCCCCTTATGGACCTCCTTGATGGCAGGTATGTTTAGAGAGAGTGATATGGTGCTAGGTCCCCTTATGGACCTTCTTGATGGCAGGTATGTTTAGAGAGAGTGATATGGTGCTAGGTCCCCTTATGGACCTTCTTGATGGCAGGTATGTTTAGAGAGTGATACGGTGCTAAGTCCCCTTAAGGACCTCCTTGATGGCAGGTATGTTTAGAGAGAGTGATACGGTGCTAAGTCCCCTTATGGACCTCCTTGACAGCAGGTATGTTTAGAGAGAATGATATGATGCCTTGTCCCACTATGGACCTTCCTGAGAGCAGGTGTTTTTAGAATGGTTCATATATTGGGGGGATGGGGGGGGGGGGGGAAATCTGCTTCCTTGTACTGAGTTGAGATTTTGTATTTATCAAATAGATTTTGTTCTACACAGAATTTGCTGACTGCTGGTACACTCTATCAAAACTGCAGTAATGTTCATGATATAAACCTATGATTTCATACCAATTGTAATGTATTCAAAATATTGACAAAGCCATTTGCAAATTCTGTTGCTCTTCTTAATTGCTATACAGCAAGCACACAGTATTGTTGAAGTGCAAGACAATTATAAGATTTAATTTTGATCATTCTTTGGCATGGTACTAACATGCAGGTGCTGTTCACATTTGTATCTTATATGAACACAAACTATGTTATTGGTGTTTTCAGCCTGACAATGTTTGCTCAACTCTGTGAAAAGACTGTGCTGAAACGTCTGTTGAAGGTTTGTCTTTGTCCTAAATATTTCTTCAACATTTTTCAATGGAAAACAAAAAGATTCCAATTTGATATACTTTTCTGTTTCTGTAAAACTTTGTATCATTATGATTTGTGTGGATATACACTTTACCTGGGTTGGATAAGATAGTGTCACTAAGGACACAGACACCAATCTGCTATGTATCAGCTTAAATAAGATAATTAATAAATGATTTCTAGATAATATTATCCTACAAATTTCAAATTAGTAATGATTTGTTTTAAGTGGATTGGTAAAGTGTTTTTTTTCCCCTTGTTTCGTAGAATTAGTTGATATATTTACATGACCTTGTTTACAGGAGCTATGGAGGATAGTAATTTATACAATGGAGAAGAAAGTTGTGCTTCCACCTCTCTCTGATCCCAGACAGGTAAGAATCAATTTCTTCTTGTACTCTGGAATATATCAAGACCGCTTCTTAAGGCAAATATCTATGAAAAATGATATTGTAGGAGACCCTGAAGAAAATATTGAGACAAAAACTCACAGGATTGTTCTATTTTATGGTTCAAATTCTATTGTTGTTTTTATGATAAACTTCATGCAAAAATGAAGTCATTACATTGTTTTCTTAATTGATTTTATTTACAAGGTATTTTTTCATGGATTTATTCCATCTTTTAAGATTACAAAAAAATATAGCACCACAAAAAACATGAGCAGATGAAGAAGCAGTATGTATGTTACATCAATATCAGAATATACATTTAGATAAAATATCAAGTGATGTTGCCATGGTGATATCATATTTGATTATGTTGATTTCCTCACACTGTATATCATTGATGCGATGCTTTATTTTATAGGAAAAAGGCTCAAAATCTGATGTCAGGGTATATAACTCTAATTCTATTCCAGTATAACCAGTCTAGATGGTTAAGGGTTTGGTTTGTTTCCTAACAAACTATTAAGATTAGGATTTTTCTCTGCTCAGACTTCAGTTTTCTTAAGAGGAAACTCCATGATTATTATCATTTGTTAGTGTTCCTGTTTAATTCAAACCATAAGTTCCTATGAAAACTTCATTTGGACAGCTTTAAAAGATAGTATTGAGAGATTATCATTTATGCTGTGATTTTTCAAAAAAATCTATTGATGCATATATTGGTACAAATATATTAAAGTTTGCTGTAATTATTTAATTGTTGAAGAGTTAAAGCCAAACAATTATTCTAAGACAATTTAAGTCTGAACCAGTGAGAAAATCATAATCTATCGCTTACTAACATGAATGATGGTATATTGGGAAAGAGCCAGTGGTCATGGTGTTTTTCTTGACAAGATGGTATGCTTTTTGCTTATAACTGTAGGATCAGGGGAGGTAATCTGTTTTAATTAGCAGCAAATTAGTCACAGACATTATGCTTATAATGCTGCTTCTTATAAATGAGTGGAAATGATTGTTTAGAAGAATATGAAATACAATGTTCATGTTATTTGATGATATACTGTAGAAAGACAATATGAAAATCAGATTTTTTAGATGGATAATAACTTTTGTTTAAAAAAAATTTGAAATGTGTGTCCTGATGAATTTGGAGATTTATTTTTGTACATGTTCATGTAAATCATAGATACACATAAATATTGGAATTTTGTCGACAGAAGTTGTGAGTTTGGTGTGAGAAATGATTGTGAATGAGCCTATGAAATGACAATAATCTACTAACTTATTCCTTGTTTTTTCTTCATGAAACATGGGACCTTGTTTTCAGCGTCTCAATAACTTATAACAAGCTGTAACAATCCAGGCGGCACTGATTTCCTAACATAATCCCCTAACATTGGTATTGACCTAGCTAGGTTACATGTGACTAACAGGCCTTGGTTCTGGTTCTTTGCTGTGAAATTCCAATCAGGACAATTATCTTTTTCTTTGGTTGACTAAAGGATTTCCAGCAATGACTTGGCTTTTCATAATTTTCAAATCTCTATTCTTATTAGTGATATTTTAATCAACAAATCTTCTATAACTATATCAAGGAGTTTCTTAATAGGCATCAAAGCAGTTTCAAATGTGTTCTTCCCATTTTTACTTTTGACAATGATTCTGTCAGTAAAAAGGCATTTAACAAAGTCTCCTTTGTTTTTTTTTATAGAGTTATTGGCCTTGATTATCTTTACTAAAGTATACTTCTGTTGATTGCAAAAATTTCCTCTGTCTTGTTTCCTCTCTGTTCAACTTTAAAGAATATTGGAAACATTTTATATTTGGATTATACAGCTTGAATTTTCAGAAAAAGTTGAGATGTTTTAATGATGGGTGCATCTCCCAATGGCCACTGACATGATCTTCCTTATCTCTATACTGGATACCAGTTTGATCAGTTGATGATTATAAAGACCAACCAGGGAAGGGTGACATGTATGATTTGTGGGACTATTCAAAACTCCTACAACTATTTGTCGATAGCAGCAACAACTTTTAATGTCAGAGTCTGGAAATAATTATCTCCCCTTTACTGGTTTTATTTTGGATAAATACTATTGAGAAGAAAATTGAGACTGACATCAGGAGTAGTTTTCAACTTTAAGTAATGTTGTCATGGTTTGTGATTGCAGTTTCTGTCCCTACCTGGTAAAGGGAAAGGTTCCATTCTTGATGATAAGCCCAAGTTTTTGTTCTTTGTTGGTGTAAGTCAAATGTTCTCAAGTAATTGTAGCTTCAACTTTAACCTCAGACCTCAGTCTTGTTATGTATTGTACATACTCTGACCTCTACTCGAACCTGTGCGACCTCCGACCTTTCTCTAAGAAGGCATTCACTCTATGGGATGTGGTTGCTCATTTTACCACAAATTGAGATTTTCTTTTATGTTTGAATCTTGATTGATGTTTTACAAATTCAGGAATCTTTCTTCATAAGATGTTGATGTATAATAACAAAATTATGTTTTGAATGGACCCGCCTTGTTAGTTTGAAAATTTGACTACTAACTCCAGCACATAATAGTATCCCATGGAGTGTTTGTGTAAAATTCCAGCACATATCTGTTCTACTCAAAGCTTTGAGTGTCCTCCCCATGCCTCAACCCTCACCAAACCATGCATTATTAAGTTCCTGTTACTAGTACAATCTTGAGTCTTAGGCACATATTCTCTTGAATTCATATTTTAAGAGCATCACATATACCTAAATACTGTCTTGAAAGATTATAGGCTTCATTGGTGAAAGTTTCAATTAATTGCTACTTTTTCGTAGCCTTTCTAAATGCTTTATTATTGTGTTAAATATGAAGTTTTCAGAATGCAAGGTACATACATGTAGATGACACAATCAGATGAAATCTTCACAAAAGAGATCTATAATCAAATTATGAAAAGAAAAATTGAAAACCTCAAAATTGTCCCATGTATAAATCTCAATGTATATATTTGTCCCAACCCTGAACCCTCATAAGTGTTAATGGACCCATCCATATGTATCTGGGCTAGTCTACTTGAATGTAAAGCAGTGAGAATGGGGTCAATGTTGTCTCAAATTTCAAAATCCCAGTGTTGCGTGTCAGGGTAGATTAGAAATTGTACTGATCCATTGACCTTGAGCTGATCAAGGTCACTGACAAGGTTATGGAACAGTAATCATGTCTGTCTGTGTGTCTGTATATTGTGAGCCCTGTAAGCAGAGGACTGGTCTTTCAGATTTTTCAGCTCTCTTTCTAAAACTGGCTGCCCAAAATGTTCTTCGATTGGCTGACGATATGCAACAACAACAACAATGATCGAGTGTGATGGCTTCCACGTTGTTCCTTGTGTCATGTGACTAGACTTGTTAAAACATGAAGTGACGTAATTTAGGTTGGAATTCATGACTTGGTGAAAATGTCCTGATTATGACGATATGATGATCTGGTATTGCATTTTACAAGGTCACTTTCAACAGCAAGATGCCACTTTGTTGACTATGCCTTGCACATGAAATGCATGACCATGGTTATCTACAGTAAGGACGATAATTGTTTCCTGCAGTAATGACAACAAGTTTCACCTACAGTAATGACAACAAGTTTCACCTACAGTAATGACAACAAGTTTCACTTACAGTAATGACAACAAGTTTCACCTACAGTAATGACAACAAGTTTCACCTACAGTAATCACACAGTTGTTACCTACAGTAATGACAACAAGTTTCACCTACAGTAATGACAACAGTTGTTACCTACAGTAATGACAACAAGTTTCACCTACAGTAATGACAACAAGTTTCACCTACAGTAATGACAACAAGTTTCACCTACAGTAATCACACAGTTGTTACCTACAGTAATGACAACAAGTTTCACCTACAGTAATGACAACAAGTTTCACCTACAGTAATGACAACAAGTTTCACTTACAGTAATGACAACAAGTTTCACCTACAGTAATGACACAGTTGTTACCTACAGTAATGACAACAAGTTTCACCTACAGTAATGACGACAAGTTTCACCTAAAGTAATGACAACAAGCTTCACCTACAGTAATCACAACAAGTTTCACCTACAGTAATCACAACAAGTTTCACCTACAGTAATGACAACAAACTTCACCTAGAGTAATGACAACAAGCTTCACCTACAGTAATGACAACAAGTTTCACCTACAGTAATCACAACAAGTTTCACCTACAGTAATGACAACAAACTTCACTTACAGTAATGACAACAAGCTTCACCTAGAGTAATGACAACAAGTTTCACCTACAGTAATGACAACAAACTTCACTTACAGTAATCACAACAAGCTTCACCTACAGTAATGACGACAAGTTTCACCTACAGTAATGACAACAAGTTTCACCTACAGTAATGACAACAAGTTTCACCTACAGTAATGACAACAAGCTTCACCTACAGTAATGACAACAATTGTTTCCTAGAGTAATGACAACATTGGTTTCCTACAATAAATTATGAAAAGTTAGACACCATGATACTGACTATTAACGCAAGGAGGATGCAGTTCCTACATGCCATTATACAAAGGTCATGTCACATGGTAAAGATTCTACAAAGTAGTCCAAATGACATGGGTATGACATGTATTGCTGATCGAGAGTCGTCCGTCCTTTTTCAGCTCCTGCCTCTACCTGGTACAGCCCAAGCTAAGATAGAAGATGTGTCCCGTTTGCTATTCAACAATGTCAGCCAATTGCCCATGAATGTCCCTATGATTCAGGTGAACCCACGCTTCAATGTCCGTGGTGATCGTTGCATTCTAGCCCCATATTCCCCAAATCCTCAGTTTTCTTCATGTTGTTTGTTTGTAACACTGTTACACCATTTTTTTTGTTGATGTTTGGTAAACTATTTTTCCTTGCTTTTTGCTTGCATGCTATGTCATATATCATTTATGTATTGTATTACTTTGTAACCTTACACACGCACATCTTTCATGGATAATGTGTTGATTTATAATTGTACATATATTAAATAATAAATGAATTTTTTAGATACCATTACCATAAACTTGTGTATGATATTTTTTTCAAAAATTAGCAGATATTTTAATTTTCAGTTGCTAGTTTGATTTTTTTCCATGTCATTAAAACTTCTTCAATTTTATCCACTTTCAAATTTTATTAGATTGTAGATTAGTTACTAGTATTTTCATACAACACCAGTTTTCCATATTTCTTCGTTTTATACTCCTTTTATACAAATTGTAGCTTTACCAATTGAAGGAAAATAAAACCCTGGAATAGTTAATTCAATATTGAATTATGTGAATTAGTAAGAAGAAATTTGAAATGTTTGTTTCGAGATCACAGAATATTTCATGTATATTAATAATTGGTGTTAATATTTGATCAGAGAGTAAAAACAATCCTGTTTTTTACTAATATATGTGTATCACATTTTGAAGCACTGTTCTTTTTTAAAAATTATGTATTCTGATAATTCTTCTGTTGGAATAAAACTGAAAAAATAAATGTCTGTGATAAAGGTGACTTATTGTGTGAAGTCTGATGGTTCATCATCTGTATCATCAGTAAATATTACAGTGTTATCAAAATATATTGTTTATAAAAAATCATTTCATTTGATGTGTCGCCTCAATAGATCTATTTAGTAGTGTATGTGCCATTAACTGAGATCTGTGTTTTGTTAAATTTCATTTTCATATGAATTCAAAGGAAATAACAAGATTTTGTGTATGAATAGATCTTACATATTTATATTGGAAATTAATATGTTGAAAAGTTTTGACCTTGAGAATTGATGTTCACCTTTATCAACATTTTTGTTACAGGATATGTCCAAGGAGGCCGAAAAGAATTTGAGTCCAAAACAATGTGCAGTTCTGGATATGGCCCTGGATACAATTAAGCAGTACTTCCATGCCCAAGGTAAAGGTCTAAAGAAAGCATTCCTCGATAAGAGTCAGGAACTCCAGTCATTGCGATATGCTCTGTCCTTGTATACACAGACAACTGACACGCTCATCAAAACGTTTGTCAGTACTCAGACATCACAAGATCAGCCAAGTAATGAGGACCCTGTAGGGGAGGTATCTGTACAAGTTGATCTCTTTACACATCCTGGCACTGGGGAACACAAAGTCACAGTGAAAGGTAAGAACATCTCTGTACTCACCATGTAGGACATGTACTGGATATACATCTACTTTCAATTAAATTAGATGTAAGTGATAGATTCTATACTCAATTGGTTGATATGGTGACAAATAGATCCTTGGCACCTTTCTCAAATTTTACAGTATTAATCAGAAAATGCTGTGAGAGATTTATTCTCAAATTTAAAAAATAGGTTTTCTGTTTCACATGACATTGCAATTTTGATTAATTTTCTTATTGTTGAAAATTAAGTATTTCAACTATAAGAGCAAAGAAGGATAAAGAAAGGAAAAGGAAGGGAAAATATGAAACGAAAGAACAAAGAAAAAGAAAAATTATTGATGTGCATTGTATGTCTTTTCCTGATCCTATTTTATTGGTTTTGCTCAGTTGTGGCAGCTAATGACCTCAAGTGGCAGACATCGGGCATGTTTCGACCATTTGTAGAGGTCAATCTGATTGGACCTCACATGGGTGACAAGCGCCGCAAACATTCCACAAAATCCAAGAGTAACAACTGGTCGCCAAAGTTTAATGAAACCTTTCACTTGTGAGTTATCTTACTGCATGTTGATGTGGAGTTTAAAACTTGTTGTCAGGACATAGAACATAGAAATCATTCTCATAGACTCGTTCATATTTAATTATCTGATAGGTATTTACATTAGTGTCTGCGTCAATACTTCACAAAATTTTAGCAAGTACAAATACTTGAACTGGAGAGTTCAAAACCATTGCTGGTTATAAAAGTAGATATTTCCTACAGGGTAGGCCACACATGATTTATTCCAGGAAAGGAGAAATAAATTTTAATGATACTTAAAAAACACTTTTAATTTTAATGTTTTGATTTTTAAAAAATCCCCCAAGACATTTATGTCATTTCATTGTGAGAAAGTTGAAAGTAATTCACACTAGTAAGTATTATACAGTCAATGAACAATCAACGATAAAAATGAATGACCACTACGAAAGCTTATTTGCTATTTTTATCTTATTTTCTTAGTAAAAGATTTTGTTTGTTAAGTCTGATATGATTTCCTCTTTCAGTATTCTTGGGAATGAAGATGATCCCGATGCCTATGAATTACACATTTGTACCAAGGACTATTGTTTTGCACGCGAAGACCGTCTGATTGGTGTGGCCGTCATGCAGCTACGTGATATCGTGGAACAAGGGAGCTGTGCATGCTGGTGCTCTTTAGGTCGAAGAGTCCACTTAGATGAAACTGGGTGGACCATTTTACGCATTCTATCACAAAGAACTAATGATGAGGTTGCAAAAGAGTTTGTAAAGTTAAAATCTGAAAGCAGGCATCTTGAAGATGTGTCCTGAAGTTTAATCAGTGATATTAGAATTCTTTAATTAATTGTGTACAGATTTTGCTGCAGAACTGAGTTAAGATCTCATTTTGTTGACCAATAGCCTGTCTCTGATGGCCAAACGGTCAGTTGATCTCACAAGGTAGTGACCTTTTAAAGAGGTCATTTGGAAGTATGGCTGGAGTTTGCCTTTAGTGTGATGGATTTTGTCATAATCATAAAGAGATGTTTTCATGTGCAGCGTTCCAAGTAGTATGTCACTGTACACAGGTGATTGCTGTTCACAGGTGCCGATATTTTACTGCCAATGTAGATAGTTGACCACATTATGCTAGCCACTTTTAGACTGCTTGTGATGACTATGACTGTCTGTTTAGAGAGATAGTTGCACTACACAGGTGTCCTTGTTAAAAAACAGATTATCACTATTGAATAAGTATTGATATACACAGATGGTCAGTGTTTAGAGGTAGTCAGCCTACATTCTGAGGTTGTTATGCTGTATAAACAAGCGGTCAATATTTAAAGGTGGACAATTTACAGAGGACAATTTACACATGTGGTCACTATACAAAATTAGTCACTGGAACATAATATTTGACTTGATTGTTATTCAAAAGTGATTATTATACAAAGATGGTCGCTATTCAAAGGTGTCCTTTTGTACAGTATAGACAGTGTGCCATGCTTCCCCAGATCCTGTTTACACAGGTGACCAGTCTTCTGTAGCAATTTTATTCATTTATATTATATTTCAGACTGTCTTGTTCGACTTTATTTCGTTTTTTTTTTTTTTTTTATCAACATATTTTTGTTATTTATTGTCCAATGTCAAAATGTGTCCTCCAGATGGACAGACTTTCTAAAATATCTGCTGTACTTCAACAGTGATATGAGGACAGGAATCGATGTGATCACTAGTGTACAGAAAGTGTTCGTTTCTTAAGCTACTAAGTCTCACTTCTGATGCTAATTAACAAGAGGGATGATCAAATTACAGGTGAACTCAAGTATAACATTAATCATTGCCAAATATGTTGATACAGATATCCATACCATTTATCTGTGAAAGAAATTACCTTTTTTAGGCCGTCATGTAGAGTTTCACATGTAAACTTATGATTAAGTGAAAGGTTGGTGAAATTATCACCTCATTATATAAGGTCTAGTACAAGTGAAAAGCTATGGCTGTCACAATGGTTTAAATCTGCTGTCCTTGAGGTTAGAATGTCCTGGTTATAAGATTGGCTAATGCTGCATTTGAACACATCAAATAAATTTAGAATTTACCTACACTGCTAACTGCCAGTTCAGTCTGTAAAATATATACTATAATTATACTACAATAAGCCAAGGGGGCAAAAACATTGCCTCCGACTCTAAGAAGGGGGATGGGCTTATTACTGAACAATAATGTTATATTGTTATATACAGTGATACATCAGTCTACAACATTAAATCTCATAGTCAGTCTGCAGGTCACTGCATATTGAATCGAAAATTAGTGAAAATCTTAAGACAGACAAGGCAAAACAAGAGGTGGAAGGAGAGGGGCCAAGTTATGAGGACGAGTACAAGGTTACGGGACTATACATTTATATTATAAATTATTATATATATTATTTTTTTCAATCTTGAAACTCATTTGTACCAGTGAAAGCTCATATTTGGTTGTGAACAAGGTCATTAATGTTACAAAACGTATTATTTCATTTTTATCATCTGTGTATTAATGTTTAAACTTTATCAGGGTACAACATTGACCAATCATTTCTTCATGTATGTTATTGATAACCTTTTTATCATCATATACTAGAAAGTTACTCTCAATATTGGCAGATGAATACAGGTAGAGTTTCAAATTTCTAAAGGTTCAAATAGAGATATCTTCTGACTTAAAGGCAAATTAGGTTTCAGAGCATATTGACATAGATATTTCTGTTCTGGGCTGTCTCCCTTATTCAAATGATATTTATCCGACTCTATGAAGCACTTGAGAATTTTGTTCTATGCAATGCATTAAACTACTGAACTCTTTTCCAAAATGGTTATCTGACATATCAAACACTCAGTCCCAAACAAACTTATTCCTTGTAAGGTTGTGAATTATTTCCTGTGATGTTTGTTTCCGTTTTCTTCATGTAGGGGGTCTGTGACCAAGGGGAGAAGCCTCATTTCTCCTTCAATCTACAACATTTCCAGATTATTTTAGACTATGTGCAATTTCTCCACATTCTTTACATATTTATTTACAAGTAAACATTCCTTACATAGCAATTATTTTATATATGAACTATGTTTAATTACTTTGTAATTTTGATTTTTACATGCAGTCCCTCAATAGTGCAATTTTGTATTGTGATAACCACCATGCATAAGATTACAAAAAAGAAACTTTTGGTACACTTTACACTCAGAAAGGTTATGGAATATGTGTTCCAATGACGTTTATTAAATAATTTTAATGACGAACCTTTATGTTAATACCAACAGTTTCGAAATGGGAATCATCGATTATCAATCATAAACAAGAAGCTATGTGTTCACAAACAATTAAACCAAAATGCATTTCATGAGAACATATTATATAGGTAAGCTAGAAAGAAAAATTACCAGTAATATAATACACCATTAAAGTTTTTTTCAAAAATATCAGTTACCTCCCTTGGTTATTAAAATATGTGTACTGGTGTGAGAAAATTGTTAGCTTAAATTGTGTATTTATTTCTGCTTTTACAAAGTATGTATATACTGTTTCAAGTTATTATATTTTGAGTATGTTGTGGTTTTCAGATGTTTTATCAATGTTAATTTTCATTATACAAAAATATAACCGGGTACTTTAGTTTCTAATCAAAGCATCAGTTATGGTTCTTGTTATATATTAAGTTTTTGTCACATTACATATATTTTGAAAAGTTAAATGTTGTATAAAAATTCAATCTTAGGGACAGATACCTGTAAGATAAACCACACAAGGTTATAGCCAAGTTCAAAATGTAAAAACTTTTGAGAAAAATTAATATTACACTGGAACAAAAACTTGGTTTATCAATGGAAAATAATTGCAATTTATCATTGTTTTAGAATGCTGTGTTTTTCCTGTTATATACCCATATATATATATATATATATAAATGTTTTAGTGGACTATGCAATCATCTTGCATAAACTATAGCAACGAGCATTTAAGTAAAATTCATCAATCCAGATTGATTTCTTGTTTTTTCAATATAATACTTAAAAGACAGTATTTTTCTTCTATTCCATACTTGTTCGGTTTAATATCTTCAATTGGTGTTGTGAAATCATTGCAAATTATTGTTGATAGGAAAGTTTGAATTCTGTCCAATGATTAGAATTTTGTGTTTAGCACGTGGATTGATATACTGCATGTATACAATTGGATTTGAAAAATGTGCTTTCTTTTGAATGAAATAAATGGTCAGAAATGGAACGCAAGAAAATCTAGAATGGAATCTACTGTCTAGAGATATTGAAAAGCATGAAACTAATTTGTTGTGGGTTATCAAAAATTTAGAAAGGGGGATAACTGGGTTTGTCTAAAGGTCAGCTGTGGGCAAGAACTAGAGTGATTTTAATCATTTTAGAACAAACAATTAACTACATCTTTGAACAAACCAAGTTATCATTGAAAAATGGAAAACACTTCAGATTACATGTAAAGTACTGGTTACAGGTAAAACATTATGGTTGTATTCATTGTTCTAGTTAATACACAGATGTATCATGTATGTTTGATATCCACTGTTCCTGTGAATTCTGATATCTCAATCATGTAAATATTGTAGATTGTATAAAGCATATAAAATGATACCATTAGAAATATAACTGGTTGTTTTAAATTCAATTCATTTCATTAACATGAAGTGATGCCTTTTGTATACTGTTAAGAGAGACTGTTAATATGTTTGTACTTTAAGATACCAGGTAATGCTGTGCTAGGCCAAAGCATTGGATGGAATCATTTTTTATCACATTCTTTGAGTTTTTGCTGGTTTTGAATTGTCTACATTTCAATATATGTTTCCTACATTGTTAGCATCAATGTCATGTAATAGTTATTTATGGTCGTGTGAGATCATACATGTAGACTGTTTGTGATTTTTGTAATGTCAGTAATTTTTTTTTTTTTTTACAAAGTCACTAAAGAATTGCATGCAAATGCATATATGTGTAAAGATTTCTTCTCTTCAAACTTAATTTGGACCATAGCTAATCAAATTTCTTCTTTGTGTGTGATTTTTTTTCCCTCTCCATGAAACTGTGATAACACAATTGACTGTAGGTAATCACGTTGAACCTGCTAATTGGAAAGAGTCTAATATGTTTCCGTCAAATCAGCCCTTAAACTTTTATACATGAAACATTTAGAAATTTGCTAAAGGATAGTATACAATATAGTGCTTACAGTTTACAGCTATCATAAAGAACTGATGATAGAATTACAGTTATCATTCCTTCAACATTTACACATTCCATTTACAAAACTAAAAACTGGTTATTCATCATCCTATCAACATAAAACTTAGATTTCCTGAATACTTCATTTCACGAACTTACCTTTTCAGACATGTGCAAATACATGATTTTGATATGGTGGTCCAGAAATGAGGGACTGTTAGATATATGGACTGTGATATTGATAACAAAATCAGCATGGATATCAGGATGTCATCAAAGAGTTATTTTCGTACATACAATCATGAGGGATTTGAATTCGCGATTGATTAGGCCAAATAAATCCCATGCAAAAGTAATTTACAGTAATTCAAAAGTAAGATTTAGTACATATACCAATATTACATACACAAATACCATCTTATTGGATTTTTTTTTTTACCTATTTATGAATATAAAAATATTTGTGTCTAAGTAATTTTCTTATACCTATTGAATTCACAAATAGGTTTGGTTTCAAAGTTAGGCTTTTTCAAAAGAAACTGTACTGAAAAGAAAAATTACTCTCTATATTGATCATTTAATAAAGAAATATTTGATAAAAATACCTTGTGTATACAGATGACAAAACTTTGAAAAATTAAGGAGATACTTCTACAATCAATTTCTTACTAAATGCTTTATATACCTTGTTTATTTTGTTTACATTGAAAGAAATCCCAATCATTTAGTTCACTTAATTAAGCAATATGATTGATTTTTCATTGATACATTTAATCAATATTCTGTCATTCCAAATCAATATGTTTATTATGTCTTTATTTATCCTATGTTTTGTATATGTTTATCTAAATCCATTCTATCATTGAAGTTAAGATTGAAAAATGAGATATATAGAGAGAGTTTTGGTTCTCCAATATCTATGTTTAACATCCTGATTAATTTTGTTGTGAAATTAACGTAAGAAAACTGAAGGCTTCATGCTACCTTTTAAATGATGTGATTTCTGTTAAGGTTGTCTTTTTTTCTTTAAATGGAAGTTGATCTTTGAAATGAAGGTGCAGCTGGTCACAGACTAGTAACATATATATATATAGCCTTAAAAGTGTTTTTACTCTTCAAGAATTGGCTGGAAGTCCAGAAAATCAATTCTGTAGATTATCTGTATGGAAAGTCTCCTGCTTTATCTTCTAAACATTTTTCATAAATATGTATGTGTATTATCTAAGTCTGAATGAGTTGAGCTTCGATGTTGACATGTTTTTATCATGCTCTTCTAATGCAGAACAATCTTGAGTGTATGACTTTTGACTTCCAGATATAGTAATTCTGTAATGAAAACTGTAAAATTTTATTTCATTGTCTTTCAAACTGATTTACCAAATAATAAAATTAACTAAGCACCAGCATCCATCTGATAGATTGTGTAAAAATTAGCATACGCACCTGGTTATGTTTTAACATGGTAAGGTATTTCTCATCTGTCAACGACTTATTTTAAATGATCCTAGTCAAGATTGCCAGAATGGATCATTTTCAGTTTGGATAAAGGGATTTGGGTCAAATTTGGTGAGAGAATCCTTGAGTAATTGGAAGTTCCATTTGGTCTAGCTTCACTGGAGGTCGAGGGGCAAAGTTAGCCTAAATATTGGCATGTGGGATAAATAAATTGTGAGAATGCTTCCTTTACTAAATTTGAAACTTAAAATGTAATGTTTCTAATCATGTGAAGTAGAAGAGATATCAAATTTTTTTTTTTTTTTTTTTGAAAATTACTATGAACAAAACTAAATAAAAAAAAAACCTCCTAAATGAGTGGGAGAAAACCAACATCCCGGTTGTCTTCAGTCATTAATCAGATCATGTAGGAATCAAAGATGGATACCCAACAGTATTCATAAAGGGAGGTAAATACAACTGACATAGAGGATGGAGCATCAACATCAGAATTCAGTGGTTTTATTAGTAGTTTACATGTTCGAACTAGTTAGAATCAGAATAACGGTAAAAGTATTTGCATAACTAAGGTTAATTATTATAATTTATAAACAAAATTGTTTTGTCACAATTTCTAATTTCTGGGCTATGCAGACCCAGGTCTGTGTGAGATATCCAGCTGGAAATAGATTTTATTACTTAAGTATTCACTTTCCACCACTTTATTGAACTTTCCTAAACTGAAAAGATAAAAATAAATGAGAGCAGTTGAAGTTACAATTCTTTTTTCATATCGAAATATCAAATTAGGTATATCTTTTGGTTAAGAGAGCCATATATGTGCTTTTGGTAAAGAGAGCCAGGGTATAGGGAGCCAGGTATATACTGTTGGTAAAGGGAACCAGATATATACTGTTGGTAAAGGGAACCAGGTATATCTGTTGGTAAAGGGAACCAGGTATATACTGTTGGTAAAGGGAACCAGGTATATCTGTTGGTAAAGGGAACCAGGTATATCTGTTGGTATAGGGAACCAGGTATATCTTTTGGTAAAGGGAACCAGGTATATCTGTTGGTATAGGGAACCAGGTATATACTGTTGGTAAAGGGAACCAGGTATATCTGTTGGTATAGGGAACCAGGTATATACGGTTGGTAAAGGGAACCAGGTATATCTGTTGGTATAGGGAACCAGGTATATATTATTGGTAAAGGGAGCCAGGTATACTTTTGGTACCAGGTATATACTTTTGGTAAAGGGAACCAGGTATGTACTATTGGTAAAGGGAACCAGGTATGTACTATTGGTAAAGGGAGCCAGGTATATATTATTGGTAAAGGGAGCCAGGTATATATTATTGGTAAAGGGAACCAGGTATATATTATTGGTAAAGGGAGCCAGGTATATACTGTTGGTAAAGGGAACCAGGTATATCTGTTGGTATAGGGAACCAGGTATATACTCTTGGTAAAGGGAACCAGGTATATACTCTTGGTAAAGGGAACCAGGTATATACTTTTGGTAAAGGGAACCAGGTATGTACTATTGGTAAAGGGAGCCAGGTATATATTATTGGTAAAGGGAGCCAGGTATATATTATTGGTAAAGGGAGCCAGGTATATACGGTTGGTAAAGGGAGTCAATCGGACATTCAGCTGTCTAACCCTTATGCTTTTTTTTAACAATGGCAATCTTTAACACATTCATGATAACTAAAATTACATTTTTTAATTGCTTATTAGGAAATTAACAATTTAAGCTGCATGACTTAGAGAAACTTGGTACAGAAATATCATCCTTAAATCCATAGTTAAGACAACTTCATTTGAAAATTGCATATGGTGTGGTATCTTAGAAAATGTACAGGTATTCTGCCTGACATACTGTACAAGTAGATCTGGTAAATAAACAATAGGTATGTATGCATACAGGTGCAATCAAGAAATAATTTTGTCTGTTGTTATTAACATATTTCTAATGTAATAAAATATTACAGTTGTATATTAGAGTTTCCATATAAAAAGTCTTTCAGCAATCTTTTTTATTAATTCAATATATAAATATATATACAAAGAGTCCTTTTTTCTGTTTTTTTTTTTTTTTTTTAATTTTAAATGTTGACGTCATACTTACATGACATAGATATAATATTTATATTGATATATATTATTAATAATTCATAAAGAATAGTACCTGTTTCTATTACATTTGTCATCCATCTTATTGGTTCTCTGTAGGAGTTGTGTAATTACAAGGATGTCGTTCTGAGTTCCCCGTTTTCCACATCTGTTACATATATAATTGCCATGATATCTCCTCATGTCTTTTTACCTTGTTTGAATAAAGATTCCTGCAACATTGAATTATTACCTGAACTTTGTTTTTGATTCACGCCTTTTCTCATCTTTCTCATGCATGCCATTTTTATACTTTCTAACGATACCACAAAAATGAATACCACCTTGAAATGAAAATAAAAAATAGCTGCCTGCAGCTTTTTTTTTACTTTTCCAATCTCTTAGTTTCAAAAAAAAAAGTTGTATGATTTGACATTTATACAGTATGTAGGGGATGGGTGGCCTGCATATTTAGATCTTTGCTAAATCAGCAAATATTACTGATCTCCAAAACAAAATTCTGGATTATTTATCAATCTTTTTAAACTGGGTACGACACTAAATCTCATTGTCTGAGAAATAGCAGCAGCCAAACTCCCAACTATACCACTCCAACCTCCCACATATACCATACCAACCTCCCAACCATACCACTCCAACCTCCCACTTATACCACTCCAACCTCCCACTTATACCACTCCAACCTCCCACTTATACCACTCCAACCTCCCAACTATACCACTCCAGCCTCCCACTTATACCACTCCAACCTCCCACTTATACCACTCCAGCCTCCCACCTATACCACTCCAACCTCCCACTTATACCACTCCAGCCTCCCACCTATACCACTCCAACCTCCCACTTATACCACTCCAACCTCCCACTTATACCACTCCAACCTCCCAACTATACCACTCCAACCTCCCAACTATACCACTCCAACCTCCCAACTATACCACTCCAACCTCCCAACTATACCACTCCAGCCTCCCACCTATACCACTCCAACCTCCCAACTATACCACTCCAACCTCCCACTTATACCACTCCAACCTCCCAACTATACCACTCCAGCCTCCCACCTATACCACTCCAAACTCCCAACTATACCACATCAAACTCCCAACTATACCACTCCAACCTCCCACATATACCATACCAACCTCCCAACTATACCACACCAACCTCGCACCTATACCACTGCAAACTCCCAACTATACCACTCCAAGCTCATAGCTATACCACATCAAACTCATAGCTATACCACACCAAACTCCCAACTATACCACTACAAACTCCCCACCATACCACTCCAACCTCCCACCTATACCACTACAAACTCCAAACTATACCACTCCAACCTCCCACATATACCACTCTAAACTCATAGCTATACCACACCAACCTCCCAACTATACCACTACAAACTCCACTCCAACCTCCCACATATACCACTCTAAACTCATAGCTATACCACACCAACCTCCCAACTATACCACTACAAACTCCCCACCATACCACTCCAACCTCCCACCTATACCATTACAAACTCACAGCTATACCACACAAAACTTCAAACTGTACCACTCCAAACTCCCAACTATACCACTACAAACTCCCAAATATACCACTCCACACAAAATAGTTATCTGAATGACCCTTATCACCATCAAAACTTTTTGATGAACAAAATTATGAAAGATACAGAGTAAATCTGTATGGAAATCTGTTTACAGAGTAAATCTGTAAGGAAATCTGTTTAACCATTCAGAGTAAATCTGTATGGAAATATAGAGGAAATTTGTTTTACCATTCAGAGTAAATCTGTATGGAAATCTGTTTAACCATTCTGAGTAAATCTGTTTGAAAATCTACAGGAAATTTGTTTTACCATTCAGAGTAAATCTGTATGGAAATCTGTTTAACCATTCTGAGTAAATCTGTTTGAAAATCTACAGGAAATTTGTTTAACCATTCAGAGTAAATCTGTATGGAAATATAGAGGAAATTTGTTTAACCATTCAGAGTAAATCTGTATGGAAATCTGTTTAACCATTCTGAGTAAATCTGTATGGAAATCTGTTTAACCATTCTGAGTAAATCTGTAAGGAAATCTGTTTAACCATTCAGAGTAAATCTGTAAGGAAATCTGTTTAACCATTCAGAGTAAATCTGTAAGGAAATCTGTTTAACCATTCAGAGTAAATCTGTATGGAAATATAGAGGAAATTTGTTTAACCATTCAGAGTAAATCTGTATGGAAATATAGAGGAAATTTGTTTAACCATTCAGAGTAAATCTGTATGGAAATCTGTTTAACCATTCAGAGTAAATCTGTATGGAAATCTGTTTAACCATTCAGAGTAAATCTGTATGGAAATCTGTTTAACCATTCAGAGTAAATCTGTAAGGAAATTTGTTTAACCATTCAGAGTAAAAGGAAATTTGTTTAACCATTCAGTAAAGTAAATCTGTTTAACCATTCAGAGGAAATCTGTTTAACCATTCAGAGTAAATCTGTAAGGAAATTTGTTTAACCATTCAGAGTAAATCTGTAAGGAAATCTGTTTAACCATTCTGAGTAAATCTGTATGAAAATCTACAGGAAATTTGTTTTACCATTCTGAGTAAATCTGTTTGAAAATCTACAGGAAATTTGTTTTACCATTCAGAGTAAATCTGTATGGAAATATAGAGGAAATCTGTTTAACCATTCAGAGTAAATCTGTATGGAAATATAGAGGAAATTTGTTTAACCATTCAGTATGGAAATCTGAGTAAATCTGTACAGGAAATTTGTTTAACCATTCAGAGTAAATCTGTTTGAAAATCTACAGGAAATTTGTTTTACCATTCAGAGTAAATCTGTAAGGAAATCTACAGGAAATTTGTTTTACCATTCAGAGTAAATCTGTATGGAAATCTACAGGAAATTTGTTTTACCATTCAGAGTAAATCTGTTTGAAAATCTACAGGAAATTTGTTTTACCATTCAGAGTAAATCTGTATGGAAATATAGAGGAAATTTGTTTAACCATTCAGAGTAAATCTGTAAGGAAATCTGTTTAACCATTCAGAGTAAATCTGTATGGAAATCTGTTTAACCATTCTGAGTAAATCTGTTTGAAAATCTACAGGAAATTTGTTTTACCATTCAGAGTAAATCTGTTTGAAAATCTACAGGAAATTTGTTTTACCATTCAGAGTAAATCTGTTTGAAAATCTACAGGAAATTTGTTTTACCATTCAGAGTAAATCTGTTTGAAAATCTACAGGAAATTTGTTTTACCATTCAGAGTAAATCTGTATGGAAATCTGTTTAACCATTCAGAGTAAATCTGTATGGAAATATAGAGGAAATTTGTTTCAACCATTCAGGGAACATTTGTTCAACAATTCAGAGATAAAACCTTTTCAACCATTGGTGATGAATTCAGAAATAAATCTTCATTATTCTAGAGAATATAGTTTTATGAAAAGTATCATTATGCAACCATACTCCATAAATACAGAACAAATGTAAAAAATTTTCCCTTGAGTTTTATTTCTTATTTGCAAAGAAAATCTATAAAATCAAGACTAAGACCAACATCTTGGTAATGGAATCAATATGTCTCACAATACAATTGTAGAAGTAATGAAATTTTCTGCACTAATACATACTATCCTATTTTAAAGAATTAAAAACTTCATAGTATAAGAAATATGTTGTACAATGATATAGAGTTATCTGTGAATCGTTATATGTGAAAATTTCCTAAAAATCATAAAAATGTTCAAATAATTATGAACAAAGTTGGTCAATCTAAATGTTCATGCTGCCAAGGAAACTACAATGTAAATTTATCACAAATTTTTATTCTCTGCCTTAATTTTAGAAAATTATTTTAGCACATGTAAATTTATGTTTTCAAAAGTCTGACATCCCTATTTGAAACAATTTTGCCAATAAATTGTTCCCAAGAAGGGGCAGTGTAAAAACCAAACACTGTTACACATTTAATATACCAACATCTTTACAGGGACTTTACATATCATACAGAGTGATCTCCCATCAGCTTGACCTCAGCACCTCCTCTGCAATTTTGTCTCGGACACTGACACAGTAATTATCAAGGATGTAAAATCGGTAGGGTCTATCTACCCAGTCTCCTGCATATCCTATATTAATCCTTTTACTGACCACTATGTGAAGGTCATCAATTTTGTCTCCAGCCACTAGCCAAATGTCTGGAGAATGGACCAAATCTTGCTTGTTTACAACATTCTTGGAGATAGCTAAAGCTTGACAGAACTTGGAAGGGCCATTACAGAGTTCTTTGATCTTTAGAGCCTTGGTGCCCTCTTTACTTGCAGTAGTACGGTTTTTGGTCATGGTTTCCAACCCCTGAAGGGGTTCTATGGCTCGAAGCAACACTGCTGCACCTTCACCTACAGGAAACAGGATTAAACATGTCAAAATCTGATAAAAACAACCCTCTTATGTTCTAAAATCATTTAAATATTATTTTTAAAAAGCACTTAATCAAATGAGAGAAATATTTACCTCAGAGTATTTGGACGTAATATTACAACAAAATATAAAGCATTTCATTTAGATGGTATTTCTACATAAACTGTACCAAACACTACACAAGCTCCCATCCCCCGAAAAAATGAATATTTTGAAAAGAATTACTCCAATATAGTTATACAAAATGAAATGATAACTTATCTTTCATATTTTCTACTGAACTTATATTTTGCCATTTTCTCGCAATCAAAATTTAAAATGTTTTCATTTTTACTTATACACTGACTACTCCATGATTTTTTGTTTACAGTTTATAGATAACAGAGTATTAACACCAAAATATGTCGTACCAGTCTTGTACAAGAGAATGAAGAGCTACCTGGGGTCCTTATAGCAGGTACTGATGTATCTCCAAGCATGACTGATAACGACCTTTAATTCCATACAATATTGCCTCATGAGAAGTCATTGAAAACTAGGATTTTGCCAACTACACTTTACTATATACACTTACAGCCTGACAGAGCATTGACGATAATAATAGGATTTCCTTAAAAACAAAATTTAATTACAAATTTCAAAATAACAGATAGCATCTTTGGAATCCAATAAATCCTATAATGATAGCATGTTTATATAAGCCCAAAGTGTACTACCAGTAGCTTAAACACAGATTCTTTCTGCTGCTCTTCAGAAGATAAGTAGCAACAATCTTCACATACAGAATTCAAAATGAACATATCTCTACTTATGTTGTATTTGATCTGTCCTTTCAGTTTCAGACACCTCCCCATCCCCTTTTAAGTTTTTTAGAAATAAACAACAATATTAATTTAATTAAGAATTCAACTTGTGCTCAACCCTATCATGAAATGTCACAATATAATTCAAAATAACCAAAGGCTTGCTAATCTACCAAGCTCATGATGAGGTATTTTCTGCCGAAGTAGGACCACAGATTTAATATCTCACTGGCCTATTTTGCTGATGGGGGACTAGCAATTAATATAAAAGTTAACTAGATATTTAAGGAGTCACATCAGAAAAAATTATCAATTTTATGTATTTTGTGAGGAAGTAGTAAAGTACATACCCTCACTAGATATATTAAAACAGCAGTACATGCCGTAGATGTTGTACACATAGGCAGTCCCGGGATCCATAAACATGGCACTGTTTTTCTCTGTCTTCTTCCCTTGGTATGAATGTGCTGCTTGGTCTTCCTTTCCCAGATAAGCCTCTGTCTCTACAATCTTCCCACAAAGAAGATCGCCAGAGGCCGGACATCGTCGTACCAACACTTGGCCCAGCAGGTCCTTTGCAAGTTGCAAACACGCTTTCTTATAAAATGAAGAAGGAAGTCTTTTATCAGCCTCAATGTCTAAGGTTTGTCCTGTATTGGATGGTCCCTGATTACCAAGCTTCTCTTTATCATTGTCAAAATATGGACTTCTCTTTGCTTTCTTTGAATCTGTCTGGTTTACTTTAGCTTTTCGCTTCAAATCGGACATTCTGAAAAATGATATATTACACGGGTTAGCTGTTATAATCACATTAACAAAAACAGACATGGTAAACTAACGATGATGCCTCTGAGACAGAGTCTTATACACTTATATCAACTTCATGTGAAGATAAGTTAGGTGTGGTAAGATCCTCTTTATTCCCTTAATTAATAAAATTGAAAGGAAAAAATCATGATGTCAAGAATGTTTTAATCTGGGCTTCCTCCTTGAATGAGTCTCAAAGAGGAATCCCAGAAGGGATTAGTAAAAATGTGTATAAAGTAAAGTTGCCACTGAAATGTATACTCATTATATTTGATGGTGCTTGGATTTAATCACAGTATTTTTTTCGTTTCTGGGTGCATGACATGTAACAGCAACCAAAATCGCCAGGTGTGATGTCACATAAGTAAAAGGTTCACGCGATACAGCTCGACAAAATGACTGATCCGAAATACATAACGATGTAGAGACGATATATTTCACATAGCCAGACTCTTTGATAGTGAACATCCGATTCCTGCGGTAACATTCATAATCAAACATTGTAATATTAGTTTTTAATGTATGCTGATTACTCAATGCAAAGAAATTAACAATAAAATTGGTATGATCACGAATTATGTTGCCGACCTGTTTTACCAAACAATCATGCACATGCTGACCTGTCATTTGTTTTGATGATCGGAGTTATCCACCGTGTCGATAGACGGCGCTTCACTTCCGGCCTAGAAAATAACAAGCATGCTTGGGGGACAAGGCAACATCATCGTTCTTAGTAAGTAAATATCTACTATTATCTTATTTGAAATGTATTTCTTCAATTACAATAGGTATATAGATTTCTTATTTATTTTTTAGATCAGAACACAAAGCGGGAATCCGGCAAGAAAGTCCAGCAAGGCAACATTGCAGCCGGCAAAGTAAGCAAGCATGGTTCTCACATGGTCTCCATGGCCGTCACAGAAGCTTCGAGACTTGTCTAGATTTGTTTGAGTCATAGAACATGTTTTGTATGGATCCATCTACGAATTGAAATGTTATTTGAGTTTTTAATGCGAATATTGGATTTTTTCATTTTCGTTCCATGCTTTAAATTTTTAGATAATTAGAATGTTAATAATATTTGTTAAAATGCTGTAATAAATCATTTTTAATCGAAGTAGCACCAGAATAATGCGGATCACATGTGCATTTTGATTTCTTCATATGCGATGAAATGTTGCTGTGTCTGCGAGAAAAGTAAAAATAAGTCTTTTACGTTAATTTTTTAGTAATAGATTATTTTAATTACCATTTTCCCGTTCATCTTAATTGCAATTACTTTATCCCTAATCATTCAATGATTATTCATATACAGTAATTTTTGTAGGATTATTAAGATATGAGCCCAGAATACCATTTCAAAAATTTTGATGAGTCCCATAGGGAAAGCATGAGTCCAGGACTCATTATCTGAATCCCTAAATATCACTGCATATAGAGAAATAAAATGATACATAAAGATAAATGATTTGGTAAGAACACCTTTTTCCAGAAAGTGTTGCAGGTAATGCAGTTCACTCTATCTTTCAAAGACAGGATTTCCATTCAAAATTATTATAGTACATTAGTTTGTATTGGTCAGTCAGTGTTATTATCCATATTTCATTTTTACATATTAAAAAACATCAGTTGATAAATTACCATCCTTCCTTTAGCTATCTTGTTGATGTGTCATGTATCAAAAGTAGATCATGCTAACTTATATTTTGACCTGTGAACTATACGAAATGAAAATTTGTACAAACTGTCTTCTACTCAACTAATCACTTGAACTTAACATTTTGGATATGAAGTATTACAGCCAACAGTATCTGCTTTATGAAAGACAGAGTGAGATCTCTTAGTTTTGACCCTTAACATGCTATTAAATATTAAAATGAAAAGAAAGAAAGGAAAAAAAATTCTCTTTCTCTAAATAAGTTTACCTGAAATCAGAATATTTCTAGATGCGTATCATCAATCAGTATATATTTATTGGTTTTTGTTGGACAGGCTATAGCAGATATCATCAGAACATGCTTGGGGCCAAAGTCTATGTTAAAGGTTGGTATCTGAATGAAAGTACTTGAAAACATGAAAGATTTCAACTGGTACAGTTAATTAAGACATTGTAGGTCCTGCCCTTTCATTAAGTTTGAAAACATATAAATTGTCACTAATACAATGACTTTGCTTTGAAAACTTTAGCATTCTGCTCCAAACTTTGATGTACCAAATAAATGGTTGTAAAAATTGACATATTAACCAGGAAATCCAATTACTAAATTGGTAATTGACATGATTCTCAGAGTAAAATTTTTCAGAAACTGTAGGATCAAGCAAAATTTTAAAGAAAAACAGAGTTCTTTTATCTAAATTCTTGGTAGATTCTTTTGTTCTTTCCCTTTCTTTTTAATTTAGATTAATTTGTTTAATAATTCTTTTCTTTTTGACAGATGTTGATGGACCCAATGGGAGGGATTGTCATGACCAACGATGGAAATGCCATTCTCCGTGAAGTAAGTAGTGTAACCCATCATTCTGTTGAATATGATTCAACAATAAATTGGATTGAACTGTTCAAAGTTGTCCAAAACATGCTGCAGTCTTTCAACATAAAACATAAGAATTATCACAAAGTAATATGACCAACAGAAGTTGCTTATCCCAACATTTTATACTCTATTAGAATTTACCTACAACAAGGTATTACCAATTCTCACTGTGATGTAGTTAATGTTTTGATAATTAAGAACAGAAATCAAAATTCTTTCTAGCAACTGTTTTTAATGCTAAAGGAAGTATATTGACCACTTGCTATTCTCTATTACATTTGAGTGTTGTATGTGTTTTATTTAATTATTTCATGTTAAAGTAATTTTGAAGACTATTTGGGATGTGAAACTATATCGTCTGACAGATAATGATGATAAAGCATACTTATAGACCAAGGGCTCTCATGTTTAAATTGGCATCAGTGAAAGGTGTGAAAAACTGTAATACCAGGTAAATAGAATATTCCTTGTTTACTGATGAGTGACAGTTACAGTTCATCATGTGAATTGGAATTTGCTCATGAGTGAGCAACACACTATTGTTCATTGAGAAAAATGGAATATCATATGTTTATAGCTAAAATATAATGACATTTCAGCTGTTTCCAAGTAAAAGATGTTTTATTCACTGAATGATTATTGAGGATACAGTGACTAAGTGGTAAAGGCATCTGACTGTCTTAATCATTAGTCCTCTACTTCATATGTCACAGGTTTGAGGCCTATGTGGGGCAGTGGTTATTTTCTGGGAACTCTGATTTTCCTCATAATCCTGGCATGGCCTTAAATTACACTGTCTGTTAACATATAGAATCATGTAAAACAAATTTGATATTTTTCATTAAATCATGCTTTCAGATCAATGTTCAACATCCAGCAGCTAAGTCCATGATTGAAGTAGCTCGCACACAAGATGAAGAAGTTGGTGACGGAACAACCTCTGTCATCATCCTTGGTAAGTGTAGCAGTAAAACCTGCTGCAATGTTTGCTTATATATTCTCTTTTTGTTTAGAAGTTAGCATGAGTGACAACATTAAAATGAAGTGATTGTTGTTTGACTACAAACCAACCTTCACCAGAGTTACTACAGAATTAAGCATTGTGTCTCTGCTACAGTATCATCATATAGTCATAGTGTTTACTTTTATCCATTTGTGCAGGACAAGACAGTGGTTGCATTTAGAATCATTACTTTAAATTCTGTCAGATTATGACAGCTTCTTGACTAACTATATCTGTTAAGATTGCTGTATCATTATTAGTATTTCTTAATGTAGTGGTTTTGATATCATAGACTAAACTCTTTGGTGAAATCTTACAGATAGCTTATATGTCAGTTGGATGATCAAGGAGCACTTTGTTTCCTGCCAAATTTGAATACAACCTTTTTTCCCTCAAAAAGTACCTGAAGCAAAAATGAAAAATCAGGAATTTCCAAGTTACTTATTTCATGTTCATTGTCATTTGGAAGTCAGTTGTTGTTTAGTACAATGTAGTGATGACATAACAAAAAAGAAAGTTAGTTTTATGCAGGTTTATTACTGTCACAATATCAAATGTGGACAAACATTGAAAGGTTTTGTATTTTATAAAAAGACCTGATCTTGTTTGACAGCGGGTGAGATGTTATCTCAGGCCCTTCCTTTCCTGGAGCAGCAGATGCATCCAACTGTTGTCATCAGTGCTTTTAGGCAAGCATTAGAAGATCTGGTAGATATTCTCCGCAAACAAGTCAGGTACGTGAACTCACTGTTTTGTAAGATGCTTCAAATTCAGAAGTGGACTAATATTCATATTGGTTTTGTTTGTAGTAATGAAGGAAAAGACGATACAATGGTGTTGTTATGATAATTAGATTCATTTTACTTATATGTTTTGTCTGTGTCACAATCAAAAGTACTGTCTATGTTTTGTCTGTGTCACAATCGAAAGTACTGTCTATGTTTTGTCTGTGTCACAATCAAAAGTACTGTCTATGTTTTGTCTGTGTCACAATCAAAAGTACTGTCTATGTTTTGTCTGTGTCACAATCAAAAGTACTGTCTATGTTTTGTCTGTGTCACAATCAAAAGTACTGTCTATGTTTTGTCTGTGTCACAATCAAAAGTACTGTCTATGTTTTGTCTGTGTCACAATCAAAAGTACTGTCTATGTTTTGTCTGTGTCACAATCGAAAGTACTGTCTATGTTTTGTCTGTGTCACAATCGAAAGTACTGTCTATGTTTTGTCTGTGTCACAATCAAAAGTACTGTACCACACTTTCTCATTATGCTGTAAGTGTAGATAGCTGACACTGATATGACAAAAACACAAACTTTTCAACAAGTCCATGGAGAAACTTTAATGAACATTTATGACTGCAATAGCTAGTAGGTAGTTTATTAGCCTACACAACCTTAGGTGTTAGTCAGAGGTGTGTGGTTCAACAATCTCTACCTGTTTGCCTGTAGCAGTTTTTGATTCTCAGTTTTGTGCTGTCTTTGGTGTGTCTTTGGACAAGAACATTTATACAATTGCTGTGGATGGAATGCAACAGGCCACACATATACTGTTCAATGATGTATCCATAAACAAACATGGATTTACATGAAATAATGTTCCAATTCTATTACCACTAATGGAGTCTGTTAAGATTCAAGAGCTTCACTTTAGTAAACCATGCATGCAACTCATGAGATCAACAACACCCTTAAATTCATATATGGAATAGTTCAGTTAGTTGTGTCTTGTAAACAATAAAATTGGTTTAGAAAATCTCTTTGTTTGTTTCATGAATTTTGACCAAGAAGTTGTGAGACAACAACAACAACAAAATACCCTATAGATACATTTCCCAGAGTTACATTTCACTATTATTTTTCCAGCATGAAAATAAAAGTTGTGTTTCCTTTTTAGTGTACCAGTGGATCTCACTAACAGAGATGACATGATGAAAATTGTCAAAAGCTGTGTTGGAACAAAGTTCATTAGTAAATGGTATGTTGTGTACAGTGTTCTCTTTAAATGATATATATGTAGAAGTTGAGGATCTACAATTTTATTTCAGTTAATGTACAGCAGAGTTCTCATTTATCAAGTCTATAATTTAATGGTTTAAGCATGCTATCAGCTATTAAATGAGATCATCAACTCCCTTGGTCGATTTCATGTAAATCTTACCTGTTCATAATTTTAAAATATAAATTTTGTTCACAAGAATAAAACAATATTTTATTTGTAAGATGTATGTTTGTAAAAGAGGGTCTATAAAAGAGGATTACAAAGTTTGGTGTAGGACCTAAGCACACAGTCATAGAAAAATGTGAAATTTCTTTTGCTGTTGGTAACCATTCTGTGCAGTGGAAATATGCAGGTTCATGTAATATACTCCTAAATCCTTCTGATTTGACAGCTCCTTGTACAGGTTTTTACTAATACAAATGGCTCCATTTTGTTCCGAAGCAACTTGTGTCTTTCTGAATTCTGAAATTTTCAAGATAAATCAATTGGTCAAACATTTCTATTTTTGATTTCACTATCTATTTTGGGTTACAGGTCTGAACTTGCGTGCCAGATTGCATTAGATGCCACAGCAACAGTTGCCATGGAGGAGAATGGTCGACGGGAAATTGACATCAAAAGATACGCAAAAGTAGAAAAGGTATAAATAAGAAAATATGCTTATCTACATGCTTTGGTACTATTGTTAAGTATCTTCAAAACGTAGATGTTTATTTCATGTAAAGAAGCCTTTCTTGTATTTCATTGAATAGAAGGACATGATCTTGTTTTGCAAGTGCATTGGTCAAGATTTTGTTGTCAAGGGTTGTTATGATAAATTTGATTATGTTTCAAGGTCCCCGGAGGAACCATGGAAGACTCTAAAGTATTAAAAGGAGTTATGCTCAATAAAGATGTTGTTCACCCGAAAATGAAAAGGTAAGTTTTATGCAAGTCTTTACCTAAATAACAAAACTTAAAAATAAACTAGCAGAAAACAGAAACTATGCATGTGTGAAATATTCATGTATTGCTCAATTTTATTAATTCAGGCTTGAAACTTGACACAGATAAGATGGTTTTTTTTAACAATTTCTGATACACCTCCCTATGTGATAGCATATTATATCCATGCACAACTTTTTTTTTCCACTAGTATATATTCATACTTCTGTTGATCACTACAGAATTATATGTGTAAAGCTGTACTCTAAAACCATTTATTTTCTTTCTCATTTTTATGCTTTTTCAAAAATTTCTATTTTGAGGACACTTGATTTTGTGGATGGATATAGCTCAATAAATCTACATAAACTACTTAACAGTTGGTGGACATGAATTTGCTGGTGAAGAGTTTTCAGGAAATCAATAAAAATAATTTCCTCATTAAAAGAACTAATGATTGTGTAATAAAAAGCTATGGAAGTTTATGTGGTCATTTATTAGAAGTAATGAATGGAATAAATATACAGAAAGCATTGTTGCTATCTGTACATAATGTTGTAACAGTATACCTTACCCAGTTTTCATTGCTCTTACAGGAGGATAGAAAATCCAAGAATTATTTTACTAGATTGTACATTAGAATACAAGAAAGGTGAAAGCCAGGTAAGGTTGACATCCTTGTACTGTACAGAATCACCAATCTCCCTACATACAGATCTTATGTTACAAATACCTTAGTTAATAGAAATGTTTCTGTAAACAACATGTAAGTTTATTTTGTTTTGTGAATATTTTATCAATATTATTATCATTACATGGTCTTAGTTCATTATTAACATAGTACTAGTTCTTATGAACTAAATATATTGCAAATGAAAATCAGTTCAAATTGTTGTAAATTTTCTGTTTCCTGGTTGTATCTTAGGTGTCGGGAATCTGTGTGGTGCTCCTATAAGTCGAAGATAGAATAAAAGATTCAGTTTGGTTATCTTATTTCACTAGAGCAGTCTTTTTAATTCATAGTGTGCTATAGTACTGAAAGCACTTCCTTGGAATAATATTTCAGGTCTGAAGGTTATTTATTTCTCAACACACCACAGGTGATGCAGACACTTCTGTGGAACTCTTGTTTGAAAATATTTCCTCAGTTATGAATTTGAAATTGTGAAGATGAAAGTAAGGTACTAATATCTTATACAGAAACATAAAAATTTGTTTTTGTATTTTTATTTCAGACAAATATTGAAATAACAAAAGAAGAAGACTTTGCGTAAGTACTGTATTCATTGGATATCATTTAATATCAAGTCCTAGTATGATTTACAAGCAGTATAATATAAATGTAATGTCGAGTTAATGAATTGATTGAAAATAAATTAATTGGATGATTTCAAACATAATAATGAAATGACTTAAACAATATTGTACAATATATTTGAAGGATAAAGTGATGATTTTAAATATATATATATTTGACCTTGAGGAAATTTATCGGATTTGAAGGATAAAATTGAGATATAGTTCAACTCTACATACTTCTATTATAGAAAGATTCTTATGCTGGAGGAGGAATATGTGAAGAGGATATGTGACGAAGTCCTTGCCTTCAAGCCTAACCTTGTCATCACAGAGAAGGGTGTGTCAGATCTAGCTCAGCATTTCTTTGTTAAGGCAGGTGTAAGTGTAATCCGACGTGTCAGGAAGTCCGACAACAATAGGATTGCCAGGTATAGCGACTGCATTATTATCATAACGATTGATATGATATTGTCTCTGTTTTATATATATATATATTCTTGTCAGTACAAAAAAAAAGAACCTGTATCTGATTGTTCTTTTCATACCATTTTAAACTTAATGGGTATATAATTGCTCATAATGGTGATAATCTGGGTAAAGTTTAATAGGTGTGACGGTGTAAGGTTTCATTTTTGAGATGATATAATACTCATATTGTCTTATTGAAAATATTCCACAATTTCTATAGATTCCTCAAATGAGCAGAATTATCATTTAAGCTGCTTTTCCTAGCTCTTGATGGGGAATCGAAAAGGTTCTTGAATTTACAAAACGATTTTGAATTTATTTTCAGAGCATGTGGCGCTACCATTGTTAATCGTACAGATGAAATTAAGGAAGAGGATGTTGGAACACAGTGTGGTCTGTTCAACATTGAGAAATTTGGGGACGAGTAAGTGAACACATTTACTGAATTTCGCTATATTTTTGTGTTACATGTTTATGTGATATACATTGTAAGGTTTCATCACTATTCTTAAAACTATACTTTTATTTTTCATTATTATTCCACATGAAAATAGACCAATAATGAAGTATGCTTTATTTATGCCACTTTTACAATTGTTACTGTTATAGATATTTCACATTCCTGGTGGAATGTAAGGACCCTAAGGCATGTACAATCCTCCTCCGTGGCGCAAGCAAGGACATATTGATGGAAGTTGAGAGGAACCTACAGGACGCTATGAATGTTGCACGTAATGTGATGACCGAGCCTCTCTTAGTCCCTGGAGGTGGTGCCGCGGAGATGGCCCTCTCTCAGGTAGGGATTGTGGATGATATAAGTATATAGATAGCACCAGATAACCATTCATGCTTATGTAGATAGATACTCTTTGAATATGTTAGTGACTGTAATAGTATATTAGAATGTAGTTTTAACAAAAGCAAAATCACATAGAGCTATTCCAATTAAACATACACTTGACTCCAGGACCCCAAAATAAGTCGCATCTAGCCATAGATTGGTTTACTTCCTATAACTTCACTAACCTGGAAGTCTACAGGTAGTACATGCGTTGTTTGAAACAACACAACAATTAAGGGAAGGAATTGTTGTGTACTTTACACAGTAAGGGAAGTCATTGTCATCTACATTGATATAGACATATTTTTTACTTATTTTTTAATTGTTAACATAATAAAGTAACAAGTCATTGTTTGTGTTGTAGGCCCTGAATGAAAAGGCCAAGAGTATCACTGGAGTCCAGCAGTGGCCATATCGGGCAGTTGCAAAAGGTCTGGAGGTCATTCCAAGGACACTCATCCAAAATTGTGGTGGCAACTCCATCAGAACTCTCACTGCTCTCAGGGTATGTAGACTGGGCAATTTTGTAACATCTGCCATTTTGGCAATCATCAGTGATTTTCTGCTCTCAGGTAATTTCAGAAGTTATCTATCAGAGAGTTCATTGCTTATTAAATATGATAAGACAAGTGCAAAGTGAATACTCTTCAGTTGACCTGATGTTTAATAACTTCATATGTTTTTATTAGGCAAAACATGCAGCACCCAACTGTACATCCTGGGGTGTTGATGGAGAAAATGGAAAGATTGTGGACATGAAAGATTATGGAATCTGGGAACCATTTGCTGTGAAAGTGCAAACAATCAAGACAGCATTAGAGGTATATATTTTGTTATCGGTCATTATACTGAAAGCTCCTGAAAATTAGAATCCATCACATGGATAAAATCATATCAAAGTAATGTATGTGGAGAATCTCTACAGTTTAACTTTGGCCAATAAGGAAAAAAAATTTATTGGGCTTATATTTGATGTAAATCTGATATACAATTACATTTTTAGGGTGAATTTAACAACAGTTTTATGCAGGTGAAGGGGGAGGGGCATGGCAAATATTTCTCTGTATGCAACATTGAACCATTAAATTATATAATATCAAATTGTGGTTACTAGTAGACATGAAAATTCAAAAGTAAAGAATCAAAAGAGATATTTTTGATATTGGTGTTGTTTGTAAAATATTGTTTATCAGTTAAGAACAGACTTCCTTAATGTTAGGTGTAGATTGTTGAGGGCTCATATGATTGCTTTTGAAACAGTACATACAGCTATTACTTGTTATGACAACCAGGGAAACTGTAAGGTAATAATTGATTGACATTTATTTCCCACAGACCGCCGTACTTCTTCTAAGAATTGACGACATTGTCTCAGGGACTAAGAAGATGGCAGATGCAGATATGCCCGCACCTCGACAGAAAGACGAAGAAGCAGCACCCCAACCTGAGGGACCAGAATAAAAAACAACTTGATAATTAGGATTTACACAAACATTTTAATAACAGGCATTTCTTTTTGGAATAATTAATAATTCCATGTCATCTTTTTGGCTAATCTGCATTCTACAAAACAAATTGTGTTCATATTCCTCATCGTCTCAGAAAGTTGCAATGTTCAAAACTTTTTTTCATGAGTGCCAGATTCTATGTGTAAAATATCATTCATGAAATTGTATTGTTCTGTGAGGAACATATGGATTTTGTTAGTGCTGCAAAACTGAAGATTTATTCATGGACAAATTGAAATCAAAGTACTCTGTAACCTGTCTATGGAAGTTCACATGTTATAAAATGTTGATCAGTGTGACAAAGAAAAGGACACTTGAGTGCTTTATTTATTGTGATGAATTTCTGTATGAAACCCAAATATATACATGTTTGTCTTTTTATAATTATAAAGAACAAAGGATTAAAAATGTGATCCCATTATTTTGTCTTTTTTGTTTCTGTTACGAAATTATATGGTTTCGATACAGTTGAGATACAAAACAACTAAAATTTGGTCAGTTCAGGGAAGAATTATCAAGGGGCTTCAAGGGCTATATTTACTCTTGTGTATGAGTAACGAATTCAGGGAAGAGTTATAGAGGGGCTTCGAGGGCATGACCAGTAGAGGTCACCAAGTCTGTGACCTTCAACACACCTGTTCTCACTGTATATATCTCTGCTTTATTTACTCTGTGTATGAATAACAATCCAATTGATGTTATTGCTGCTTTCACCTTATCTCCACTTTGCAGTTTTTCAGTCTAGGTACTCCGACACCTGCACTCAGGTGTTTCTCCCAAGGAACTAGCATGACAGGTTAGCATAGCTTGTTGTTGAACACAATTTGCACATGACACTCTCTGGTTACAGTTCTTGCTCCATTTCCATCAAAGGTACAGTTGAAGCATAGCTATATATAGCTAATGATGAAAATGCTGAAAGTCAGGGTTTTTGGAATATAGCAAGTTTCATTACTTTAGGAAACAAACTTAAAAGGAGCCACTTCAGAGTGTCGATAATTAATGAAAATTGTTCTCAAAAGGTTGGGATAAAAATTTTTTACCAATCTAGAGGATGAGTTGACCTTTATATTGTTCACCTAATCTGGAAATCCTAAAGAAGGATCAATGCTTGAGTATTCCAGGCTTCATTTTCTTCTTTCTTTTAAGATCTTAAGTCTCTTGATACCCTAGACTTGGGTAATAAATGGGAGATGGTACATAGTTTTGACTTTGTGTATATGGGCCTGAGTAAGTGCGTCTGTGAAAACGTGAACAAGATCTCTTGTGAAGCCTTGAACAGATTTATACTAGCGGAAAAAAAGAAACGCAAATTCAGTTTTGGTAATATTTCTTTTTTATCCGTAGACCAAATGTTGTGAAATGTGACACATAAATACCTCAGTGTACTGTCTAAATAATCGTCGGTTTAAATTCGGTCAACCGTGACCACGGACGACGCTGCACGATTTGAACAGATTTTCCAACAAAGCGTGCGTCCGTAGCACTACCACGTGCTATCAACTTGAAAACCATACCAAAAAGTTTTGAACAGCACACAACCAGTGCACAACATTTCATTCCAAGGCGATTAAAAAGCAGCATGCCGCGAATGTCCGAAGTTGATCGGGGTAGGGTTATTGCCCGAATTCTACAGGGCCAATAGCAACGTCTCGTCGCCCAGCAATTTGGAGTCCATGAGTCAACGATAGCTCGATTAGTTGGGCGTCTCAGGGCCACGGGAAGATTAGCTGACGTCCACGCGTTACGACGCCATGTCAAGATCAGGGCATACGTTTCTCACACCTACGTAACCGATTTCAGACAGCGACGGAGACGGCAAGTCATATTGTAGGCACTAATGGTCGCCGTGTGTCCAAGAACAGTTAGATATCGGTTGCGGGAGCTCAATTTAAGGCCACGACGTCGCTACGTTGGTCCGCAACTTACACCCAGGCGACGTCAACGTCGAATGCAATAGATGCGTGCACATGCACCAAATTGGTTTCGCTTGGCCCGCTGGAGACCAGTGTTATTCACGGACGAGTCTCGGTTCACGTTGTACAGGTCAGATGGACGAAAACGTTGCTATCGACGTCGCGGTGAGCGATATTTTGACGCATGCGTTAAAGAAAACGACAGATTCGGGAGAGGGTCTGTTATGGTTTGGGCAGGGATTTCTCATGGTGTGAAAACACCTCTCGTGATCATCCAAGGCAATCTTACAGCCGTCCGATATCGGGATCAGGTCATCATTCCTCATGTCCTTCCATTAATCCAAGCGCGAAACCTTACGTTGCAGCAGGATAATGCGAAGCCGCACGTTGCTAGGATGTGTCGTAAGTTCCTCAACCAAAACAATGTCCCAGTACTCGACTGGCTACCCTACAGTCCAGATCTGTCCCCGATAGAGCATTTGTGGGACGAGCTGGACAGGAGGCTCAGGAAGCGCGTCAACGTCCCAAACAACGACGCTCAGCTCACGCAGGCCCTTCTTCAGGAGTGGAATAACATAAACAATTTGATGGGGTCAATGGTAAGGAGAGTTGGAGCAGCGACTGCAGCTCGAGGTGGGCACACCCGCTATTGATTTTGATCAGGAAATGGCGTAGGGTATCCACGTTTAAACGCTATCCATGCCAACGCCGTCTGTGCTAAGACAACAGAACTTATCAAATTTTAATCAGTAATCAGGAATTAATATAAACATCTTAACAATATGATCATCCATAAAACATTTGAAATATTTGAACCCGGGCAAAAACTTGCGTTTCTTTTTTCCGTTAGGATAGATCATATAAACACCATAGCATCAAGTCACCAAGGTCTACATTTGATTAGATTTAGTTGGTCATCGGTCAAGTTGACCATTTTGGAAATAAGAACTTTACACATCATGAACTCGTAAACAAATTTAGTTCAGATTCCCACCCTAGCATGACAACAAAGATATACACCGAATTAGATTTTGTTGGTCAATTGGTTAAGGTCAAAGGTCACCTGACACCACTTGTGTATATGATGGGGATGGCAGTATATCTATATCCTGCTCTCATAAGATGGTTGGTGATTGCTTTTAGTCCACAGTCATCAGATGGTTGGTGATTCAAATAGCATTATGTTCGTGGTCCGTTAAATTGTCCATTGTGCTCGTTCCTGGTCCTCACTTTTTTTCTCTTTTCCGTTTTTGGTGGGATGAGAGCAGGGGAGTAACTTTAATGATATTTCACAAACTGCAACTTTATCTTTCTGTAGGTCCCTTGTTATGCCCAACTTATTTTGGGACTGATCTGAAAAAATGACTAAAAATGAAAGTTTTTTATCGTTATTTATATATTGTATGGATCTTTTCAAATTTCACACGAGTTTCCTTGGGTCTTCAGTTGTGCCATTTTGATTTTGAAATGATCAGATGGACAAAACGACTGAAGGTAGCTTATCTTGAAAAAGACAGTGAAAGTTTATCACTATTTCATGAGAATTGTTGGATGGATCTGCCTACTGTTGATATGTATGTTTCCCTTGGTCCCAGTGTGGGTCTTTTCAAATTTCATGGGTGGGTTCCCTTTGGTCCCTATTTGAACCGCTGCTTTAGGGATTGATAAGAAAAAGGAAATGAATTTTCTCTATTACTTCAAACAACTTCATATAATTAAGAACAAGAACAAAAGAAATAATATAAAAGAGGGGAAAGATGCAACTATCAAAGGAAAAAAGGATGGTGTAATAGGTCAAAAGGTCCCTCTGGGATCTCTTGTTTATTACAAAAGAATGTTTGAAGGAACAGATTTGAAAACTGTGACATAGAAAATGAGTACTTATTTGTATCACTTAGGTATGCCTTTATCACCACATACAACTGGTCCAGTATCATGGCCACAGGCTTTTTTCAATATTGAGAAAATTTCAACGTTTTTGACCAATGTGACCTTGAAAGTCAACAAATGTTTTTATGCGATTTGACAAATAGTGTGACTCTATGTCTCCTAATACCATAATTTAAAGAAAAAGGTTAGAACAGCAAATTTCTCATTTACTGATAAGGTTAACGAGTCTAGAATCTGCTATTGTCTTATATTCTAAACATTTGATCTCAATCACTCAGATAAATGTTATTGAAGCTTGACTGAAGTCATCACTAAATATAGGGATCAGAATCTTTACTCATTTAGGGACTGTATGTAACATGTTTGATATTCCTGTGTTTACTTTGCTGAAAAGACCATTTCAACAGAATATGTTTGAAAACATTAACAGCCAGTGTCATTTTTAGGCATTGTCTCCTTATGTAAAAGCTGTTGGCTACCTCACTGAACATCATGTGGGAGGTCGTCCAAATTAATTATGATAAATTATGACCATGGAAACAACCATATCAGCACAGACCAGTCCATTTCTCAACTTTCTGAGAAATACAAAAGGTCATTGGAATGGAGCATCAACTACACACCTTGGAACTTCACCTGAGGTTACCTATAGCCCAATGCTCTAAGTGACTATCATGACCAAGTATGGGGAGATAACTCAATTGAACTCAGGTAATTTTTACATTACCAGCTTCACCAATTATTCAGTTTACCGGAGGTCACTTGTAATTAGGCCCAATACCAAAATACATGTTGTAAGTTTATTCTTTAATATTCCAATTCATACCACCAAAGGTTTGCAGCACCATCCAATCATGAGATGAAATAAATAGGTTTCAGAGACCAGATTTCGCCGCCATATTGGAACATATGTTGCACACCAAATAGGTTTGAACCTCTGATATGTCTAGATCTACATCAAATGAGATGTTGATTTAATTTTATAGATACCATGCTCAAGTGTACTACAGATATTACTTTTGTTGTTACAAACTCACATACATCAAATTTATCTAAATAAAACTTCTATATAACAACCTAAGTCAACTCGCATTTAGGACATAAATTGAGAACAGAATTTTAAATGAGACTTGAATCAATATACATGAACAACGTACTACATAATGAACGAAAGACTACACTTTGTTATTACTTTTGTTGTTTGAAGCATGCTTTTCCATATCATTCTTGAAGAAATTTTGGTTCTATATCTATTGCGACATAGCTGATATATAACGTGGACAGTGGGAGGTCATTCCATTGTTTTACAAGTATATGTTTTGTCAATTTCTTAGTCAAGTATCTCATAAAATTACACACATAACGACTTGTTCTAAGGTTGTATTAAAAAGGTGCTATTCACTATGTCTTTTGTACAATGTCCTATCTATCAATTAGCTGGGAAACATCCAGCAGTATCCCCACTGTATAATATTCAGAAGTTAACGAGAAAGAAAAAAACAGTAATAAATTTGACTCATGACAGTCTGAATACCATACAATCAAATGATGTTGTTGTTGTTGTTTTTAGCGAAATTATGCAATATTCAGCCACGAAATGACTCTTACAGAAATTTTGTTATTCAAATAATATTCAATATGATAAATATTTCATTATCCAACAGTACTTCATAATATCAATAATCACAGCAATAAAATGTGATTTTACAAAGTCATTTTTAGATTGATGAAATTATAGTTGGATGTTATCAAAAGAAATCTGATCGCAAATAGATATACATGTATTCTTAAAAAATTATTACAGGATGAGTGTTTGGAAAGAAATATGCTTTACAAAAAGAAATCAAAAAGCGAATATGTGCGTTTGGAATTGATTTTTTCCAATGTATGGACTTATATTTACCCGTTATAAAGTGAAAAAATGTAATCTAAAAATAATCTTTTATTTTTGTCCCAGCTGGTCATCGAACCTATGACCTGTAAAGATGACATTGATGTACCAAGCTGCTGCGCATGTGCCGGAAAAGGCCAGGCGGAAGTGAATAGTGGCAGGAGGCAACATCCGTCAGAAGGAAAATCGCCGGTGAAAGAAGAAAATAGAAGATTATGGCTGCAAACAGCAGTTTTCAGCTCTCTGGTGGCTATAACGACAAACCTCCGTCTTCAACTGGTAGTGGAGATGCGGACTTGGCCAGTGATCCTGCCAGCAGCGGCTTTTTCAGTAATGATTTTAAGAGGTGTGCATAAAGATAGATGCCTCACGATATGTCGATCTGACAGGAGACTGCATTATATGTGTATCGATGTGTGGTCCCATTTATCAGCAGTCGTTGGTGTCTCACTCATTAATTGTGATTTAAGGATAGGAAATATATATGTACAATTATAAGTAGTCATGACTGATAGCAAAGTGAAACTCGTCGATAGTCCTGATATGATAATACAGACTACAGTGAATCATATCTGATAGATAGCATATGAAGCGGTCATATGAATGTATGTTTTGATGGAATTATCACAACCATACACCAATGAGTTTTTCTGAATGTTTGTATTGTATATGAAACGGGTTTAGACTATGGCTGTCACGAGTGCAGTACAAGTGTTAGAAGTTTTTTTTTGTCATGCGTAACTATTGAATTTATACAACAAAAATATATCACATATTTACTGATAATTTGTTTCTTGTGTTAACATGTATACTAGTTTCCTTTTTTTAACTTCAGGGCATTATCAGGTAAAACTAGTTCTGGTCAAGATCAAATAACTATCTATAAAAATACAGTAGGATGAGAGGCATATAATCACCATCTTCAAAATAATTAATAACATTTTTTACGGAAAAACAATTTCCAATCTATTAATATATCATTATTGACACAAATGAAAGGATATGTGATCATAACAGGAAACTTTGCATATTCAGGGTTTTCCCTGAGACCTTCAAATTTATGAATGGTGAAAGTCTACAAAATAGAGTAAAGCTTGATTTTATGGTTCTTTGTCAATTTAAGGAACTAAAATGATGGTTTTCAAGGGTCAAGGAAAACCATGAAAGTGTTGCTGTTACAAAGAACAAAGACAGAACTTTTTTACATTTAGAGTTTTTGATATGTGGAATCATATACCCACACAAATTGTAAATGCAAATACCATAAGAAAATTTAAACATCTGCTGAATTAACACTATCTAGAAATAATCTATGAATACTAGAACTATGGCTTATATTAATTTATGAGTCACTGATATTATATATATCATTATTTTCTGAATGTATATATTTGATATGGACTTGGAGTCTGTTAGTCTACTTCCCACGTTTTGCTCTAAAATACTAAAATGCTATGAAATTAGGACTGTTATGAGCAACCAGACACGAGTTGGGTTGGTGATGTAACCAAGTTCAAAAAGGTATACCTGCAGGGTACCCATCATGATAGGAAATATTCTGTTATCAGTTTTTGTCAAGAGGAAAAACCAATTGAAGTAATACAGAGGTACATTTCATGTTGATTACCTGGGTACATGTTGGGTATTAGAATTAAGGTACCTAGGCCAGAATTCTGTATCTATGACAACCTTACTCTTGATAAGCAAAAGAAAACAAGTACTTGTCTTCATCACTTGTTAGTTTCCTCACGTTTATCTTTATAATTTCTAAATTTTATTGAGTCATTTTGATACTTCATGGTACCTAGATGTTAAATTGTTTCGCACCTGTATTTTAAATATTGATTTTCACCTGTTGTATTGGCAAACAAACAACTTACAAAAACTGAGAAAGTGGTAGCTTTTGTTAATCAAATGTTCAATTTTCTCTCTGTTGTTTTAATTGATTGTATTTCCTTGTGATCCTCTCCTTTTTTAGAAAAAAAAACATTGACAAAAGAAAGAAACTAAAAAGGTGGAAGGGCCTTCTTGCATTTCAAAAACCTTAAGAGTTGCTTCCCTTTTCTTTATGTTACAGTTGCCACACCATCGATCCAAATTCATTCTTTATGTGGGTCCAAGTCTATTCAGAAAATAGCGCTTCTCTGTATTTTAATATATGGCTAGTGTACTGAAATGTATCAAAAAGGTATGATTTACAATCAGAGATGAGCATTTAGTAGGATAAGATCTCAGTTCTGGTGTTGTAGATTTTGATATGGTTAATATGTGATTTTAGTTCATTTCATTTTACATAGTTATATATCATATAACTTGTTATATGAGTTGAATTACGCATGGACACAGTTGAACTATATATATATACGAGTGGTCGGATGGCGCAGTGGTAACACTGTCGACTTTCACCTTGTTGTCCGAGGTTCAATTCCCGGAATGAATGTGAAAAGGTATAGGGCCATCTGCCTGACCACATGGGTTTTCCGCGGGTACTCTGGTATCCTTCCACTGTAAAACCATTCGCTCTTCCAACCAGGACAACAAGAGTGATTAATATAAGTATAAAGCTTGTTTTGCAATTGTAAATGAAGTTTATAAATATATATGATAAGTACATCCATTAATTATTGATAAGCTGTTCCTAATATTGCTACTTTCAATCATAAGCAAATTTGTGAATTTATTGGGGAAAAAAACCAGTAAACAAACTTTCACTTGATAATTGTGCAAGGACAACAGTAAAATATACTTAGACAGAGTGGTGTCTATAAAGAAACACTTTGTTGGGATATGGAGACAAATAGAAATGAATTAAAGTGACTGCCACTGAAAATACAAACCAAGTTCCAAAGGCCACCAAGAAAAAAATGGCGTTTAAAACTTACTAGGTATAGTAATGTTAAGAGGTAAAGTGCAATGTCACACATACTTTTCACTGTTTGTGATGACATCTCACAGATAAAATGGGGTTGGTTGTCATTCAGTAACAATCATAAATAGAGGCATGTTTACAAACAGTGAATTTTAATCACTTCATATGAATACCAATACACTGTGTCATCTCGAGTACTTCTCAGATAAATTATTTCTAACTATAGCTATATAATCAAACATTTTTATTTGTTTTTTTTTAAGTGAAAGTAGCATATATTAGGGCTTTAAAGGTGCTGATAAAAAACTTTTTCAAATAATTATGTGTCTTTTCAGACATGATGATCTTAAGACCATGTTAGATGGGAACCGGGATACACACAAACTGGAGGCCATGAAAAGGATCATTGGGGTAAGTCTTGGTAAACATTGTGTTATGTGTGTTTCAGGAGGGGGCAGTATCCTTGGTCTAGTCCTATACCACACCAATAATTAATTTAGATGGCTGAGGTATTGGGCCTGGGGTGTAGGTGGAATCATTACAGGGAAATGGTTGGTTAGCTCTCTTATCAAAGATTAAATGACAGGTCTGCATTTTGCTTTTGCGAAGACAGTGTGTTGTAGATTTGTACTTAAAACCAAATCATTTTACAAAATAATGGACCTGATTTCCTCAAAATTGTTAAAAATTTGGATCATGATTTGTTAACTATTCTTTAGTTTGATTTGAGATGTCTTACAATAAACAGAAAGAAAATGATTAAACAGGACCCGACAGAAACATTAAAAATGATTATTGTAATGGACGTTTTGTATCTACAGATGGTTGCAAAGGGAAAGGATGCCTCAGAACTATTTCCTGCTGTGGTGAAAAATGTTGTCTCGAAAAACCTTGAGGTGAGAATTTATGTCATAATATATAGATTTTTGCTTCTGTATGTTAGCATGTAGTCAATGTTAATAAAACTGATGATGAGTGGTTTATAGGCAGCTTACATATTTAATAACAGGTGCATAGTACCTTTACTTCATAACTGCCCAGTTCTTTGTTTCTGTACAGTTGAAATACATAAGCTTTCACAATAGTGAAACAATGAAGTTTGAAGAAACAAGATGTACCAATGGAAAACCATAGTTTGATGCATGATCTCATACCTGAATGTGATGGTCTTGATAATCAAACTCAAAACTTTGAGTTTCAGGGTTGTTGGGTCAAGGTTACCATCAGTATGTTTAGAAAATTGTTGCCATCACTAATGAAATGTTGCTGAAAACAAACCTGAAGATGCACTTCCATAGTGATTTCTACATGATCAGCTGTCAGGAATTGTAATTTGTGTAACCATATTTTAACACAACACTTTCACTCTTAAATATGTGCTTTTACAGTAATTCTTCTGAATAGATATTAGAAATTACCAGACACTGGTTTATAATCAGAGAAATATGACTTTGATTTTATTTTTTAATCCAACTTGTTATTCTTTATACTTCACCAGTGAACTAATACTTATATGACTTATATTGCAGGTGAAGAAGCTTGTATATGTTTACCTTACCAGATATGCAGAAGAACAACAGGATGTGGCGCTGCTGTCAATCAGTACATTCCAGCGGGCGTTAAAGGTACCTTTATCTGTCTAGTGAAATGTTAACTTCATTTCAACATTCATTTAATCTACAGTGATGTTAGAATGATATTTTAAAAGAATCTGCTTGAATATAAAGGTAAAGCACTGTAAATATTGTCTTTAGAGTTCAGAGTAAATTAAATGAATCAGCTTGAAAATGATCTTGATACAATGTAAACCTTGATTTTAGGACCCAAACCAGCTCATTCGTGCAAGTGCCCTGCGTGTATTGTCAAGCATTAGAGTCCCAATGATTTCGCCTATCATGATGTTAGCTATAAAGGAGGCTGTAGTGGATATGTCACCCTACGTCCGCAAGACAGCAGCACACGCAATTCCTAAACTCTACAGGTAATTCATTATAGTAACTGTTTACAAGATTTCTGATAAGACTGTGAATGTTAAATGGCAACAGAGCAATATTTGCTTTTCATTAATTGATACTGTAGGCTTAGATACCATCAAGAGATATCTGTTACTCTATCCTTCATCTTTTAATGGATTTGTCATTGATTAAAAAGAAAAAGTTTGTCATGCCAAGATGGTATCAAGGTTTTTAAAAAGTTACACTTAAGTCTTTGATGAGGTTTTTTATCTGTATATTTTATTACTCTTTTCAGCCTGGATCCAGAAAATAAAGATCAATTGATAGAAGTCATAGAAAAACTACTGGCTGATAAAACTACTGTGAGTATACTTTATTTATATCCAAATCATCAAATAGCTTGTAAATATCATTTCATGGTGTTAGTGTAAAAAGTATCAGAGAATCATCTGAAGTGTGTGATTATTTTGAATAATTTGCTTCAAACACTTTGATTTAGTCCTGTATACCATGTATGTACACTTGTCAGTTTATTACCCATCATTTGTTTGTTTCAGCTGGTGGTTGGAAGCGCTATACAGGCATTTGAGGAAGTTTGCCCTGAACGTATTGACCTCATCCACAAAAACTTCCGCAAGTTATGTAACCTGCTGGTGGACGTAGAGGAATGGGGCCAAGTCGTTATAGTCAACATGCTTACCCGATACGTCAGAACACAGTTTGTCTCACCCAACCAAGGGGTAAACATCATTTTATTCTGTATGAAAATTTTTTCCTAAGAATTGTCAGAAAAGAATTGCTGCTAAGTTAGAATCAAACTTTATATTACAGAATTTTCAAATATTAGTAAGAATATTTTTTTTATTTTTTTTTTTTCTTGTCTAGGATGGTGTTGAAGAGGAAAAAGCATTTTATGAGGATTCAGATAAAGAGGAAGAAGAAGAAAAGGAAACAGAAGGTGACACTAAGAACAAAACATATGTGATGGACTCCGACCACCGACTGCTGCTAAGACAGGCCAAGCCACTGTTAAACAGTCGCAATGCTTCGGTAGGTTCTGAGTGTATCTGTGATCTGTAGTAGACCTGTTGGTTTACATAATCTGAGCAAGCAGAACAAACAATTTAATTACATGGTATGAAGTTGCCAGTGAGTTTATGGTGGCGTCTGTCATTCATCAACTTTTTAACTTTTAAACCATCTTCCAGAAAACAGTTATCAACTCTGTTCAGATATTTACTCTGTAAATATCATCAATTCTAGTGTTTACAAGTTGTGATACCTTATCTTTATTGTACATTCCTGTGAAAAACTTATTCTCTGTTAAAAGTTTCTGTTTACAGCCTGTGATATCCTATATTTACTGTATACTCCTGATAATACCTGTTATGTGTTTCTGTTTACAGCCTGTAATATTATCCTATATTTACTGTATACTCCTGATAATACCTGTTATGTGTTTCTGTTTACAGCCTGTAATATTATCCTATATTTACTGTATACTCCTGATAATACCTGTTGTGTGTGTCTGTTTACAGCCTGTGATATTATCCTATATTTACTGTATACTCCTGATAATACCTGTTATGTGTTTCTGTTTACAGCCTGTAATATTATCCTATATTTACTGTATACTCCTGATAATACCTGTTATGTGTTTCTGTTTACAGCCTGTAATATTATCCTATTTTTACTGTATACTCCTGATAATACCTGTTGTGTGTTTCTGTTTACAGCCTGTGATATCCTATATATACTGTATACTCCTGATAATACCTGTTATGTGTTTCTGTTTACAGCCTGTGATATCCTATATTTACTGTATACTCCTGATAATACCTGTTATGTGTGTCTGTTTACAGCCTGTAATATTATCCTATATTTACTGTATACTCCTGATAATACCTGTTATGTGTGTCTGTTTACAGCCTGTAATATTATCCTATATTTACTGTATACTCCTGATAATACCTGTTGTGTGTTTCTGTTTACAGGTTGTTATGGCTGTAGCTCAGTTGTATCATCACTGTGCCCCTAAAGCAGAGGTAGGAGCAGTTGCTAAGGCCCTCATCAGACTTCTTAGGAGCCACAAGTAAGAAATACATATATTCACAATCGGTTTGAGTTATAAATTGATTGCTTTTTGAGGACTTTTATTATTAGGCATTGTTTCACTTTACTAATATTTCTATTTTTACATGGAAAATTTTCTTACCCGATGTAGCTTGGTAAACAGACAGTTTATACAAAAAAAACTTGGAAAATATCACTTCTTGAAAGAAGTGTCATGTCCACCTCATACATACATTATCTAGTCTCATTGGGCTATCTATTTTTTGAAGACATGTTTTGTGTATGTGATGATGGTGAAGTGTGGTAGATTCATTATAACAACATCTAATATTTTTTAGCAGATAGAAAATGTGAGATGTAGCTGGGCGATCCCATATTGAAGCCTCTTTGTGTATACATATGGGACAAATTCTTTTTCTGAGTTCCATTAATACCAAGAATTAAAGGTTTTTTTTAAAAAGTACCATTTAAAGGTTTTAACATCTGTAATACTGTGTTTTGTTTTTAACAAATGAATACAAACAAATTTGGCGTAAAATCTTAATTAAACAGTATTTTAAAATAAGGAGGATCTGTTTAGAAACGTGTTTCAGGTATGATCATTTGTTTACAGAGAAGTACAGTACATTGTCCTCAGTAACATAGCCACAATGACCATTAACAGGAAGGTAAGTAGATAAATCTGAAAAAAAATATCACAGTGACCATCATAATATAGCCACTTCTGAAAAATATAACTATCAATGACGTTTGAAATAACATCAACAGCTTGGTTTAATCTTTTCACAGTTAAATAGATAAAGAAAAATATTTACACTTCAAATGCCTGAGTATCACTTCTGATTTCAGGCCTTATGACTGTCTTCATACGATAACTTTATTTGAACATCTCGGTTACAACATAATGACATATTACAATATGTAAATATATATAAAGCTCACTTGTTTCTTCTTGTCAAAGGAAACAAATGTAATGTTATATTTCAATAGTTTGAATGATCCATCCTTAATTATATGAAATTGAAAAAAAATATACTTATAAATTGAAAATTGTTAAGGTTTGCTTGAATCAGAATATATCTTAATTCTGCACAAATATCTAAAAAAAGAAAAGGACACTTTCAATTTTGACTGATTCTTAATTTCGATTTTTGTATAGAAGTCTGACACATGATTAACTAGTAAGTTATTATTTCTCTGTGTGATATCAAAATGTGACTAGACGCTTTCATTTGAAATCATAATGATTCTGATCAACAGGGGATGTTTGAGCCATTTCTGAAGAGTTTTTACATCCGGTCCAGTGACCCAACCCATATAAAGTTGCACAAGGTATGGTGAAGAGAGAATGAAAAATTAAATGAAAATCAGTGAATCAATATCCAGATTTTGCAGTACACATTACATCACATGAATATGCAGGCTTGTAAGCCCTGCAAGTATAACAATATCTCTGAAGGTGGAACTCAAAGAAGGATTCCTTAAACCAAAAGATGCCAATTACTTGAAAAAGCAGCAGATTTGTACTCAGTCATATTAATCTTTCATTTTTTGTGAAGTTTGATTTTTTAAAATTACATACACCCGATGTAATAATGAAAGTCTATTCCTGTCAAAACCACATTTGTCATATTTCTATTTTATGTTTGCTTTTTTTGTTTTTCAACCTTTAATATTTGATAAATACTAGTGTTGCTGAGTATGTGTAAAGAAGTTTATCATTCTTACTACATGAGAATGGAGACTGAAGTCATTGAAGTTGGGAATAACCCATTGATTAAGGGAATAACCCATTGATTAAGGGAATAACCCATTGATTAAGGGAATAACCCATTGATTAAATTGTATTTTGTGAGCACTTGTGTTTTCTTGTTTCAGTTGGAGATTTTGACTAATTTGGCCACAGAAACCAACATATCCACCATTCTACGAGAGCTTCAGGTTCGTTATTTATCCATATTCTATATTCCCAGCACAACCAGATCAATAGGGTTAAAACTAATGTATGTTTTGTAGGAACTATCTGTGTTTTTTTACACAGTTTTCGGATCATATCCCAAATCCATTTGAAATATTTCAGTTCATAAACTGGTATCATTGCATCTATTTTGTGGTCTAGTACTGTTTTTTGGTCAGTATGTCATATTTTGTCTTATTTAATGTCAATGTCAAACCTTGAGAACGACAGAATAGATTTGGTTCATATTTATCTCATAATATCCTTACATATTCTTCACCTAATCATATTAAGTGGTAAGGTAGGATACACCCTTAAGTTGATTTATATATACAGACAGATTTTATGTTTTCAGACATACGTGACTAGTAATGATAAGGATTTTGCTGCTGCGACTATCCAAGCTATCGGACGATGTGCCAGTAACATTGCTGAAATTACCGACACCTGTCTTAATGGATTAGTTCATCTTATGTCAAACAGAGATGGTAAGTTCAGTCAAAAAAGAGAGAAGTTTGTGCAATTTTATGTCTAATAGATGGTGAATTTAATCAACAATGTTATCTCTTGTCCTTATTAGGGCCCCGCATCAGAGATGCGGGTGCCCTATAGTAATCAGGTTGTCAGTCCGTCTGTCTGTCTGTCCATTTTTTTGCTTCTGGCATTTCTCAGAGACAACTGCACGTATCTTATCTTTCCATGTCGTTCGAACGACATTCACCAAACTTGCTGTATTCATATACCTTGGGAATGCAGAGTGTCACAAACCAACTTCAAGTTTCAAAGACAAATATGTGCAGAGTTATGACTCTTTGTCACCAAACCGTCTGTCCGCCTTCTTTTCTCGTTTCTTCTAAGTTCTGTGCACAACATCGCGGGGTTGTCGAGGGTAATGTAAAAATGCTTCCCACTTGACTCTGACAGCTTACAAGGATTGTAACACTCAACTGAAGCTGACCATTAGGGTTAAACACATAGCGGGGCCCTTTCTGACTTGTTAGTGTTCTAGTTTTTTCTGAATAAGGCCCAGTGTTCATAAGACACTGAAATATTATCTTTGTTATCTAGAGATTCACAGAAACAGAGACCAATGTATGTTTCCTCTGTCAGAAATGGAGCCTACAAAACATATACCACCTGATGTCTACATTAGGATCATAAACACATGTATCCAAAATTTCTCCATAAGCCATAGGAAATATTGATATGTATTGATTTTCCTAATGTGACCCCATATCAACATATTCACTGATTTATTGATTTTTTTTTCTGTTTTGTAATTGTGTTTTTTTGTTTTTTGGGTATTTTTTTTATAATTCTACTTATCATTTATTTTTCTTAAATGTGCTATCTGTAATCAATGTATACAATATTCTTTATCTTTATAAATTTCAGAGAGTGTTGTAGCAGAAAGTGTTGTTGTGATTAAGAAACTGCTTCAGATGCAGGTATTTATTTTGCTTTTGACACTACCTGTAACAATATGATGCACACACACACCTGTAATATGTGTATAAGGATGCACAAATGCATGGTGCAGTCTTCCTATATATTCACTGTGCGTGACTAATAATACCTGTTACTCTAACTGTAATGTATTCACATAAAATATATTTCTTTCACTGAATCATATATGAGAAAGATTCCATTTTTGTCAAAAGTATCTATAATAACAGCACCATTAAGTGAATTGTGAATTATTAGCTGTTTCAAACAAATCTTGTTCAGGATGGAATCTGGCTTAACAAGGTTGCCCAGAGTAATAGGTTTGACTTGTTTGTTATGTTGATTTGCTTTGTGTACTAACCACTATGCTTTTGTTGATTTTTGTCTGTACCCACATCACAGAATGGCTCACGGAGAGTGGTATGGGCTTTTTGGTCAGAAACTTTGTCGGGTAGTGGGAGCAATTTTTGATAGATTTTTTTTTCTACAACATCGATCATCATTTGCTTGCTTCATTTACTTTCCATTACACTGAAGTAATTTTAAAGTTTATCTCAAAAGTTTGATAATGTCTTACATTTTTCTGTTAAAATGTAGAATTGATTTTAGGTAATACCATTTCAGCTACACTCTGTATCCATCAGTTTCCTCCCATCGTGATCTAAATTAAATCAATGTTGGAAAACCTGTCTACATATATGGTTCATATTTACCCTATGGTATCGTCAAGTTCTACACCTGTTCAGATTCTGGTGTGCATAGAAGTGAGGGCATTCATTTCTGGTATACATTTATACACATAAAAAAGAGTTAATTGAATTTGTTTTTGTTTAAGTCAGGATAATTGCAAAAAATGGGGAAAAGCTATATACATACATGAAAAAATGATTAAATTGAACTAGAATTAAATGTTCCTGAACTATTTTTTTAAAATGAGAGTTTTAAGGAATCTTAGTGTGGTGATGAAATATTTTGAAAAGATAAGAAAGTCTGAATACCATTGCACATGTTTTTGCTCTGGTTTATATGGTTTTGCTGTAAGCTGTTTGTTTTATGCATGCTGGTGAATGGTGTGTTTCCTTTGAAGGTGAGGATATGTTACCCTTGATTTTTGTTCAGGTGGTCTGAGATAGATTAATATAAAGTTTCAGATTATTGATCTTGATATGCTGATCACTGATCTACACTTTGCTACACACAGGAAAAATTTGCCTCATTCTCTAGTACTGTTTTTTATTGAATGAAATTCTTAGGTTATGCCAATTTACTTAACATGACAATCTAGACACAGTCGTGCTACCAACCAGATTGACCTATGTTATGACTAATTCCCTGTAAAATTTTATGTAGTTCATATCTCATATTTTTATGATCAATATTTTACCATTCAATCAATTATGCAAATTCTTAGCATAAAACAAGAGATACAATCCTTCTCTGAAGGTGATATTTGATTCCTACAACTACATATACTGGCCAATATGACCTTGAATTTCGACATTTGAGGCCCTAGTCATGTAATGATAGACACCTTTGTTGGGTATAAAGAAAGAACACAAGTATGCTACAGATTTGTCTAGATCCTCGTATTGTAAATTTGTAAAAACTCCCAGAGATGTCAAAAAGATTCGTAGAAGTGATCTCCGATCCATTGTAGTAGTGTCAAAATCTGGTAAAAGGTTACGACTTCTAGGTATGTTTTGCCTATAAATATTTAGTAAATAACTTTCCAGTGCATGTTATAGATATTTTAATGGATTTTGCATGTTCTAATTAATAAATTCTTAGATATAAATACTGTAAAGATTAGACAATTCTCAAAATTTTGCTTTAAAGGTTTATTTTGTAGATTAGAATATATTTCGTCCTAAGCATCTTCTTCTTGGTCTTTCCAAGAGTTGATTCTTCTGAGGTGCTGTTTCTTTATAGTTCAAAGTTCAGATGATATTTTGATTTGATGTTTTCCCTGACTTTTCTGATAGCTATAAACTTGGTCCTTATTTAAGTTTACTGGTACCCTAACCCTGAAGCAATAAAATGGAAGTACATGAGTATATGATTATTAATTCTGCCATGTTAGCACTGTAACAACACTTGTCCTTTAGACACCAGCCAGGGTAGTGTTAGACCATATGATATACATATACATATGGTAGACAGGTTCAAATCAACTAGGTTGGTATGGCATACAAGATTAAAGAAAAAAAAATTACAGAGCTAAAATCTGTTTCTTTATATACTTATTATTTTGTTTTGAAACGAAAGAAATTATGATTTTATTACAAAAGTTTAAAAAGAAAGATGAATGATAAAGGCCCCATGGATTTCATGTGGTTTCAAGCTTTTGAGCTCTTTATTACTTTGTGAAATTTATTATTTCATCAAACAGATAATGATTAGTTAATGATAAGTAAAGCTTCAGTAATGAGTTGTTTTCCATACATAACAATAAGACTAACTGTTACAGATTTTCCTGAACAAAATATTTCATTTCAGTACTCATACTTTATTAGTGCAATCAGTCAACCATAACAAATGTGACCTTGAACTTTGCAGCCAACTGAACACAAAGACATCATCATACACATGGCCAAGATGGTGGATGCGATCACTGTCCCCATGGCGAGGGCAAGTATCCTTTGGTTGATAGGCGAGTACAGCGAACGTGTCCCGAAGATAGCCCCGGATGTCCTCAGGAAGATGGCTAAGTCATTCATAGAAGAGGTAAGAAAAATAAAAAAAAAAATTGGTCTGTTTTGTTGATAGTGATATCACAACCCTGAATGTAAGACTTTATCTGGTCAGCACAAGGCTTTGTAAGATTTCATTAACCTTAAACTTGATTGGATGTGAAATTAGAAGTCTTCCCCTCCTTGTGAGATTCCCCTCTATGTTGCTTACCATTGGCTGAATGCTTATTTTTGTCTTATCCTAAAGTTTTAAATGCCCTATGATTAGTTAGTAGGGGTATGACATTGTATGGGTCCATATTTAAGGGATTCAAGGATGAGGCTGATCAGGCAACCATTGTAATGTATAGAAACGTATGAAGCAATAATACTATTTTACACTGGAAGCATGGCATTCATGTTTCAGACATTTTCTAGTTTATAATATGTGTAAATAACCTGCAGCATTGAGATACAGTAAAGTACCATAAGTCTTTCACCAACATTGTTTTCTGTTGTGTATGACTAGGGAAATAATTTATTTACAACATGCGACTTTCAGAATCTCATTTTGGTTAGTGTATATAGAAAAATGGCATTACATGGAATTTAGCCCAGTAGATATATTTGTATTACTCCCAAAATAAATAATGAAAAATTAAATAGATATTACAAGAAGAAAATATGGATATTATTGTACAAATTGGCAAAATATTGTCAAAATCCATTCCTGAACAAAGTCATGGAAATTCATTGAAAAAATCTAGAAATAAATATCAAGAATACATTTTTGTATATCATAAAATAAAAAAGTATGAAAGACTTATGGAACATCAGTGTAGTTCATATTAAAACAAAAACTATGTAACAGCTATTGGTAATGTTCTAATCTGTGTCCAGGTTTTCATTTCAATATTCTGGTGAAGAAAGATCAAAACTTTCTTTCATTCAACAAAAATCAGAACGAATCTGATGTGAATCAAGGTTTTTATATATATAGTAATTTTTGTTTTCTATTCCACAACACAGGAGGACATTGTTAAGTTACAGATATTGAACCTGTCTGCTAAGTTGTGCATCACTAATGCTAAGCAGACTAAACTCTTGTGTCAGTATGTCTTTAACTTGGCCAAGTATGACCAGAACTATGACATTCGAGACCGCTCCAGATTTTTGCGACAACTCATACTGCCTGGGGAGAAAGGAGGAGCCTTAGCCAAGTATGCTAAGAAAATATTTCTGCACACAAAACCAGCACCAGTACTAGAGTCAAAATTCAAAGGTAAATTCAAGTGCAAAGTGGTTTTTTTCCGTTTCCAGTTCTTCATTTTATGTCTTCCTTGAACATGAATAGAAACAAGACTCTTTCTTATTGGTCTAATATCAATGCCTTGGTAAGATATGATAAAGAGATGCTGGCCAATTTATGTTCCCAATTGATAGTTGTCTTGTTTCCTTACAATTAATTTAAGTTTTCATCAAACAAATGACCAATGTGGAGCCTACTAGCACTGACATATGTAGTGTACAAGATGGTAAGACATTGATAAGGAAATGTTTTTGCTGTACTATAACCCTTTGCATACTTAAGCCGAAAATAGTATGACAAGATGGTAAACAAATTGTAGACCAAAAAACACAAAAGATGGTACCAATGTACTGTAGTCGATTAGGCTACACAATTAGTGATTTCTCCCTGTCTTGTCTTATGTTCTACCTCTATGCTATAGACAAATCCCCATTATTCAGGGCAAGTTAGGCAACCTTTATTCTCATTTTCTACATTTTGGTTTGATTGTGTCACATTACTGATAGATTTTGCATGTGTGTGTATGTTTCAGACCGAGACCAGTTCCAGCTAGGCACCCTTTCCCACATCCTCAACACAAGGGCCACAGGCTACCAAGAGCTCCCAGAGTGGCCAGAGGTAGCTCCTGATCCCAGTGTTCGTAACATAGAGGTCCCAACTCCCTGGGAGACCAAGTTCTCCTCAAAGAAAAAGAAACCAGAGAAGGAGAAAAAATCCTTCTATTCTGATACGGAGGAGTCAAGTTCAGAAGGTAAACATTATAATGATATTTGATGAAATTGAAAGTTAACCATATCAGAGTAAACATCTTTGTCGCAGTGCTAATTGCACTATGTGTATTGATGATATAGCAATCATTGTGGGTATATAAATTCACTGTTGTATTGATTTGCTAAAGAATAATGATGTGGTAAAAATGATCAGTATATTTACATGAAGTAAAGCAAGTTTGTAATTTCTTTAAAGGTGTCCATGTAAGATACAAGACATAGCCTTAAATGACAGATTTGAAATATACGAACAGTTGTCTTACAGAATAGTCTTTTTGATATACTCCATCTATACATGTAAATCTAGGGTTTTAAATGTAGAGGAAATTGGTAAAGAAATAGTTGGTCAGATATATGTATTACAAGCAGCAAGCTTCTTGTATTTATTTATAGATGATGACAGCGATGAGGAAGATAGTTCTGATGAAGATGAGGATGATGATGATGAGGAGGAGGATATTGAAGAGGATAGCTCTGATGAAGATGAAGATGAAAGCTCTGAAGAAGAGGTCACCTCTTCTGATGAAGAGGTTATTACTCCTGCTAAGAAAGTGCTACAAAAGAAAGCTCCATCAGACAATTCAGATGAAGATGATGATGAAAGTGAGGACTCATCTGATGAGGACAGTTCAGAGGAGGAAAGCGATGACAGTGACAAGAAACCACCTCCTAAAACTAAAAAGGTATAACTTACATGTTGAAGAGGTATACACACATTTAATGTTTTTCTTTCTTTAAATCTTTATGACTGGTCCAAATTAAACATGTATCATTATTGTTTTGAAGTATGATATAAGTAAATAATGAGATATTGTGTTTAAGATGATTTTAACAAATCTTTATTTACCAGTGCTTAACACAGCCATTCTGGAGTCTAATGCTGTATTATGTTTACTTCAGAGCCAAGTCAAAGCTGCTCCAGTTAAGAAAACTAAAGCAGAATCTGCCAAGCCATCACATGATCTTTTACTGGATTTGGATGATTGTGAGTACCAGGTGTAATGATGTATAGCTTACTTGTGATTCTGTTTGTGACCTGTACAATGTTTTGTGTCCTAACTTATTGTCTTAGTTCACGATGGAACTCTAAATTCCACCTCATTGAATTATATAAGGTATGGAAAAATCAAATCAGAGAATATGAAAATTGTGTGGCATCTATTTAAAAACTGATGATTACATTGGACAAAATATTGTTGAAAAAAAATGTTCGAATCTTGATGTCTCTAACATCTTGGCCTTTATTAATTATAAAATGACAAATATTCTCTCAGTTGGATATCATTTTCACATAAGCAAATTTCTGAGACATTAAGATCATGAATGAAATACAAGTCTGGCATTTTTGTTGTCTAAGATGTGTGTTGATATTCATTATATAAACTCTCCCCTACATTTGATGTGTTATCCTTTTCTCAGGCATTTGGTATGCCCGTCCTCATTATTCCTATTTTGTCTACAGTTGGACCACCAGGGGGTGGGTTTGCTAGCTCCTCAGGAACCCCAGCTGCTGACCTCTTGACCCCAAGTCTTGCGGGCAGCATGTCTAACATGTCTTTAAGCAGCACAAGCATGTCTGCAAGTAACAGCATGAATGTAAGTAGAACAGATAATGGCTGGTCAGAGTAGGATCAACCCATGATGCAATTTCCAAAATGTTGCATCAAATATGAATAAAATGTTTTTGAATCAAGTAGAGACATGCACTTAGTTTCCTTCAGTAATTAGATGTACAACTGCTTGGGAGCTTACAGGCAAGAGTTTGTTCTCATGAAGCTTTCTCCTTGATGTTGGATAAATAAAAATTCTGGAGTTCTGTTTTAACTAAAGCTGTACTCACAGTTTTCATTGACGATGATGATTCTCTCTTAGTCCATATAATATTTTAGAGAAAATAAATGCTAAAATCTCATACTTAAACTAATGCATTAATTGATAAAACAATGAAAATTATGGTACACTATCCACAATAAAGGAAAAAAAGAGTTTGTGTTAAAGTTGTTGTCCCTAAAGCCTTTTGAAGTATGGAAATTAAAAAGTACCCCATATTTTCAGGAATATACCATTCAAAATATACAGGACCCCATTTCATCTGAAAAAAGACTCCATTTATAAAATACCTAATGCAGACCTGGAATTTAGTCATAAAGCTCTTTTTGTTTTATGTCAGTCTTTAAATGAAACTGATGCATTAATGTTTCATTATAAAGTTTAATTATGTCATTTAAGATGTCTTACAAAACAGAATTCATGAATGATTTTACCTCCATGTGTCTCTATGATATTAGATTTCACTAGCGAGCCTGAATTTGGAGATTGGAAAAGATCTGGTAAAGGATGTCTGTTTCTTGATTTATCTCTCTTGGCAGCATGCCTGTTTCCATGGAAAATGTGCATGTGACTCTGATTTCTATTTTGCTTGCTATTGAATTACATTGGATTGTCGGAGGAAGATTACTACAGACACTCTCAATTTTGTAACAGTTACATATTATTTCTCTTGATAACACAGCTGGATCTTATTGATAATTGTTTCGATATAGCATTAACATCGTTCTGCCAAATTTCTTTTCACACTGTTAAAATTAAAAGTATTGATATTGTAATATCTTGTTGTTGAGATATCTTAATGATGTTTCGAAACTTTTAATTCTGCTATAGATGTAACTAATGATTTCAGGAAAAAATTCATAAATTCACATACATATTTATAGAAAAGTAATATAAAAAACACTTCTGATTAGCAAAGCATAAGAAGCATCCTCATATCAAATCTTGAGATGCTTTACTATTAGTTTTGCTACCTCAGTAGGCCTACATGGTAATGCAATATGATGTATATATATATATATATATCAGCTAGAAAAGACTAATCCAGTTGTCTGTAATAAAAAATCATAAAAAGTTACTGGCTCTTTAATGCCACTAACACAGTGGATAGAAGCAGAGCAACTTTCTGCATCCATCAAAGTAAATACTTTTCATTTTGTGAATTTTTTTCAATTAAGTAACTTCTAATGTAAAGGTGAACTTACAAACTTTGTTTTGGTTTCTAGGTTTGTGATATCTTTTGTTTGACTGTTAGTGCCATGGGAAAGTAGACCTTTGAAATTTACATACCTAATTAAATGACCATTTTCCCATCCATTCAATATTCTTGTTAATAATTTTCTGTTCTTTTTTCTCTCAGTTTAATCCAGCATCACTTCCAGCCAAAAATTATGAACTTGTGAACAGGATGACAGGGAAAGGTTTAACTGTTACTTACAAGTTTACAAGAACTGTGTCAATATTTTCTCCCAAAATGGTTTCCATAGAGATGACATTTGTGAATACTAGTGATAATACAATATCTGGAATTCATATAGATAATAAGGTAAGTTTATCTCAAAAATGTGTTTTTCCTTTCATTTTGCAGGACAATCATTTTACATCTTTTCAAACACACCACAAATATGTCGGATGATTTGTAGATCGGTGGGTTAGAAAATCAAATACAAACAGATTACTGAAGTGTATTATTTGATCAGAATAGACCTTGAAAGTTGGAATTGATTCCAAAAAATTTTTCAAATTCTATCTTAAAAATCCAGACAAAGTGTTGAATTACTAAAAATAATTCCGAAGATATTGACTTTGATAATATGACCACATGTTTAACTAAATTGATCCTTTCAATGCCCCAGCTAACGTCCATCACTCTGTCCTGTAATGTTGCCTCCTATTGCATATTTGTATCATGTCTTCAGAAAGTTTTAACAGCTTTGAATTATATTTTCCACATAACATCATAATATCACGTTCTACATTTCGTCATATTAAGGTGGTCATTGGTTGATGCTGAAAGTTCAGAGGTCACATTTAACAACTTCTGTTTCCATTAGAACAGGAGCATTCATGTCTTGGAGATATTTTCTAGTTTCATAGCGTATTGATTTGATAACTGCACAGTTGATAAATGGCGAGAATTTTGATAGCAATGTCATACAGTTAGATGCTTTAATTCTGTCCTTGAAGGACTCTACTGGAGTGAAATATGATATTCACTGGGTACTACAAGTTTTTGTGATGTAGGATTGTAGCCTGTGTGAAATACAAACCAATAACTAGTCCATCTTCTGAGAGTATAGTAAAAAGTCATGTACCTAATCAGTCTGATCTGTTTTCTTTCAGAAATTACAACCAGGAATGGAAATACATGATTTTCCAGAAATTGGTAAGTAATTTATTTTTATTATTTTTATATCAATGTTATTGAGTATAGACGGGCTCTCCATCAATTACTACGATGTGGTCATCGACAGGTTCACGGCCAGAATTTAACACCTTGTGTATAAGAGCCTCTCATCTGTATCCTGTAATGAGCCTTGGGAACAACACATTTCTCTGATTCAAGTTTCTTTACTGAAAATATATACCACTTGTTCATGTGGTGTCATTCATCATGTGTACATATATATGATATAGACTATAATGCAGCTTATCTGCATAAACATTCTGGTATAGACTATAGTACAGCCTCATTGCGGGTCGTCCAGCAGCCATAATGTAGATGTTGTGCATTTTCAATACACATGTCATGCTGTTGGTTGTCTCTAGATCATTTTAGAAACCTACAAGTCAAACGAAACAGTATGTAGTTCTATTGAATAGTTTAAAATATGTCATTTCTATCAAGCATTGGCTTATTATCTAAAAGAAAACATTCATCCAGGTTTCTTTTGACACAGCATATTTCATTTTTACCCAAGTAATTAATACGCCCTAAATGCATTTTCAAAACTAACATTCCAGCTATACTACCAAACTTCACCCCACCTTTTACATTTTGTTTTTGCTTTTTAACAATGGGTTGAAATTCAACAAATACTTTTGAGCAATGGTGCAAGTAAAAAAGCAGCAACAGAGAATACAGTACAAGTGAGATGTGTAATAAGAAGGAAATCTTACTTTGAAATCATGTCTGATCTTTTCTCAGCAAATCTTTATTAGACTTTTATTATACACGAAGGAAAGTTTGACGTACATTGCCATACAACTACAAAATTAAATCCCATCATCAGTTTCATTTTAATAAAAGTTATCTCCCTTCTTCCAACCACTGCTGTCCAGCTTGTGGTTTGTAGGTACTTGTAAATGATAAAGAGAAATTCTGTTTCACAACTCACGAATAGGAGTTAAATCTATATTAATTTCTTCATTAAATTTGAAATGTAAACATTCATTTTGTGTAACACCTTAAAGGTATTTTGTTTCTAGTGAGCCAACCTTCCCTGAATTTTTGTCAACATGACAATTTTTTATCAAAGCCTATAATTTGCCATATATAGTGTTTCCAGAACCATTACTATATAATTATAATGGAGACTTCTAATGGATAGTTTGTGAAATATTTTCTGATTATGCTGAAAATTGTTTTATAGGGATTTTAAAGATGAAATGACAATGGTACTTTTTTTCAAAATATCTGATGTCATTTGGATATCTTGGAAACCAAGTAAGATCTTATTTGCCTAGATAACTGGGTCGCTAGGTACATTGACAAAACGTTTATAATATTTGTAATCTATGGTAAGGTGATAGGGAAATTCAAGGTCATTCATAACATATTATATATAAATGAATTCATATACATGTATGTAAAGTGGGCTATTAATTAACTAATTATAAATTAATTGGTCTTCACCCTTCATCAGCCAATATCTGACACTGTTTGAATTGTAAAGACTATTCCAGGTGAAAAACCAATAGTGTCAATAAAAAGTCTTGTATTTGGTTGCCTCTGGAGACATTCATCTTGTAGGTTTTGTTTAGTTATTTGTTAGGGGCATCTGTTTAAAGGCAGAAGGAGATGGTAGGTAGGAGGTTAGGTGTATGCACACACACACTTTTAACTTGAAGTGATAATAAATATTTCACTTTCTAACCATGCATGATAGCTTCTGTATCTATAATGTATGTTTACCAGTATGTATGTACATATCTGGCTGGTCATGGACCTGTTCAAAATTTCAAAGTTGTTTCTACTTTAGTCAAGTCTAATGTGTGGTCAGTCATCCGTGAACTGTATCTGAACAAACATATCAGAACAAAATATACTGGTTATGTCTTTTTCGAAATTTGAATTACAGTGTTTCAAGTGTATTCCATTTTTATTTTTACTTGTATTCAGCTTTGTGTATACATTGATCATTCAAAGACAGTGCGCAGTGCACCAAGGTTAGAGCCTGCAACCCTTTTAGCACAGTTATAGCCCTTTGTTAAAATTGTAAGTCCTTCATTTAATCTGTGATAATGAAATTTGATGTATACATCAGTCATACAAAAGCATTGTTCAGTGTACCAATGTCAAAGCCTGTGACCCCCTCTGTTACAGAGTTAATGCCCTTTGATAAGATTTTGTGTCATGAGCATATATATATGTTTTCTTGTTTTACAGCTTCTTTGGGACAAGGTGCATCTACTTCAGTGTTGTTAGCTATTAACTTTAATGATACCACCCAGCCAGCTAAGTTCAATATCTGTACTCAGGACACCAAATTTGCAGCCAGCATCACTGCCCCAGTAGGGGAGCTACTTCAGCCACACACCATGAGTGAGGCAGAGTTCATACAGCAGCAAGGTCAGTCAAAATTATTATTGAAGTGTTCAATTGTTGAAAACAAGGTTTATGAAACAACAATGATTGACATAGGTCTTCTAATTTCAGATATAAGCCACACTCCAGGCAATAAATTCAGTTTGATAATGCTCTTACCACCAAGTGTATGGTATTGCCATTTTTTTCTAACAGCTAGTACATGATAAATTTCGAAGATAAAGGTTTTAGTTAGCCATGCAGCTAGCTGTAACCAGAGCTAGGTCAATCACATAACCATTTGTCTAACTGACCAGTACGACATCATACATCTACATTCCTAAACATGTGATATATGTAGAAGTCTAGAATTTGATACACCAGCTGCATCACTTTCAATGATAACAGCGAGCAGTACAGACATACCCAACACCTCCTCAATTCACGCCACCTTCACATCTTTTCTTGGTACTCTCAAACACTGAACATAGCACCAGGGACTTATTATTTCAGTGTAAATCAGCTTCTGCCACAATTTCTTCAGGGGAGGGGTACCATGTTTATATGAAGGGTTTGTTCCACAGCCCAGCTTTTTCCTGGCATCCTCTAAACCCATAACTCAGCATTAACTAGAACAAATGAGTTTAGAAAAGTGGTCAGTCTAGTATGCTACTGACAAGGCCATTCTGTTGTAAAGAAGGCCACATTGATAACATAATCCTGACTGTAGGAAGTGGCATCACTTTTCACAAAGAAATATTAAGACATTAAATATCAGCATGGTAAGGAAAAAATAAGATTGATTCCATAAAGTACAACATTCAATGAAAAAAAAGATCCTCGATGTAATTCAATGAAAACTAAAACTCTTGTTTACATTGTCTGTAGTCATAACAGTAGAACTGACATTGTCTGTAGTCATAGTAACAGTGCTAACATTGTCTGTAGTCATAGTAACAGTGCTTACATTGTCTGTAGTCATAACAGTAGAACTGACATTGTCTGTAGTCATTGTAACAGTACTTACATTGTCTGTAGTCATAGTTACAGTGCTTACATTGTCTGTAGTCATAGTAACAGTGCTTACATTGTCTGTAGTCATAGTAACAGTGCTTACATTGTCTGTAGTCATAACAGTAGAACTGACATTGTCTGTAGTCATAGTGCTGACATTGTCTGTAGACATAGTAACAGTGCTTACATTGTCTGTAGTCATAACAGTAGAACTGACATTGTCTGTAGTCATAGTGCTGACATTGTCTGTAGACATAGTAACAGTGCTTACATTGTCTGTAGTCATAACAGTAGAACTGACATTGTCTGTAATCACAGTGCTTACATTGTCTGTAGTCATGGTAACAGTACTGACATTGTCTGTAGTCATAACAGTAGAACTGACATTGTCTGTAGTCATAGTGCTTACATTGTCTGTTGTCATAGTAACAGTGCTTACATTGTCTGTAGTCATAACAGAACTGACATTGTCTTTAGTCATAGTAACAGTGCTTACATTGTCTGTAGTCATAACAGTAGAACTGACATTGTCTGTAGTCATAGTGCTGACATTGTCTGTAGACATAGTAACAGTGCTTACATTGTCTGTAGTCATAACAGTAGAACTGACATTGTCTGTAATCACAGTGCTTACATTGTCTGTAGTCATGGCAACAGTACTGACATTGTCTGTAGTCATAACAGAACTGACATTGTCTTTAGTCATAGTAACAGTGCTTACATTGTCTGTAGTCATAACAGAACTGACATTGTCTGTATTCATAGTAACAGTGCATACATTGTCTGTAGTCATGGAGCTTACATTGTCTGTAGACAGTAGAACTGACATTGTCTGTAGTCATAGTAACAATTCTTACATTGTCTATAGTCCTAACAGTAGAACTGACATTGTCTGGTAATAACAGTAGAACTGACATTGTTTGTAGTCATAGTAACAGAGCTTACATTGTCTGTAGTCATGGTGCTTACATTGTCTGTAGTCATGGTGCTTACATTGTCTGTAGTCATAACAATAGAAATGACATTGTCTGTAGTCATAGTTACAGGACATACATTATTTGTAGTCATGGTAACAGCACTAAAATTAGTGATAGTGCTTACATTGGCAGTAGTCATTGTTTGTCTGTAGACATAATACTATAACTGACATTGCCTTTCTGTAGTCATGTTAATTGTAATGACATTGTCTATCTAGTCATAGTAACAAACCTGACATTGTCTTTAGTCATAGTAGCAGTGTATATATTATCTTTATTTATGATATCATTGCTGACATTGTTTGTAGTCAGTGTTGGGGCATTGTCTATCCAAAGTCATGGTAACAGTGTGGATTTGAGTGTCCCAATCAACCAATTTTTAATGTGTTGTCCTAGTCTTTGTAGTATAGAGTGACAGTCTGATATTAGTGTCCCAATCAACCTGTTTTCAGGGGTAGTGTGTTATTTTGTCCTAGTCTTTGTAGTATAGAGTGACAGTCTGATATTAGTGTCCCAATCAACCTGTTTTCAGGGGTAGTGTGTTATTTTGTCCTAGTCTTTGTAGTATAGAGTGACAGTCTGATATTAGTGTCCCAATCAACCTGTTTTCAGGGGTAGTGTGTTATTTTGTCCTAGTCTTTGTAGTATAGAGTGACAGTCTGATATTAGTGTCCCAATCAACCTGTTTTCAGGGGTAGTGTGTTATTTTGTCCTAGTCTTTGTAGTATAGAGTGACAGTCTGATATTAGTGTCCCAATCAACCTGTTTTCAGGGGTAGTGTGTTATTTTGTCCTAGTCTTTGTAGTATAGAGTGACAGTCTGATATTAGTGTCCCAATCAACCTGTTTTCAGGGGTAGTGTGTTATTGATCTTCTTTATCAGCAGTACACAATATACTTGGTAGATCTGTCGGGCATCTACAAAAAAATCAATAATCCTGCCAACCAAAGACAAATATTCCAAATGTGTCTAAATCCAATTGATTTTAAATTCTGATTCCTATGTGACAAAATTCAATGAACACAGCCATAGTGATGTAGTAATGAATCGTTATTGGTTTTTTTACCTGTTTTTTTTACCTGGTTTTTTTCCCCTTTATCAACAAGCTTTTTTTAACATTCACGCAGCCCAATAATTCTATATCACCTCTTGTAGCTGAATTCCATCCTGTTAATTTAATGATCATTTCAGTGTTTAGATATAAGTGCAACAGCTTCAACTATCAATAAGATAATGGAAATAGTTAATCTGAAATCTTGAGTTCAAACCTTAAATTTTTTTCATTTTTTTTATTTCTAATTTTGGGGACATTTACTGTATACACTGTACCATGGACCAATGTTGTTACTTGTCGTATATTGTATAGACATAAATCATACAGGTAGCTTCCACTTCATCAATATTACCCATCCATTATCGGGCTGTGTTGTTTGTCTAACACTCTGTCACTAGCCACATTATTAAACATGCAACACTGACCTGCCTATCTCCATTTTCATTCCATTTACATTGCAGTCAGCTCAGTTATTTCATCCAGGGATTCCAGGCCTATGACTGGGAGATTGTTTATCAATGTCTACAATAATTGGTTAGGTCAGGAATAAAAGAAATACAATTGTCTTTGTATTTGAAAAAGTGAATTGCTTCACTTATTCTAAAATGTCAGATAGAGGTTGATAATTCTGAAACCTGAATAGGGATTTTTTCTCCGTTGTCATACTGTCCTTTAACTCAGGACTTTGATCTCCGATTCCTCTGTAACAATTTGAATGTTGATTCCTATGAAACATGTTTTTATGGGAGAAAATGAAATTTGCATTCAGTCTTTTTTCTTCTTCCATTAGACATTCAAGCTGGATTTATGTGGTGTTGATGCTTTGCTTCATGCCTAGGTAAAAACTGCTTCATCAATGTCCTTGTCATTCCCTACTGTGTACACATCTGTGTACCAGTTACTGCTTTATCAGGAACTTGTAGATATAAAGATATTAACTTTGCAACAATTACAAAACATGTTATTGCAACTTATACGAATCACTCCTGTTGGCCTGGAGGTAAGCACACCAGGGGTCTTGCAGTGGAAGGAAAAATGGAATCCCCAGGGGAATCCCAAGACACGGATGCCCCCTACTTTTTTAGATCCATTCTGAGAATCCGACCCCTGATAGCTTGTGAATTGTGTGTGTTACCACTGCACCACCAAACCACTCATTAGTCACTTGTCTATTGAAGGTGATGTTTGCTAGTCACAGAAAGGATCAACGTAAACTTTTGATATAAGCTCTATGAAACCCTACATATATGTACCAATTTGAAGGTAATGCTACGTTAAAAAGGGAATGCAATGGCTCATTTGGTAGAGAGTGTTATCCTCCACACCCTCAGGTGAAGACCAAGGACTGGTTTGATGAACTTTGTCCTTGATGCTTTGTGTTTCTCAGGAATCTGGAAAAACAAACCAGTCTGTGTAGTTGAGTCTTAGGGAAAGACACTTTACTCTTATATATCTGGACAGTGTGTGATGGGCCTCCTGTTTACTTTTCAGTGAGGTTGCCAACAGCTACTTTAAGACCCCCACCTCAAAATGACCCTAACTATTGACAGCGCAGTTACTGAACAAACAGCAAGCACATCATTTTGTACACAAGTCAACTTCATTGTCACTCTGTGAAATCTTTTATTGGCTCATAATTAACACTGATCAACATAACAGTGACATCTTCAAATTTTAAACACTTATGATACATGAGTTCAGGTCTTAAGTGTGTACATTTTCATCGATACATTAGGTATAAATTTGGAAGACATTTTTTTAATCTGATGTAAATCCAATCAGAAAGATTTTAAAACACTGATCGTAGAAAAAGATAATTTGTGATGAAAAATTACATATATTTGTATATGTGTATAATGATATGAGTATTGATTGGACAATTTGTTCACTGTAACAATTCACTGGGCAAGTGTTGAAATGTTGTTATGTCAATAGTGGAACTGTTCCTATTATGTTAGTTTGTCTGGCAGCCTGACGTGATTAGATGGCTGTATCCCGGAACACATACATATTATAAACATCTACCGGGAACTTTGTTTTTACAGTGATGATAGTCTATATCATTAATGTTAGTTAGGTTTACCTGTATTTTTACCTGTGGTTCTCACCTGTACATGTATAAAAAAAAACTCAGCCAAAAAAGGAAATAAAATAAAAATAATTAAAGACATAATATAATAAAATATATATGGTGACATAATGTACATGTAATTATTATATATGGTGACATAATGTACATGTAATTATTATGTCGTGTATGGTGACATAATGTACATGTAATTATTATGCCGTGTATGGTGACATAATGTACATGTAATTATTATGTCGTGTATGGTGACATAATGTACATGTAATTATTATGCCGTGTATGGTGACATAATGTACATGTAATTATTATGCAATTTTTAATGACGTTATATTATTTTTGTTGTATATTCCAAAATAATATAAACTATTGTGATATCATTTCCACTATATAATTTTTGATTATAATATTTTTGGGTTCAGATGACATTTTTCCAGTGTAATGTTTTAATATGAAAACTGTTTACTTATCTTAGTTCAATCTGTTAAACCATGATAAACTCTATTAATACTGTGCTAACGTTGACCAAGCTACATCTGATGTGACACCTTGAGGTGATTATCCAAGCTATATATTTATCTATATAGATAAAAAAAATATACATTTATCTATATAAGATTCAAAATTAATCCCCAATTCCATCATTCATTAATAGGTTCTGACACTTAACTGACATTGTTAGAAATCAATCATGGCTAATGCTCAGTTAGATTTTAAGTTCATCCAGAATAGAAAAGGGGATAACAACTTAGCATGTAACGGTCATTTATACAGAATTAGGTCTTCTCGCAGAGAAAGATAAATGATTATGTAAATGACTATGCGTAGATTTATTATTTATCAATATGACAGAGAAAGAAGTTGATTCAATTTTTAGAAGGACATGTGCATGTATACATGTACTTTCTGTCTGCAATACTGAAGTATTAAGAGACAAAATATCAATAATTAATTGTTGATTTATAATGATACATCTGTAATATCTAAAAATTACAGGTAGATCCACAGGTAAAATATCTCAGGTAAATGCAGTACCTATATGAAACAGATTATAATTACCCTCCCTTTGATGTTTCTACCTATTGTCATGGACATGTATGCGTTCCGGGAACACCCCGATTAGATATACCATATGTTTGTTATTGATTCAGTGATATCTGATAAGTGCTTTACAAAAATATCCCTGGCACTTCAAACACTTTTAGTCCTTCTGTACTAATTTCAGTCTTACAAGTATTGTCATAGTCACTAATGTAGGAGCAATATATAATCAGCTAATAGGAATTAAAGTCAAAGGGTTTCAGTGTAAAATTAGGTCAATTATATTATAAACTTGTGTATTGTTTTCTAAGTATTTTTTGTCTAACCCTTTTTTGGCACTTGTTGAAATCTTAAGACCCCATAGCGCCCTCTCCTTTACATAAAATGTCTTGCAAATATTATCTCACTAGAATGACTTTACAAATATAATATACAACACTGGAACGTTATGCAAATATCATTTTACATACAACATTAAACAATGACTTACCATTTTCATCTTGTATGATGACCATTTTAGAGTTTTAGCATTTGTCTTTTACCTTTTAGTTTGTTTGGTATTTTTTCCATTTTGGTCCACAGTGTGTTTCACCGGTAAAATGGCCCTAATGCCATTTTATGTGTTGACGGGCCGTTAAAGCTGAAATAATGATAATAATTAAAATTACAACATACAACACAAGAATGTCATGCCAATATTACATCTGTAAATGTCTAATGAATATTATCAGATACTTGAAATTTCAAGCATTATTCATGTGATACATATAACAATGAGGTTCCTGGTATAACCATGGATATTATCTGATTGCACTTGCATGTGTAATTGATATTCTCAAAGTTGATCATGTTTTATTCTCTCTCATTCATTCTGCCATGAAAATTTGTAGACCTTTTGGTCATTTCAGTTGTTCAGGGTGTATGAGTGATGTATGTGAGGGTTTGAGTGTTTGAGGGTTTGAGAGTGGTGTTGATCTGTTGGTCATTTCAGTTGTTCAGGGTGTATGAGTGGTATATGTGAGGGTTTGAGGGTTTGAGGGTGGTGTTGATCTGTTAGCCATTTCAGTTGTTCAGGGTGTGTGAGTGGTATATGTGAGTGTCTGAGGGTGGTGTTGATCTGTTGGCCATTTCAGTTGTTCAGGGTGTGTGAGTGGTATATGTGAGGGTCTGAGGGTGGTGTTGATCTGTTGGCCATTTCAGTTGTTCAGGGTGTGTGAGTGGTATATGTGAGGGTCTGAGGGTGGTGTTGATCTGTTGGTCGTTTCAGTTGTTCAGAGTGTATGAGTGATGTATGTGAGGGTTTGCAGGTTTGTGGGTGGTGTTGATCTGTTGGCCATTTCAGTTGTTCAGGGTGTATGAGTGATGTATGTGAGGGTTTGATAGTTTGAGGGTGGTGTTGATCTGTTGGTCATTTCAGTTGTTCAAGGTGTATGAGTGGTATATATGAGGGTCTGAGGGTGGTGTTGATCTGTTGGCCATTTCAGTTGTTCAGGGTGTATGAGTGAAGTATGTGAGGGTTTGAGGGTTTGAAGATGGTGTTGATATTTATTTGATTGTGCAATATCCACAAAAAAAGTGAAGAAATCTTGAATGAGTAGACTGCTAAATTAGGATTAAGAAGCATGAAAATTGTTTGCAGGGGATCTTCTATTTTTATTTAATTGAAGGATGTAAATGAAAGTCAGGAAAAATGAATTCTTGAAAATAAAGTTAATACAAACTAAGTTTCATCTGTTGTGTTAAAATAAAATAATTCAATATTGATTTTGTTCTACCATATGTACTTTTCTACACTTCTGTTTGTAATGTACTGATACTCTTTGTCTAAAATTGAAATAGTATTACTCCTTGTGTAATTAAGGTTTAAGATATAAACTTTATTTATTTTACAACAATTGCAAAGCAAGTTATGTCAACTTATACTTATCACTCTTGTTGGCCCGGATGTAAGGGCATGAGGGGTCTTCTTGTGGGAGGAAACCGGAGTACCTGGAGAAAACCCACGTGGTTGGGCAGGTGACCCCTTACCTTTTCAGGTCCGTTCCGGGAATCGAACCCCGGTCGGCTAGGTAAAAGGCAAGTGCGTTACCACTGCGCCACCCGACCACCCAATTAATTAAGGTTTAATGTTATGCTTGATATTTGTGGCACTGGTGTGTCTTATGTATCATCCTTTATCTAATCTCCATGTGGAATATATATACCACACATTATAAAAATTGAAAAGCATTTTTGTCAAATTCATAAGTTTTTCTTCTTTTTCTTTTGTTACAGGAAAACTTGGTGGCATGCATGAGAATTCTGGTAACGTGAAGTTAGCCCCGTCCAAATCTGACCCCAAGTCTATCTGTACATGTATACACACTGTGGCCAACATATTGCAAGTGCCCTCCTCCAATGAAAACCTTTTCATATTTGCGGCTCGCACACTAGCAACAGGAACCTTAACTCTTGTATCACTCCGGACCAAGGATGAAACGGCTAAACTGACTGTTAATTGTGAGAAAATGGTCATCGGTACGATGCTACACAAAGAGATTAAGAACCTACTGAGTAAAAGTTAACCTAAAAACTAAACATCAAGTTTTTTTTTATCTCAAGGTTCTACTGCTTTTTAGATCTAACCTGAAGTATTTATATCAATTATGAAAACTATTTTCACTGTCACTCAATATATAGATGAGCAAATAGGAGACAAATGCAATATTTGATGTATTGAACTGAGGCTAGAATGTCAGGATTTAAGAACTGTTTCTAGGGTTGATCATGTACAAATTTTTGTGGTCTGGTTGATAGGTAAAAGTATTCAGATATTTTTATGTTGATTGATAAATATGTCTTTGGAGGGTATATACATAAAGAATATATGGTCAATTGATAAATATGTCTTTTAAGGGTATATACACAAAGAATATATGGTCAATTGATAAATATGTCTTTTAAGGGTATATACACAAAGAATATATGGTCAATTGATAAATATGTCTTTTAAGGGTATATACACAAAGAATATATGGTCAATTGATAAATATGTCTTTGGAGGGTGTATACATAGAGAATATATGGTCAGTGTTTTAGAATATAAGCTGTATTTGGTGAGGCTAAAAAAAGACAAAAGTGACAAGATTATGGCGAGCCACATTTCTCGGGTTTGTCCCAAGCCAAAATGCAGCTTTACTATTAAGACACTTAAAGTGTATTCTTTCAGGCTATCAAGCCTTCATATAGTTTGTTGTTTGTTTACCTGGCGTTGATGTTATACTGAATTATCCCTGACAACAAACACCAAGAGCTCCTCATGGTAATATAGTTCAAAACTTCAACAGATATAACATTAATTCTATGATTTTTCGTAAATAAACTTGTTTGTTACAGCAAATAAAATTGCTTATTTACAGGGTTATATATATTTTGAAATAAATATTTTGATAAAACAGAAAGTTATTCTGTCAAATTAATGAACATGATTAAAATACATCTGATTTTTGTCACTGTCAAATAGAACAAAGATATATGTGGCAGATGTATTTCTACAGTGGCAGCACCAGTGGCTGGATGAATTTCCTAATATATGTACATCCTACAGTAAACTGTGGCTCAAAATATCTCTGAGGCAGTGTGGTGGAGCATACTTTTACAAGACAATTAATTACAAAATATCTCTGGGGCAGTGTGGTGGAGTATACTTTTACAAGACAATTAATTACAAAATATGTCTGAGGCAGTGTGGTGGAGCATACTTTTACAAGACAATTAATTACAAAATATCTCTGGGGCAGTGTGGTGGAGTATACTTTTACAAGACAATTAATTACAAAATATGTCTGTGACAATATGGTGGACTTTGACAAGACAAATACTTAAAAACAATTATAAATTTTTTTTAAAATGCTGAAATTTCATATGTTATCAGAAGAAACCTTGAAATAATGCCCCATGTTTGTAATAGACTGGAGAATCCTGTTCTTGTTTCACTATCCATAATTCATTAACCTAGATATACTGACAACTTTGTTGCCAGTCCCAATATCACATTTCAGTAAACAGAACCTATGATGATGATTTTTATTTTATGGAACATCCTTATAACATCAAATTTGTATTAGATGGACGGCAACATCGTAAGTAAGTGAATGTATGAATTTATATAAAGCGGGGAAATGTCTGATTTATCGACGAAACCCACATTGTATCTCAGTCATTGTCACGTTCCCAGAGTAGAACAAGACTAACAAAAATGGAACCAACAGGCATAACAGTACAAAATAATTGTGAAGTTATATGTGGCATTGTGGTGTTTAATGAGCATGAGTGGGAGAGAATCTAGCACAGTGTAATTGATTTATACCTCTATCCTCATTTGTCACCTGATAACCTGGACATGTTAGGAACATGCAGCTGTAGCCACAGCCTCACTGTTTCCATTATACAACAGTTATTGCTTTATTTTGGCTTTGTGTCATTTAATCAAGGTACAAAATCATTTGCTCCAGCCACATATCAGAAAAAAATTATACCAGAATTATTGATAAATAGATTCTTAAAATTTTCTTTTTTCAATGGATTGAATTCAAATTAGCATTACTAGAACTTTTTGAAGATATATTCAACCTTTGACAATTACTTTGATTTCCTTTGTGATCGTTAGGCAATCCTACTGGTGGTGTAAGAAGTCATACATTTTATAGGAAAGAAGCAATACTTAATATTTTATTTGTTCTCAATTTTATCAAGAAAGATGTTCACCGTTATTCACCAACATTCAAGATAGAAACAAACGCTATAGTTCAAAGGTCAGGGTGGTGATGTCACTAGTTTAGAGGATATCTTAATCTTAAGACTTTTTTGTCAAAACTCTATATTTCTGTGTAAAATATTTTACTTTTATCATTTTTCTTGGGTTCAATATCAGCAAGCATTATAGACCTCTCAGTCGATCTTTACAGGAAACATGAAATGATATGTTGACATGAGGTCTTCAGGATCACTGGGTCAGAACGTGTATTATCATTTAGAGTTGTAACCGACTTCATCTCTATAAATATATATTCTATTTGAAGATTGGCTGATGGAGGTAATGGATCCCTGTGTATAGAGATTTTCAAGAAATAAAAAATACACACAGAGTTAAGAATAATAAATAACAAATTTGATATAATTTGGTCTATGTTTCTGAATATATAAAATCAATGATGCACAGAGAAAAGCAATCATTTGAACATTTTATTGATCTAGTGTAATACGACGCAAAGAGATTTCAAAGAGACAAAGAACAAAAAAAGTTAATTTGTTAATTCATATTGGTCTTGATATTGTAAAAATAGTGTTGAGTGATGTTGTGTGTAGATAGAACCTGTTTCTCTGTTGGTGACTGAGTCGTTTCAATTATTTTATATATTAAGCATCCCTTGATACTTAGATATAATATTCTTCTGTTCTGGTACAGTGCACATTTACTATTAATATCTAAATTACATACAGTGTTTGGCGATGAGAGATTGTGTTATACAATACCACAGATATATAGCTTCACAATGGAAATCCATTTCCATCCTTATGGAAGGAATTTTTGAGGTTTGTGTTTATACACATGTTCATTTGAAAAGGAAATTGTCTGTACATGTAAATTGAAATAAATCCAGAAATGTTCTGAAGGTATATTCAGTGAAAATCTCCCTAATTTTTCTATAATTGCTGTATTTATTCTGCTGTAAGCCCACCTGGATAATACATAATATGCAGTCACAGGTAAGAAGATCAACTCTTTAGAAGGGGAGGGATTTATTTGGAATAAATTGTCATTTCTAAACTGCCCTAAATGTGAATAGGCTTGTTGCCATGCAGGACTTATGGCCAAATACCTGGTAGATATTTATAACTTCACTTCTTAATAAAGACATATTGTATAGATGAACAAAACTCACACTTCACTAAAAACTTGTTGAGAAGCCATGGCTTCTGTTGTATGTCAGTTGAAACAGGGCTTTAGTTTTTTTTATCAAAGACAATAACTATTCAAAATTAAACATGTATTTTAATGTCCTTTGAAATGTCTTGTTTGTCATTAGAAGATAGACCAGAGTTTATCAGCAAGGAGATATCTTCATCACCATTATCATAAAATATTCAGGAAAAAAAAATCGAGAAATTATGTGCATAAAGAACATGTGTAATAGATATAAAAACAATAAGTATAAAGATATTTTCATTTTTAAATTTTATAAATACGGAATATCCCTAAATTCTGCTTTTCTTGTAAAACTGTGCCAAATTACAGGGTATTAATAGTGCTAGGGTTTGATGTTGAGTTTACCTTTGTTGCCGAACGCTTCTCTTCAAATATCATTGGCAAGTTATGTATGTCTTATTATTTGTATTGATGTGAAATATAAACAGAAGTGGTTGTTGTCCTTGATTTTGTGTAGGTAAGGAAGGACATATGATATTGTTTGTGTTGCAGCTTGTGAGAGTTTAAAATGTTCCAAATAGCTTTTTAGCCATAAACATCTATGTTGTAATACACCAGAGTTTAGTCGAGTAAATATGAGATGTATTGGTGTATAGGGCTGTAGATAAGTATAGAGAGCTACAGGAAAAACACATGTAATAAAATGCAATTCAGTTATTTAAATAATCATTTTTGTTGATTTGAATTTAAAATTTGCTGTATTTTCAAGAAAATTATTTTGTAAAAATGTTAATAGTTGTGATATTTAACATGCAATACCAGCCAGCTTTCTTCAATGTTGTTATTAGGATGTCATCATCATTCTATAGTTTTGTAAATAAATCTGTTGTCTATCATTTTATGGTATCTGAAAGTTAATTTACTGTATTAGACAATTGGGAAGATTATTTGATTCACTACTGACAGAATACATTTGGTATATAAACAAAGACTCGTTATATTTTAAACATGCTTAAATCTAAGCCGTGTTTCAATTTATTTTAATATTGACATTTTGTTCATTTCCATCCAAATTAACAATTTTAAACTATTTTTCTGTAAATTGTAATCGGTAGATCTTTCTGTGTATATATATATAAATGTCTATGCTAAATTATCCTTATTTCCTCCAAAAACTCTAAAACAAAATTTTCACTTCCATTTTATATTGATATATGGTTACAATTCACTTAGTAACTGATTCAATGAGAGTGTCTAGTCTTGTTAATTTGGCCAGTGGATGAGGGAACAATCTATCATGGAATCGACTAAGATTTCATCTTTGTGGGTGTCAGGGATCTTTGAGGATTTGCTGTCACTGCTATACCATTATCATTGTTATGATTGTCAGTAATGATTGAGAATTGGAATGTACAATGCTTGTATGCTATGATACATGTACCATTAAATTCTTGTTAATTAAATAGAAATTGATTTAATGATATGATTGTGGTTGTCTTAATTTTTTATCTTACTGTCATAAGATAGTTATAAAGCATTATGTACAATATGTAGTTTGACAATGACAAACGCTGTCATTAAAGGAAATTATTGAAATTTAATTATGATCATTTCTGAAAGATTATTTACATTTTAGATTGACAGTTTGCAGGTAGAAAAGCTGATTCGTAGTTCCCATTGTTGGTAACCCACAGTCGTGGTGCTCACACTCACTGCATGTGTGAGGGTCAGGATTGTAGGTTTCCAATCAGGGTATCTGCCAGTTCTCCTTTTAATTATCCAATAGGATAATAATAACAACAACCATTAACTGTATTTTCACAGCGACAGAGGGTACCGCATGATTTATTGCCACATCATTTAATATTTACAGAAACGTGTATTGTTCTTCATAAGCACGCGCAACTTGCTTACATTTGAAAACAACTTCAATTATTAAATACTGGTTTGAATTGAATAGCAAACAAAATTATCTAAATTCATTTCA